TCACTTGGACGGACTTGGAGATGGACACCGATTTCTTCATGGATTTGAAAGAGCTCCGCACGTTGCAAGAACGAGAAAAGGATTTGCGGAGGTGAGACTTGTTTTTGTCACTCGAAAGGGGCTTGAGTGCAGGAAGGACAAAAATATCTGCAGCTGTGCACATCCTAAATTCGAGTTTCCTTTCAGGGTTTTAAATACATTTTTATAATACAATTGTTACAGTCAACAAAGAAAAAAGATTAAAAAATGGCACACCCGAATTTTTCAAACTACAATTTGGATAAAAATGTATCCCCAAGTACGACGGGCATCCCATTTTGAGAGACTGAAAATTGAAATATTTGGAAATTAAAATGCATCAGAATTTAAATGCTGACTTGATTTGTAGTCAAATTGCATGCTGATTTTTCGACATTTCCATTTTTTAACTGGTCTATAAATTAATCCCTTGTTGGAATCAAGTATAGTAAAGTATGAGGTGAACCAATGCTTAAAATTTGGTAGAAGTTACTCCCGCTTATGACGCTCACCCTCTTCTTTTCTCGTTGATTGTGAAGAATAAAAAAAAAGGTTCGTGTAGTACTTGGGTAAATAAGGCATTTTCCACAATTGACGCGCTTTTCATCAAGCCCCTTTCGAGTGACAAAAACAAGTCTCACCTCCGCAAATCCTTTTCTCGTTCTTGCAACGCGCGGAGCTCTTTCAAATCCATGAAGAAATCGGTGTCCATCTCCAAGTCCGTCCAAGTGTCCATCATGGCTTTGGCACAAGCTGCAAACCGTTCGAATCCGACGGAATGCAACTTCCGCTTCGAAGTTTCAAATCGGTTGAAAGTGAAGAACACCACCGCCGCATATCGACTGAATCATGATGATGAAGACAAAATGCGAAAACTCATTCAGAAATTTCTTCAAATCACGAATTTCTCCACAAAGAAATAGATTTACAACTATTCCAATCCACATTTCCCATGATTCAGCATTGCTATGTCTGTATTCTCACGCTAATTGAAAAAAAAATGATAATACGGGCGGACTCAGTCTACAACAAAATTAAACGGACCAGAAAAAATTTCGTTGCGAAGCCCATGGAATAAAACAAAGATCCATTTCACAGATAAAACCGTTGTAGACAACATCGTTGTATAGAGAGAGAGAGAGTCCACCTTTATAAAACAGTATTTCCAAAAAAGGCGACTTTTAGTTTCAAGGGTAGGGTAATCAAAAGTTCATCAAAACCGGACGATTGATGAGTAAGGCAACGTCTCAGAAAATCTGAATAAACTTTTCCATAGAACAGATCTGAGTTTCGCAGCGTTTTATTTGGTTTCCTCTAATGAAACTGACAGACATAAGACTGCGAAATTTTGTTCCAGCCCTTTCAACAACGGATGTCCGGAAATTAACAATTTTTTTGTAACTGAACACGTTTTGTGATACAGACAAATCGAGACCGACAATTTGAGACTGAAAAAATCAAAACAGAAAATTTGAGACAGGGAAAATCCGAGACAGGGTAATTTAGAAACATGGACACGTGTTGCTTTGATCTGTTCACGCTTCTGTGTAGTTCAATTTAGGCAAGATTTTATGAGGTTAGGTCAGAAAACGTTACATAAACTCCAAGTTAATTTGGTTTAGTCTTGGTAAGGCCAGTAATTACACAGGTAAAAAAATGTCACTCAAAACATTGAAGCGACAAGAAGTTAACGCATAATTTTTAGAACTTCTCCTTTCCCAATAGTTTTCTGTTTTTCTCACCAGCCACACAGAGGAATAAGTCATCATTCTCCCGTTTACGAGAAAAATCGTAGCACTGGAAGTCTGGCAATATTCTCTCAATCTTAGTATCATGGTAATTCAAAATAAATCCATGCGTCTCTAAATTAACAGACGAATAAGTCGCGCGGAAAAACTTTTTAAAAGAAGAACTCACAAAGCCAAAGGTTCCGGAAGCAAAAATTCCCTTTGAATATTGTCCTTGACACAGCCACTCATTTCCTCCACGGTTTTATAGATCAATTTGACGTTGTCAAACTGGCGACGACAGGACGGCAAAGGGATCGATATCTTGACACTAACGTCGTCCAGATCTTTACGAATCCTCGCCGAAAACTTCTTGCCCATGATTTCGCGTATGACTACGTCGTCCAACTCGTAATATCTTTTGCAGCCCGAAAGAAAAAGGGATCAATTGCATAAATTGGCAGATTTTGATAATTTAGCAACAGTCGCGATAGGCTATTTCTAAACCAAAACCTTTCAAAACGCACAACTTCGCCGTTTGCGAACGAACACAATAATTTGATAGTTATTCCATTTCAACGTCGACTAAAATTCCCGAAGAGATTTCTGCAGAATAAATACCTAGCGTCTTCAAAAAATTAGACGTGGATTTTTAGCGAAACGTTTGATTGATCTGCTCAAAGACGCATTTCAGGCTCTGAGACAAGGACAAGCAAACTGACGAAGAAAAATGAATAGAAAATTGTTCAAGTACATTGTTTTCTTCGATTAAATGAAGGAAATCCTTCCTCGAAATTTTTAACAAATCTGAATTTCCGTCGTTTTTATTTTTCTTTGAAACGAATACCATCACAACGCTAGGTTCAGAAGAAAGGGTCGTTTTCTAGGATGGGAAAATTTTAATGAAAAAATATTTCCACTCCGCCATAGACGACAGCTGTTGCATTTTAAGGGACTTCTGAATTGAATAACCTAGCAAAATCAGCAGACATGGAAACGGAATCAAGTGCCGAGGTTCATTGTAGAACCTCGGCACTTACACTGCATTTTGTTTCAAGTTACAGTATATTACGAGAAAAGCAAGGGTCCTCTACTTGGACTCAAATTTTCTCATACCATTCAACACTTTCCTTCAAAAAAAATTTCAAGAATCTTATAATTTTTTCCACGCTAGCTGCTTATATTTTTGAGATAAATAACTGACGTGGAACCCGAACCTAAAATGGAAGCTTCTCAAGCTTAGAAATTCTAGTTGAACCTCAATAACGTAAACCTACCTAAGCCAAATTTCTTTCACATTATGGTGTGATTTCCCTTAGTAACAATGAATTAAAACCACCTCAACTCTAAGGCTTTTCCGCACTAATCTCCGTAAATAAAATCTTCTGGGGCCTTTTGGCCATTATTTTATTTGCACGGGAAAAATAAAAGCAATAAAATATATACCTTGATGCATTTTGGAAGGAAGTGAAAGAATGATTGAGGAAATGAACCCTTGCCTCGACAAGCAATTTAAGGCCCAGAATATCACCAATTGAAATTTCTCGTAATCCTTCCTTTCTTTAGCAACACAAAATGTTGTTTCCCCAACTCAAACCCTCTCCAACTCGAATTTTTCTGCGGCTCCCTCAACATTTTAATAAGAAAGGTTCGACTATATTTCAAGCTTCTCATTGAAACGCGGATAATGTACAGTTTTCTCACTTTTGCAAAAGATAGCTTTGGGTTTCAAGACGTATTTGAAACTTGAGCTGGTCTCCGAGTCGTCTAGGAGAATGCAACACTGGTTCCAAAATGGCGAACATTCTATAGTGATCTTCCACATCCGACAAAATCGTTTCGGCATCAGGAAACCCTTCCGTGCTGTCAGAGCCCAAGAGTTTCGCAGCAGCAGAAACTGAAATTTTGACAAGAGTATGGCATGAAGTAGAAATCAAGAATTGGGTCGCACATGATCACTTCTACGCACCATTGTGTCCGTCTATCCACAGTTGGAAAATCTCTTCGTCAATTATCGTGTCATTGCACACGAAAACATCCACGACTGGCATCGGGATGGAAACATCGGCCCTGTCCAGTCTCATCGGCATCTTAACAAAACTTTTTTCTAAAATTGTGAAGGAGTAGAATTTCGAAGGAAAACGCCCAGAACAACAGCGAAAAAATTCGAAAAAAATCCAAAATAACTACCGGACTCTTACCAATGTGAAAATTTTAATGGCCAAACAACGAACAACACGGATTTCACAGAGAAGAAAAGAAAGAAAACTTCGATACGATGGTAAGAATGGCTGCTGAACCGGAGGAAAAAATCCGAAGAATATTTATCTTTCAACATTTTACGATGCAGCAAATCTTTGCGACAATTTTGCTTTCGCTTCGTAGCCTGATATCAAACATAAACAAGGAACACCTAATCTTTATTCACATTCTTATCCACAATTTTCAGGTCCTCATAGGCAAAAACATTTTGGCAAAAGTCGCACAAAGCCCGTGAGCCCTTCATTGTGTGGCCCTTCAAGTGCTCATCAAGCTTATGCGACTCGAACAGCACGACTTTACACAGTGGACACGGGAATTTCCCACACGGGTCTCCGTTCTCATCTACTTCCACATCCGGTTTGCTTTGTTTCTCGTTTCCTTCATCGTTTCCGGTCGGTTTCGGGCGTTTCCGCCGACCCGCTTCCACCTTGAATATGTTGTTGCAGACTCCTGAAATACATTATAAAAAATTGAGGGTCGACTGGTTTCCCCAAAGACACAGAACGAAATATTGGATAAAAAATAATAGGCATGCAAGAATCTTTACAGTTTACAAGACCCGATGAAACACCCTGAGCATGAAAACATTACAAAAGCATCGTGTGTTTTTTACGAGGTTAGAAAAGGTTCATACAAAAATGGCACCATTTCAGCAGGATATGAAACGAATTCTCAACATTCACCCACTCTCAATTCTCGGAGTGGTTAGGAAGAAAGTTCTGGCACGTATACGAATTTTTTTATTATAAATTTTCCAAAAATTTACGGACTGGCAGAGAAAGCTAAACTTAGACAGCTGCAACGTCGAAATTGAACACATCTACGATTGACGAATAAAAATTGAATGGGTGTTCTTCATGAATTTCCATTGGTTTCTCTCAATGAAAAAACGCAGAGAAATTTCGAAGTCAATGTTCTTGAATTGTTCTCGTCACTTCAATTGGTTGAAAAAGTGCGGGATTGCAACAGGAAAATTCAATTCTGTCGCTTAGCAGAATCTTTCTTCTCTTCTTTGCCACTTTTCTTCTACAGAGTGGAAACGAACTAACGCAAACCTTGAAAGTAGATCTCATTCGACTTTTTCAGCAGCTTCTCAACCAACATGTCTGCAGCTCTAGTGAATTCGTCCTGATGGTCGCATTCGCAAACGTCCCCCAAAGGGGTGATTGTCAACGGAAGAACCGTGAAATCTCCGCTTGGGTCTGTTTTCAGCTCATCGTCAGAATCTGACTCGGGTCTCATGTCGCACAATTCATCCATATGCTTTCTGCAAAAATTAACACGGAATTGACAATCAAGAGCGCTGAACTCATGAAAGATCACGAATGTCGAAGAATCAGCGAAGTCATGCACTTCAAAACATGCTCAAAACAGAATCGAATTCCCAAGTGACGAAACATCAGTAGCGCAAAATATGGTAAACATTTCTCATTTGCATAAAAATTCTTGGAAATCTGCACGAAAAAATATACATACTTGAGCGCATGAGTAGAATAGAAAATTTTGCAACAATATGCGCAAGACCGCTTTCTCTTCTCTGTTTTTCGCTGCAAACATTGCACTGCCTCGGTGACGATTTCCTTCACCTGAAAAAAATCAAGAAATGTTCCCATAAAATGAAACAAACGAAAAAATTATTAGACAGTAAGAGCGGTTTAGAAACTTTAGACTGTCTCACTTTTCAAATAAGGATGCGCAAAGGAATTTTCTCGTGAAATTATTTTTTAAATGGCCTGGCGGACATCATGCTCTTTTTCATTTCAAAATAGGAGGAATATTTTTCTACCGGGTTTCTGGTAAATTTCACGTCGTTTATTTAATGATAGGAGAATCTGCCACACAAAATAAACTGCCACATACTTTTCTTCCCCCGAAGTAAAATCTGCGCGCTAGTATAAAAAAAATCCTCAGAAAAAGGGCGGCTCGATAGGACACATTCCAGATCATACGCGTTTAAGCATGGAAAACTCATAACAAATCCTTCACCTTTTCAGAATCCGCGCCTTCAACTATTTCATGATCTTCAACGGCCTCATCACCCTTCAACGCGTTGTTGATGAGACTTAGGATACTCTCCAGAACAGGGATTGTCAACTGTGGAACTTCGTATTTCAGCTTGCATCCCCGCAAGTGCGTTCGGATGTGTGCAACATACAGCGACACCATGCCGCAAAAGATACAAACGTACAGCTTTCCTCGGTCAGTCAACAATAAAGCTGGCTCATCAGTGTCGTAGTCGTCCACCTGCTGACAAAATCTGAGCTTAGTACACGTGGACTGTCTATAATAATATTCAGGGGACCGGAAAAATTCTTTGAACCCCCTCTGGAACCACAAAAAAATTCGTCATCGACAAAAAATCTTTGCAGAGAAATTGATTTATCCCTCTTCTTGAAAATTAACTCTTCAATTAAATTCCAGTAGCGTGTGCGGAAATTCAACGGGAATCTGAAGTAAAGGTAGACTCTCTCAAAAACGAAATTGAAGAGACCAGAAGACAATTCGTTGTAGGGAGAATTTTGTAGTGGAGAACCCCTACAACATGGGGAGAGAACCAGGCCCATGGGATCAATTGAAAATTCATTATACTTCGGAGAGAAAATCGTTTTAGAATCATTGTTCAGAGAGTACACTTGTATTCCGCTACAGAAATGTTCTTTTTCCGCTTCACTATCATTTCGGAGAGGTGCAGGAATATTGGAAAAAATTTTAACACAAGCCCGATTCACAAAAATCCATGAATGAAGCACCATTCAAAGCAAAATGTAATGATCTTCAATGCGATGGGAATCATTTCTACAGGTGGACTCTCTATCTCTACAGCGAAAAAGAAGGGACCAGAAATGATCGTTGCAGAGAGAATTTCTTTATAGTGAACCCTAAGAGACTCTGAAAAAAAAAATCGTTCAACAGAGAATATCGTTGTAGACAAGAGATTTCATATACATGTATTGGAACAGTCCATGAGATACAAGTGATCAAAAATGGGCCCGTTTCCCACAAAATACCCCTCAATTTTTCCCTCATTCTTGGAGCAACAATAATGTTCTTCACGACAAAAGAAGGGTTTCGAAAATTGTGTTACCTGGCCAGGTAGGCTATTGCTAGCGACAAAAGATTCCGTTTGTCCATTCTCTTCGTCCATCAGCTGAACAACGACTTCGCCGTTAGGCGTGACGAGAGTTTCTCCGTCGGTCTTCTGTTTACTGTCGACCTCTGTAGCAGGATATTCCTTCGAGTTTTCCTCACTGCTCGCTTCTTGAGTTTCCTCCGATTTCTCCACCACATCGGACTCCGGTTCAACTGAACATTAATACAGTATGAATTACTTCACTAGAAGCGGAACAAGTTCCATTCCCCGAATGCGTGCTTTTCGAGATGACTTGAAGGCGTACAACATTTATTTGCGCAGCGAGGTATTCGTATATCACACGTGAATTTGAATACTTCCTCAATTTTCAAAGTCGAATTGTACTGTAAAAATAATGTACTTTCAAGTGTTTCTCCAACAGATAATTCAATACCTGTCATAATTCCCAAGACTCTCTGATGAAATTAAAAGGAACATTTTTGACTATACAGTACTTCTCTTATATTTAAACTGCCTTTCTACGAATTTGCTTATTCGTCTTTTAAAAATAAAATTGAAAAAAGTACAGTACATGTGGAAGAAATTCTTCCTTCCAAATTAAATTATTAATGCATGCCAGTTTGTTATAAAAAAAGAGGAATATTCTTTCCTGCATCATAAGGTTTTATTTGAATGACATTCTCAAATGTAGGTGAAGAATTTTCAAGACATTTTCATGCTGTGTATTTTCTGGAACACTGCATTTTCGCTACGGAAAGATCTGCTGTTTTCATGGACTCTGAATAAAGCACAAGTTATATTTTTCAATTTTCTGCCAATCAACAAATAATCCCTATCACCCTAATGATCGTAAAATCGTTACATCGACATTAAAGCTTCGAATGAGTTCGTTAAAACAATTTTATGTAGATGGATCTTATCGAGAAACTGCTCGGACCAAGGTAAAACAATTCGTTGCAACAGAATTTCACTGCAATATCGTCAGGTAATTTGTCAATATTTTCGTATCCCATAAAAACACTAAATTTCAGGGAAACCCGAACAGTTGAAATGCGCATGAAGTCTGAAATTTTTCACCTTCTTCCTCGTTTGCTTGAGATCCTTCTTCAGTTTCTTCCGAGGATTTGTCTTCTGCAGACAATACCTCTTCTTCCATGGCAACGGTAGCTTCTTCGCTCTGCATTTCTGCACTACTTCCACTGTCTTCTTCACTCATATTCAGAAAAAAATAATTGAACTGATCAAAGCGTAATCTTTTGTTTCCCGATCCCGCGAGATCCTGAAAAATAATAATTTTTCTCAAAATGTTGACAAGGATGTTGATTTTGAATGCATGTACGATATTCTGAATCTCGTCCGGGTATATTTTGAAAAACTTCCACGCAACACACGATGTCCTCGTTATCACATTTAAATTCCCACGCACAGTTATAGATTTTGAAAGAAAAAAAAAGGGATGCTTCTTCAGTGTCGGTTCCGTCTTCGTCTTCCCCTCGCTCCACACGCCGACATTTCATTCTCAGGCATGATCACTTGCCCACCCTGCAACTCGCCAGCCTGGTCTTCATCAGCAATCTTCTTGGACCCTTCCAAATGAAACATAAAGTCCCTCAACTGCTCCCGCAATTCAGTTATCTCCTCAGCTTGCTTATTGGAATCCCGCTTCAAGGATTCGAGCTTGGACGCCAAATCCGCCTTGTCACTGAGCAGACACGACGTGAGTTGCTTTTCGTCAGCCAATTCTTGCGTCAGTTTGGCTACGCGGGCAGTTAGCGACGCGTTTTTCTTATCTGCGGTCTTTTTCTCGGCGACGATGGTTGCAACGTTGTCAGAAACGGTTCGGTTTAGAGAAGTCAGCTCTGCGGTATGGTCTTTCAAGTCCTGCAGCTCTTTCCGCATTTGCTCGTCCACTTTTTCCAGCTTGGCTTCGAAATAACGCCGCTGAGATTCCAATTGGCTCGTCAGAAGGTACGTGTACTCCAGTTGCATAGATTCAACTTTTTCTTCGCTCGATTCCGAACCCTGGAATTTTGAGAAAGCGAGAAAATCTTACAACCAGATGTTTCTGATACGAGAAGCTCTTTCGTAATTTTTTTCACTGTTCTAGAAGTACCGTAGAGTATAACGAAATCATTGCCGCGAAACAATGGTGCAGAGGACAATAAAATACGCTCAAAAAGTTACGGCATTTTAATTCCTTTTACAAACATTCGAGCAAGTTTAAATTCGTTTCGGAAACAAACAAAGTATTCAAGTGAACACACGATTACTGCACGACGAGTCCTCGCATAAAGAAAGACACACACAACGAAAAATTTCAAGGGGAAAAACATGACTCGTAATACTTCTAAAATTTTGCGTATTTTATGGACAGATATGTGTGATACACAAGTTTCGAACTAAACATGAGAAATGTAAAAAATTCAAGGATAAACATATCCCCTTGTCGTTATACTGTACAGTACTTCGTAAAATTCATGAATTGAAAAGCAGTAAGTTGGTAGGAGTGATTTTAATTCATAGTAATCGATTTTAAATTAACAATTCCACGCTGAAAACTATGAAAAATTCACTGCACGCAAACCATACTTCACTAAAATTAAAGCTGGTCGCACCTTTTTTTGAGGTTGAAAATGATTTTTGGGCATATTTTCAGGGGTGTCCAATACAGATTATAACAGTAAATATTGATCGTACATAAAAGCAACAAAATTGCAGAAACCGCGTGACGAGAGCCGCCGAAGGCCAACTTTTATTTCAACTTGAATTGATTATTTCTGATTTATATTGCATGCAACGTGATCTGAATCAACGCGAAAACAAACGAATTTTAGGAAATCTGTTCAATGATGAAAATTATACAAAAAATTCGCAAAATGGCTTCTTTTTCTAAAATTGAACCCTCTTCTTTCGGAGAAGCAAAGAAGTTTCAACTTAATGTCAATGTGTCTCACCTTGACCCAAACCCGAGCGGATCCTTCACCCGCTTCGTGGCCATCCAACTCGACGAGTTTCCCGTCAGTCTTGTTTTGCACCAATCGGTGAACGAAGTTGTCACCAGCGTAGTCCCAAACCCGATTAGTCCCGATTTGCATCGCATAAATGTGGTTCGTCTCGCAGAAATGCGCTTCGGCGTGTTTGTTATCGTAACGCCCGCACCCGACGTTGCCACAAATGAGGCAAATCCATAAATCAGACGTCGAAGGACAAGAGAAGCAACAGGATCTTTCCACGACTTCAGGCGTGCTCGTGTACCTATTAATTGAACGACGAATGTTAGTGACGATTTTGGTGTCATGGATTAGATTCTGACGGGGAATATAACTTCTGCAATATCACTAGCATTGGTTTTGGAAGAGGAATTCGTGCGCATAATTGTCAATAAATAAATACAGTACTGTACTGCACAGAAGACAGAACTAGCTTCATCCCAACTATTTCGTGATATCAAAAAGTCACTTTTAGCTCAAATTCTGTCATTGCCGAGCTTGAAGACTGCATATTATTCGTAAAGTTCAAAGAATACGGGAGACTCAACGCCAGACAGCAAATAAGTGTAATTCTGTATTCATAGAAAGAGAAACAAATAAATTGAATCTCAAAAACAAGAACAGAAAATCCGAAAAAAAACATCAAATTTTGCGAGAATGAAATCTGGGATCTATCGCATGCATGCACGAAAAAATAATGAATAAACACTCATCTCCGTTAAATCTTCATTGAAAAATAAAAAGAGAACAACTTTGTGAGAAATCTAGGCTCAAAAACTGATTCCAATAATTTTGGAAATCTTCTTTGAAATGCAAGGAAGTTTTCGAAATGAAATTTCCCCCTGGAAACAGGGACTTGGAGCGGAGCCCAAGCAGAGAACTTTTAGCTGAAGCAGAGCGGAGCCCAGAGCAGGCAAAATTTTCTCCGGGCTCCAAGCCTGATACTGCAATGTCAAAAATTGGGGAAAACCCCAAGCCATACATGACTGTTTGGCTGGCACCAGTCAACCCTACTGCCTCCATCCTATGAAGTCCTCAAAACCACAGCCTGAATCCATTTTTCTCAAAAACCTCAAAGATGTGTATGTGTGTGTTACAGAATGTACCCCATGGTTAACTTGCATTTATTTTTCAATGATTAGTTTGAGGATATGTACAGTTACCAAATGAAGCAATTTAAAAGATTGAGGAAATGTGATTGTTTGGCTGGTGCCAGCCAACAGAAATCCCCACCCTAGAATAAGTCATTTACATTTAACTGGATGCATCCCCTGGTTGATCTACTACAGTACAGGTGGACACTTCATCCTCTTTAGTTCTCTAACCCATGGTCTGCAGACTGGTGCCAGCCTGATCTGCAGAGTGGTGCCAGTCTGCAGAAGTTTATTGCTGGTCTGCACAAAATGTTCTGCAGCATAATAAATTTAAAAAATTAGCAATGAAGTCTGTCATCTTCATTTCAAACGCCAAAAAGATGGCAGTTGAAATGATCTGATAAAAAATGAAATTTGGCTTTTCTCTTAATACAACTTCAGATAAATTCTCTTTTTGCTGAAATTAATTATTCAATTTTTCATTCTGGAGAAATTTTCTTCAAGCCCACTTTTCAAGCTTTGAAGACATTCCACTGTACAGATGGATTATTACTTCTTGATTTTCGCGAAAAAGCATCATCTCTTCACATGCCTTCCATGAAGTCCTTCAAGCAAAATTTGTTCAAGTCTGCAACAATTTTAAGAAACTTTTCTGGTCTGCAGATTTTTTTTTTCTAATTTGCTGGTCCATGGGCCCAATGAACACTGGTCTATGCAACAAAATTCAGGGGATCAGAAAGAATTGTTTGAGATACTTTTTAGAGAACCTCTATAATATAGGTAGAGGCCCATACGGAAAAACTGCTGAGATGCAGAAAAAAATTTTTATAACACGATTCATTGTTGTGGAATTTTACTGTACTAGTCAATGGTTCTGAAAAGTGTCTGGAGCTCCGGAGCCCTGGAGTAGAGCACCAGTCCGGAGTAGGCGATTGTGTCTGGAGTGGAGCAAACATTTTCTAAAATCCTGCTCCAAGTCCCTGCCTCTCACAAATCAACTCGCACTAGCTTCTATTCCTGAAAATGAGACGATTCGTACGTGATCTAATAACTTTCAGCGCAATTGGCCTAGAGTTCCTAGACTGAATTCTAATAATGCTTTCGTCGTCTCAATCGGTGACTTGCCCAAGAAATTTTTCAGCAAATACTGATTCCAATGCTTTTAGAGTTCTTACTTACAACTTCTTCGCAATTCAAGGAAGATTCCCACATGAAATTTCCTCTAGAACGAATTAACTCGCATCAAATTCGATTCCGAAAAATGAGACAATTCACAAGTTAAAGTTCGACTTGATCTACTGAATTTCATCGCAGATGCCGTGGCATGAAGCATTCTGGTAACGCTTTTGTCGTCCCAATCGATGAATTGTCAATAAATTTCCGCCAACATTTTCAAAAGTTCAGCACACACAACGCAAAAATCTCACCGACACACGGGGCAACTTCCATCACCCCACTGCGACAAGCAAGCACTGTGAAAGCTGTGATTGCATAAAATGGTCAGTACACCATCCACGCTTTCGTCCATTCGCTCCAGGCACACGGAACACACCGGAAGCTCGGTGTGGAACTCCAACGGAAGTCCTCCACCTTCCGACTCTTTCACGGATTCCACCCGTGACACGTACACGAGGTGACAAAGATCCGGTTCAAGGGAATTGAACGGCATTCCGTTGAATGTTTTATAAAACTCGTCTGCTCCTTGTTGAGACCTGAAATAATGATCACGAAACTTCATTCGTCACACATGCTCCTCGACCAAATTCAAGAATGTTTTATCAAAATGTGACCCAAGGTTATACGTCCGAAGGTTCTTCACTTGTTGTCAATGAAGAGATAAATGATGGAAAACATAGGGTGGACAGGAAAAGCGTGTTCATCACAGCTTACACTTACACTCATTCTTTCAATTTAAATGAAGCATAAGAAAAAGAAGTCCCAGAAAACTCCTGAAAGGACTACGAGTTCCAGAGGAGACTGAGAATTGCTTTTGGAAGAAATGGCAACATACGTTAAACATCTTTCACCATTAAAAAAATCTGGGATGCACAAAAATTACAGAATCGAACCAGAAATGAGAAAAAAATGGAGGAAAATTGTTCTTGCAAGTTTCTTTTTTTTTTTCAAATCCACAACGAAATGAACATTATTGAATTTCTTTTGCAAAGTTCCATGCATGGAATATAATCGGGATTCTTTGAGTTGATGGTTTCAATGGTTCTCAAGAACTTCAAACAAGTTGTTCTAAATGAATCACATTTTTGAAATCCACTGTTTTCAGCAAAAATCATCACCTCAATTAATTACAGTTGGACCTTGATAACTCAATCTTTCCCAAGTCGAATTACTTTTCAAGTCCATGAATTCCCTTAGAAACAATGCATTAAAAACCTCCCCAACTTGAAGGCTTTCTCCCTCAAGCCTCCATAAATCAAATTTTCTGAAGGCCTTTTGGCCATCATTTTATTGACAGGAAAGAGAAAAGCAACACAAAAAAAACCTGATGCAATTTGAAAGGAGGTGAAAGACTAATTGGGAAAATGAACCGTTGCCTCCAACTTGAGCATCTGTTTCAATTCATCCATGATGCAATTTGAGGCTCAGAATATCACCGATTACAAATTCCTGCAATTATTCTTTCTTTTCCTCAAAAAAAGGCTTGTTTACCCAACTTGATAGTTTTCGCTGGACCCTCGAAGTTCGACTAGAAGAGGTTCAACTGTCCTTTCATTAATACAGATACTCGCGGAATACGCATTTATTCGTTCAAAACAAATGCTCGACGATGGATAACATTCACCTGAACTTCAACAACACCATGTACTGGTTTGGAGTTCTGTCCCTCACGATCCTCACGAGTTGAATTTCCGGCGAACACGGAGCCAGAAAGTTCATCAAGTCACGACTCGTCAACACAGCCGGAACAGCCAACATGCAAATCATCATCGATCGTCCTTCATCCCCGTCACTCGGCGCCGGGGTCAACACATTCTCCTTGTACAAATGCAAAATCCCTTCAGTCACCTCGACTTCAGGGTTGCCGGAAATGAAGCTTCTCTTCATGGCGTCTTCAGCGTCGCCGTCGGCAATATTAGCGAGATCGTAACTCTCGACGATCAAGTGGCGTTTAGTACGAACACCGCGGTGAAGTCGGATCGTGTCGATGTCGGCAGGTTTCTTCTTCCGGGCCAACAACAAGGATTCCTCCTCATCCGGATTTTGTTGGAAGTTGAACGCGGACACGTTCTGGTCATCGGCTAACTCGAGACGCCACACGCATAAGCTGACTTTAGCTACTGCCATAACTTGAAAAACAAAACCCAACACGGATATTTTTCATCACTTCCATATCGCGCGCAATTTGCCTGCAAAAAAAAAAATTATGAAAAAAAGCCACGACAGAAACCGATTTAAAAAAGCCACGAATTTAGGAGATTACTTCAGGAAGAGTCCCAGAAATAACCTATTCACGTAAAGACACCTCCACACAATTAGATTAAATCCGAGAGGAGCCTCAATTTGTCAGCCACTCAAACGGGAAAAAAATCATTAAAAATCTGGGACACACTTTCAATCGATTCACAACAGGACAGTACAGTAATGAGCATTAAAGGCAGACAGAATATACAACTTATTTTAAATTAGATTTTAGCGGCGGAGTATTTTAATAACTGACTGTGAATCAGGTCGCATTTCAATAAACCTAAAAATCTGATTGATCTAGCAATACTTGTATCACAACACATTTTTAAATTGAACAGGCAGTTACTTCTCACTGTATTTACACAAGTACCGTGCACACCTATTCTCTGTAAAATCAAGGCAGAACTGTGGGGCACATACGGTATGCAGGTATACTTTTCTGAGAACAAAAAATTAAGAAACCGTACTATTTGAAGCAAAAAATTACCATATTCACGCAAGAACCACACACCGTTTTTCCCGAAATTGGAAGGAAAATGGGGTTCGTGTCATAGGCGGGGATAAATGAATAAAAATTAGAAGTTTAGGTGAGCATAATAACTGATGACCGTATAAATGCATCAGAAAAACTTATTTTCACGAAGAAATTGAAAATAATTTGAATTCAGCTTCAACTCATGCCTAGATTCATATTTAGGTGTTATTATTTTGGAAATATTACAGTTTTAGCGTAATTACAAATGGGTTGCGCGTATTACTTGGGCATAGAAATTTTATGAAAATTTTAGACTGAAACCAGGTTGGGAGTCTTGCTCAAGAAATGAACATGGTACTCTTTACGTACAGTACTTTTATTTAATTGCCACAGTTTTGCTAGAAATTATTATTTTGTAAAAAAAATTATGTCAGCCAACAAAAACTGGGATACAGATCTTATGCAAAGATATGTTCGAAACAATTTTGGGCCAAGGAAATGAAAGTGCAAGTCTTACTCGAGGATATGTGCTACTCAAGTAAATACTGCAGTTTTGAGGCTAAAATTAATCCTTAGAGCACAAAGGTGTATAATTAGGTAATCCATGTCAATTATTTCGATGGATGAACATCCTGGACCCCCACACAAAGGCAAGCAAATCCAACTTAAGAACGACTTTAAAAAACACGCTGATTTTGTCCGAGTGAAAATCGAAGTGCATCGTATTTTAGCGTGAATAGGGAAATTCGTGGGCAAAAACGAGGTCGGCTGCAGTTGAACACTGGAACTCTATCTCATAATCGAAAACACGTCACACAGACATTTCAAGACTCCAGATCACGATTTTCATCACGACGAACATAAATTATGTCAAGCCAACGGAAGCGCTGACGCATTCAATATTTTAATCAAAATCTTTCGCCAAGGCGACGATCGTAAACCGATTCTCGTTCGGATTCGCTTGCATAAAAGCCTGGCACACTTTGATGCCGTCCTCGAGAAAGGTGTCCGGTGTCGTGTTTCCGTGACACACGGGCCCTTCCTTTCGTCCGTCCAACTCCCATATCTTCCCTTCCGCCGGAACTATGGCCACAAAGTGCAAATCAACGTTCTGGGCCTCTTCGGAACTCGGCGGCGCAGTTTGACCTTGCTGCGAAATCTTCTCGTGCTTCGTGCGGAAATCTACGTCGCAGGCCAAAGCAGTGCCCCGGGCTTCCGGGTCGAGACAACTCGTCGAACAAATAAATTTCCCCAGCGTCGATGAATCGTCGTACTTCAGTGCGGGATTATTGGCGGTCAGGTGTATCAAAGCTATCGTACCGCAGGCGTTGGATATCTTCTGCTTCATGAAATACACTTTGTCGCTTTCTGAAAGAAACGTATAGTACAATAATTCTTCGTATTTCTTTTCTTCGACGAACTAAAGCTTGAACAATGCAACCGAAATCAACTCAACTTAACCAATGCCGGGTATCTCTACAAAAGGAGACCTGGAAATTAAATAAGGTCTGCTGATTCGAATATGAACTCTAGTCAAAAAATAATCCGTCATCACTTCCCCGAAACGACATGCAAAATCTACTACAGTACGGTGAGTCCCCGCACAGCGAAAGACCAGCGCAATGGAATATTCTAGAGCGAAGAAAAAGTGACAAGCATAAAGAAATTTTTATTTAAAATGCTTGAATTTTATAAAATAGTCATAGAACTGTATCTTCAAAATTTGGAATTTTTAAAACTGAGGAATTCTGAGAAATGTTTACTTATATATATTCTTGACTTGATGAGTCGGAAAATTCATAAACTTAAGAGCGAGAAGTTTAAATGATACTGTACCGTACTTCAATTCTTCGAATAAAGGCAAGGAATTTTCCAAAATTTTCGGTTCATTCTTTGCAGGTCAACTTTTTACGCCCTCTCCAAGATCTGTGATTTAAAAATGACACGCTATCACGTCAAACAAAAAACGTTGAGTATTTAGCGATAAGAGACTTCCCAATGAAACATATTCACATCAGAATTTTGTAAACGCGGATAAAATCAAAGTACTTTTTCAAAAAAAAAATACGACATATCCTCTGTGAACCGCAGGGAAATGAATGAACACTCACCATTGCTACTAGGCACAACCGTCGAGATCTTGGCCGTGTTTTCTGCACTTGTGATTGGAAAAAGAAGAATCAATCCAAGTACAGGCCTCGGAACCATGGACAACAGTTCAGGATCTGTTCCGAACACATCGTGTATCGAGTAACCTTTCGTGAGTCCAAGCTCACGCAGAAACGCGTTCATCACATCAGGGTTTGATTCCAAAGGAATCCACTCCGCCTCTTTCGACATCACGCAAGAAAAAGCTATACAGTAGTATTGAAAAAAAAACTCGCTCCTCCTGAAAAAAAAAATTAATAAAAGTTTATACGCATCACTGAATCAAAACAAAATTGAATCATCACACCGGTACCGTTCCACAGTTCATTTTCTTTTTCGTAAACAATATCTGAAAACATCTCGGCCATTTCAATGGGATCGACACAAATCACAAAAAAAAGAACTTCGAGGGCAAGTCCTTGTTTTGCCACTGAACTCTAAGCAGCTTCTTCGGGGAATTTCACAAGGATTAGATCGTCTTCGAACGAAAGAGTTTGTCATTAAATACAGGCAAGAAGTCGGACGAACACCTCCACAAATATTCTTACAGCATGATACAAATCAGGAAACTGAATCATAGGAATAGTCATTTCTCATTAAAAAAGGACTTCCACCATCAACCACTCATAGCATATGAAAGGATTCAGACCAAATTATAACTGGAAAATAATTAAAAATAAGGTCAGGTTCGTTGCTGAACAAGATTTGAAATCCATTCTACGACCAGTAAGCATCCTGGTAAATCAACTCAAATCTATTATGCCACTAAGTGAGTTGAAAGTTGCTCAGGTAAAATTATTCAACTTCCACAGAGAAGACAGAAGAGACTTGAAAGAAACTGAATATTTTTTTACCTGACGAAGAGATCCTGCGGATCATTATCTTCTTATGGAAAGAACAAAGCATCGGAAGACGAGAGAAAGGGACAGCTTTGTTCATTTCTCATTCACGGTTGATGTTCGAAACATACATGAAAGCCAGGATAAATGTCACTAATCCTTTAAAAATTCCCTAAATAAGCCCCTTGCGCTTCTTATAATCGTCCAGGTTCAAACACCGCTTCGGGCCATCCTTGGGCAAGCTCGACACCGGCTTGCTCGTCACGGGCACAACCGACGGCAACACGGCCATGGCGGGGTCCAGATCTATCTGGATGTCGAAGTCGTGCGCACTAAACAGATCCGTCGGAGTCTTCTTCTCTTCCTTGGAAACTTCTTTGTGTTCCACGTGTTTCTTCTCCGGAAGCGTAGTATTCTTGAAAAAAAAATGAAAGAAAATAACTCGACGTCATTCACACGAACTATTGCTCCGAGTCTCCATCTTCTTCCGCCCTTAAAAATTATTAAATTTGCTTCCTTTCCGAATTTTACACAAATTCCAACGAATTTTTCTGACGCTCAGCTAATTCATTCCCATTTTGGCCTGCACAACCTCCCTTAAGTTGGACACAATTCATCTTTTTCTCTGCGAAATCTCTTGGATGCCATTATTCTTCTAGAAAACAACTTTGAAAATGAATGCTGCAGTTGAAGTTTCGCATTGATCTGAAAATCCGTTGACTTACTAAGAGAGGGAACCGCAAAAAACCTCGTCAAAATTCATGAGCGGCGTAAGTTTAAGGAAATTAGCTTCAACTTGTTTCAGAGTTTTCCTAGAAAATGTATGCACGATCAACATTAGGGAAAACACATGGAATTTGCACTTCGTTCCAGCAGAAGTTTTCCAGTTATCACTCTCCGAGCCTATATACGAATACAAAACGTGAAAATCATAACAGCTCGACTCCAATAAAATCAATTCCAGGACTCCTCGTATGAAACTATTTTCTCGTCAGCGAAATTCTGCCATCAATAAAATTTTGATAGTCCTGTTAGAGTTGCTATCAACGTATCTGAAGCTCTTCTACGATATCGCTGGAAAAAGAGGCCATCTCCAATATCAACAACAGCTTCGAAGAAAATTTTCCAATTATCACGCAAAATTAAAATTCTTACGATCTTCAAAATCCTTAAGAAGCTTCGCAAATGCGTACCGAAGGTTTCTGTTCCAACGGCGTCGTTGTTGAAGGACGATGCATCATGGTGGGACGCGTAGACCTTCGCGTGAACGGATCGTCGACTTTCTTGCCCTTGGCAGCCTTCGCCTCGGCAAGGATGGCGCTTTCTGCAGACTTCACATTCATTTTCCGATTACGTTCGTTAATGTAGGCAATGATTTGGATCGTCGACGACCGCGTCTTGTCCAATCCTTCGGCGCGTTCTTCGAGCTCACTCAGCACCTGACCAATGCGGGCGGCCTCTGCTGTGTCACCGCGGGAAACGGCCATTTCTTTCTCCTTGTACAACTCGGTTTTCTTCTTTGCGAAATTGTACGGACCCGGACGGAAGCGAGCTTTCTCCGCCACGACTTTCTCGATATCAGAGTCCTTTAGCTCATACGATATCGCCCTGCACAACAAGGGAACAAAACTTGTCGTAAATTCTAAAAATCAAATACTGAAAACAAAAATTCGTATTACATTGTAAATTCATTCCTCTATCGTTTAGTTTAGTCAACCAGCCCGATGCAGCAGAATTGATCAGCGATGTTCAACGAATGATCGCCAATATATAAAATATATATCAAGTGCAGCTGTTGCAACCATACAACAGAGAACAAGAGGGAGGAATAAATTAAATTCTGTTAAAAGAACGTTACAATGAAACATGTCAAGCCAAATTACCACCGCGCAAACGAAACGGTCGTTTCAATCCACATCGTGGCTTGGACGAAATTCAACTGACCCCTGAATTTGATTATATCAATGAGAAGGTTCAAGCTCAAGGAACAAATGCTCTATTCAACGTCACGGCTGATGAAAGCAGAAGGTATTGCAGATGAAATGATGACAATTTCAATTCTCAGGTGAGAGGGAAAAAGGGATATAAAAAATTCTCAACTCACTTTATGATGTCAGCGGTTTTTTCTTCCACGTGTTTCATCGTGGGAAGTGGTAGACCACCCATCGAAGTAACTTCAACCCACTTCTGGAACTCTGTCTCTGAAAATTCCTGGTTTGAAACGAACTCAAGCCTGAACACGCGTTCCTGAGCTCCAGAACGAATCAAGAGACCCTTGTTGGTTCGAGTTTTACCCAGCTGGTAGACTTTGGCAGTTTCTTTCACGTCGAGGATTTCACCGACACGATAAACCGCCACGCCCGTGGACGGATTATTACCGATTCCGATGCGCACAAAGCATCCCTTCACGGTTTCGGCAAAAAACGGCATATGACACCATTTTTCACACTTATTTCGGGAAATACGGATTCTGTTCAAGTCCTCTCTTGACTTGATATTCTCCGCGGGTTTCTCAGCCTGGGATTCGTCATCGGAGTCGGAATCAGAGGACGACGACGATGATGATGATGATGAAGAAGAGGAACCTGACGATGAAGAACCTCTCTTGACCTTCTTAGTTCCACCCTCGGAATCGGAGTCACTTTCGCTCGAATCGGATGAATAAACATCAGACGCTCTTAGTTTCCGACCATTTTCATCTCTCTTCGCCTTCTTCATTTTCTTCTTTGATTTTTCCTTCTTTTCAACTTCCACTTCCTCATCCGCATCATCTGCACTGCTGTCAACCGAAGAACGGTCCTCGTCATCCTTTTTCTCAGTTTCCTCAGTTTGTTTTTTCTCTTCACGCTTCTCTCGTTTAGCTTTCAACATCGAGAACGCATCGAACTTCTGATCTTTTCGCTTGTCCTCCATAGTTTGGACCCGAGTTTTACTTCGCGTCTTGGCATCGTCTTCATCATCGTCCAGGCCATCCTCATTATCCTCGTCTTCGGATGACGACGATGATGACGGTTTTGGTGGAGCCACTTTACCATCTTTCTTACGAGCAGCCCGTAATTTCTTTTCAATTTCGTAACGGGCACGAAGTGCATCACGTTGTTCAATACGCTTGAAAATTTCTTGTTCTCGTTCTTTTTCAGTCATCGCAGCAAGACGTTTCTGATCATCCTCGTCTCCCATCAAGTTGTCATCGTATCCATCAGTGAAATTATCGGCCCAACTCCCATCAGACGAATCGGAATCTGAACCTCCAACTGTTCCACGCGCTTTCTTGGGTTTCCTTTTCATAGCCACCTTCTTCTTGGCGGCTTGGCTCGCAGGAGCAAAATCGGCATCCTTTTCGTCTTCGGTGTCCGACGAGGAATCTGATGAAGGACGCTTCCTCTTCTTACTGTTGTCAGCATCAGAATTCGATGCGTCAGAATCAGTTTCGACAACATGCTTGGACTTCCGCTTCATGGCGCTTCTAACGTCGTCCCCGCTCAACGACAGTAGATGCGAATATCACAGATAACACAATGCGAAACCTTATCCAAGCCGGGTACCTGGTTCAAATAGCTGTAATTTTCATCACTACACGACAGCCAGACCAACAAAATTCAAGACTAGATTCACTGGAATAAACGTCATAACACATCGCCTCGCGATCGTCTCACCAAAATCCTGTATTCATCACAGTCGGTTTCAGAACCTGCAATCCTCGCCGAGGGTTTCACCTCAGCGCTTCACGCTGGCGAGTTCGAATCCGGAAACCGACGGCAGCCATAGTTCGTGCCTCGCACGCACGTGAAGAGACGAATGTAAAACACAGAGCTCAGGTGAAATACTAACTACAGTACAGTGCATACTTCGACTTACTGAGGGTCCACAATCGTAACATCATGTGCGTTCATTCCAACCTCTCTAAGCCATCAACCAATCAACGATGTTCGGTTGTGGAAAACATTCGCTTTTATTCAAGAAAATAGCATGGCAGTTTTCTGCAACATGCGACCTGTCAAGGAAAAAGAGCCCGAGGTAAGACAGAACGCGAGTTCTATCGAATAGCGAAAGCATCATCCCGCCCTGGAGAACCAGAAAATTGCAAGCATGATTCTCGAGGGTTCGATGGAAGCGTGACAAAGACCCAACGCCGAATGGAAGAAGCATCACACAGCTCTCCAACTTTCAATGAATAATGAACCAAAAGAGAAAAAAAAAGGCAGAAGAGCGCTTTCGCAGCGAAAATCCCTGCGTCGAAAAACCAGGTTACTCAAAATAAGACGAACAAAAAACAAATCCGTTACCTAGAAATCAATCCGTGCGAACAACACGCGCGAATGAAACGTTTATCTTAAAACCGGATAATTCTTCCTTTCGATTCACGATCGATAAATAAAATTCAAGCACCAGGTGGCTTCCAAAAGACAACACTTTTACGCCACGTTGACGGAAAATCCTAAGGAATCCCTGGCTACCTTCAACGCTACGTAGAATAACGCACGATTTGATGATCAGTTGAACATCACAAAAAAAGCTCACTGACCATCAAGCAATTCGCAATTAACCGTCAATCTCACACACCAAACTTGCACAGCATACGGTAAATGTCTCTTCAACGGACCAATAATCCGTCGTGGAAATCGATAGGAAAAACAAAACCTGCAAAAGGGGGACTGTAAAACTACTAAACAAGCCAAGTCGAGACGAATGCCCGTCAGTTCTGCACAGAAAATTCCAAGAGAAAAATACCGATCAAACCCGTCTTCTTTTTAATTGATGGGAATGTCGCGCGTGAAACTTCAGGAGATTATTTCAAAGAACATCTGAGATGCACCCATTGATAATTGGTTAGCAATATACGGCTATTAGCAGATTCCCCTTTTCGAAACCGATCAAAAATTATCAATGGGACGGCCAACGGTAAGAAGAATTTTTCCCAGTTTCCTCACTTCGCAAACACCTTTGAAAACCATATTTCAGATTGAACGGGGAAATTTCATCCAAACGAAAGACAGCCGAAGCAAAAGCCAATCAACAAAACAATCTACGCAAAGGTACCGTAATCGCACTGCAAGATGGTGGCAAATAAAACTAAGGAATAAGGTATTCGCACGAAAAACGCAACAAAGTAAAAGAGGGATCTCGTAAATTCCTAATCAAAAATACAGTACACTCTAAAGAGCATGAAACCACAGGCGAACGAACACCTTTTCTGTTCGTATTCGACTCATAAAGCTGTAAGGCAATACGTGTAAGTAATAGTACGAACGATTGAAGAACTTTCATAACTTTATCGCTTTTGGGTAACCTTCGCAAGCAAAAAATAACGGCTGATGTTCGAAACATTTTCGGCGGAGTACGATTCTGACATTCCCGACAAGCGACAGTTCGAACGGAGAAGCGAACGGAGAAGCGAAAATCGACGCGGAAAACCGGGAAACGCGAACCGAGCAATCGCAATATACATACATACAACAAATAATAGATATCTGCACAAAATCATATCTACTTTCGCATTTCATCGCGTAACACTAGCCTATATCACGATAGGAACCACAGGTACCGTTCTTTTTAACCTCTTCCGCATCATCAATTTTTTGTCAATTAAGTGAGAAAATAAATAAATCTAAAAACATTTCTTCCACGCCAAAGGATTAGAAAAGAACAACCCTTTGACACAAAAAAGGAAAGAAAAAACGTTGTAACGATATCAGACGTTAATTCTCTTTCAACGTGGATTCCTTCTTCCGCAATTCTTCAAATACAGCATAAATTGACCAATACGTGAAATATAACGCCTTTTTCTTAAATCGGGATTTGCGGAGAAGGAAAGAAAAATGGACTCTCCAGGTTCACAAAATCGGACGAAGGGCACCGCGTTTTTTCTCGGCAGAATCTCGCAGGAAATATGAGCCCGACAAAGATATACCGGCAATCTTCAAATTTAAATCTGAGTGCGTACAGTCCTCTGTGCCTAAAACTTTGATAATGGAGACAAATGAGAATCGCAAGTTGAAAATAGTATCGAATTGAAGCACGATAAGGACGGGAGAGCAAGAATCAATAAGAAGACGCGGCCGAAACGTGTTCATAGAGACACCTGAATCGAAAATCCCTACACCGGAGTAGGGGCGCTGGCGTTTCTACTAGGACTCGAGGAATTCTTCGCTTCTTTGGGAATTCCTGGCGGCGCCGCGTACCGGTTTTCGCTGGCGGCGGCGGATACTGGAGGCGGCGCGTATCTCGTCTCACCAGACGGCGGTGCGGCATATCGGGCTTCTCCCGGCGGCGCAGCGTATCGCTCACCGCCATTGGAACCCGGCGTGGCACTGATCGACCGCAATTGGTACACTTCCGGGTCGCAAGTGTACTTTCCTGCGATAGCAATCCTTGATTTAGTACAGTAGAATCTCGTTAAAACGAAAACGGTCATAATGAATTAATGCTTACACGGAATTATTTTTTATCTCTGTCCAATAACCATACTGCTATTTTAATTTCGTTTCTACAAACTTATGTTTATAAAGAAGATTTTTCCAAGGTCCCAAACGCTTCGTTGTAACGAGATTATATGGTGCCACAAAAAATCGTAATGCTTAAAAATTGACCAAAATAAAATAAATCGAGGAATTCCTCCAAGAATATCATCGGTTTATAACTGAGAATCACATCCCGGGCTCAAATAAAACCTCAGGATATTTTTGAACAATTGCTTTTTTCAATTTAAATTCATGGAAAGTATCTTTGTCCAGCTTCCTTCATTGAAAATCGAAAAAACCGTTAATGTGTTTTTGGGATTCCTTCATGATGGCACCCAATATAGTACAGTATTCAAATACGCACAAAATCTCAATTCCTAGCCGGTGGTACGTGGGTCACTACTCGAATTCTTGAGGACGTTTTTAGAAAAATATTGCGGACGTTGAGCATAGAAGGTGGACTTCCAGATTCTCAATAATCTAAATGAAGCCAGTCGAGGAAGAGATTAGAGGAGGAAATTATTGAATACATGAGGCTTTTGAGCGATAAATGTGCAGGAGTATGAAGTCACCGGAAGGTAGTAAGAGAAGAGGTAAAGGTCGGAAGACAATGAAGATTTCTCGCCAAGAGGTGACATCGAATCGAACACATGATTAGTCCAAAAAGACTCATTTTTTAAGTGATTAAACTCGTCAAAAAGTTTTTTTTTACAGAATCATACTCTAAACTTTTGGGGGAAACAAAAAAATTGCCAAAGGACTGACACACTGTAAAACAGACGAATTCTCGAAAAGATCGAACCTGAAACGAGCTTCTTCTTTATCAGCGAGACTCTGTAACCAGGCCCGACCAACTGGAACTCAGCACCCGATAACGTCGTCCCTTCGCAATTGAAACTGCATGACACCGTACCCGGTGATCCGGGACCCGACTTGAGCTCGAATCTCGCTCTCAACTCCCCACAGCCTCCATTCTCCGAATGACTGGATAATTCCGTGAATTTCCACTGAGCACGACTCGTCTCTTCAACCCTGGAAAAACATATGAACTACAGTAAAATCTCGTCACAATGAACTCCCAGGGACCTGATGAAAAATGTGTTTCATCGAGATTCCCTGATTCTAGTAAATTTTAGACTGAAATTTTGCGGGAACTGGGTATTAAAGGCTTTAAGGTGCTTCTAGTGCAGATAAGTCACACAACCTGTCATAATTTATAAGTCTCTCTGATGGAATCAAGAGGACAATTTTTCGAATACATCCGGTTCCATCGAACGACAAACTTCGGCCAAAAGATGTTCGAATTCACATAAACTAGACCTCGATCGAAAACAAACTTGGGCAAGAATAATCACGAGGATAAAAAACTTGTTTCCGAAATAGAAGGATCATGAATCGATGGAACTCACCATGTGCCAACTGGTCGAGCATGCATTGACTTGACACCTCCGTTGACGGGAACGGATATTGCTAAGTTGAGCAAGGCTGCGGGACTAGCAAGCGCGGCCTTGCCATTATATTTGTAGTCAACACGCAAATCCGTGTGCAAACTCTCACATTTCCAATAAGTCACTAATTGGAACGGAGCAGACTGCGCTCCCGGTTCGGATTTTATCTGAAGAAAAAATCAGCAGTAAAATCAGTCTAATTTGTAAAAACTGAAGACGAAAAAATTGACCCAGGGGCTGTGGCTAAAAGTGAATATCACTATGCCATCTCACCACTAGGAACAACTTTTTGCAAATTCTGGTTGTATTTTTACGAATTTTGTTTTCTTCAATAGAGAAATGTGCGTTAATGAGTCATCACCAGGATTATCAGTGCAAATACATTCGAACATCTTCAGGTGGAACTTTGAGGGACCAGCAAAAAAATTCGAATTATGGAAACAAGCATTTGTCTTGGGGAAAGAAAAAAGAATTACAGGAAATTGTAATTGGTTATATTCTAGATATCTATGCATTAAATTGCTTCTTCGATGCGTTGACAGGATGCTGAACTTCGAGGCAAGGGTTTATTCGCCCAATTCACTTCCCTTTGAAATACATCAAATTACATTTTATTGCTTTTCTCCTTCCTCGATCAATACAATAATAGCAAAAACGTCCCCAGTAAATAAGGATTATGCAGGTTTGAGAAAGAGCCTCGATTTGGAGAGGTTTTTAATGCACTGTTTCAATGCCTGAAAGAATCCCGACAGGGGTTTAAAGAAATTCTACACAAGGAAGATCGAGCTATTGAAGTTCAACTGTACCTGCGAACGAATCATCGTAACTTATCATAACGACGTTCAGGTTTTAAAAAAATGCAGTTGACAATTTTTGGATAAGGTTCCAGCAATCACAATTAAGTTCAAATGTAGACACCATCCTTTTTACAAAAGCAATACAGCAGAAGTAAGCATTACCCATAAAATCCGTGAACAATATTTTTTTAAACTAAACGAAATGCATGATTTAACCCTCACGAGAAAGACTAACTTTACTGTACCTGATGGACACTACACACAATTTTCGGACAATCTTTACTCTTTCTTGAATAATTCACACAGCAATAAAGATCAAAAACTCATTATCAACCCTAAGATAGTTCGAAGAACATCCATACGAAAAAAAAATTTTGGAATATAGTTCAATGTAAAAAATTAACAGTTAACATGGTAAGAAACATTTCATGCCATGAAAGGGCAAAACATGAAATTACCTGGTATTTTAGAATGTCGACATTGAAGTAGTAAGAATTGGGAAAGCTCTCCGCCTGCTTTTTCAGATGGTCAATCAAGGCAGTCATTTTGAATTCATACACCGGACTCGTCGGGGTGCTTTGATTTGGCTCCCTATAAAATCAAAATCCAAAATTCACTCAGCTCGCTCATAAAATGAAATAATAAAAATTAAAGCCTTTCTTACAAAGCCAGCAATTGTTTGTTGGCGAGAATACTGTTCAATTTCGTCGTGTTCTTAATGGAAAACACTAGCGGTGGCGGCGACGGGTTGTTAGTCAACGCGTGGACTATGCCCGCTGGGAAGGACATCACCAAATCCCCGATCTGCTTCACCAGACACCTGAGAAATAAAAGTGTGGAATCAGAGAACCGTTCATCACTTGTGTACAGCAGCAAAAAAAGCCTCATCTCAGTATATTTTCTACGAACTACGGGTAGATCGGAAGCGTTGTCCATTGAATGGACGGAGATGGACGCGATTTCTCAAGATAAATATTGTACAATAATTTACAATTCACTGTTTCAAGTACTCTTTTTCAGGTAGAGGAAATCGAGCTGAAAGTCCGCCCATCGCTTTTGTGGAAACGAGGAAAACCTTCCTAACTTTCATGCTTCGTAAATCTGAAGACAGAGAAAATTAGGTGTCAAAAATAACATGTACAGTACAGTAAAGTGATTTAAAATCTAGAAAAAACGTCCAATCTGACACATATACGCATATCTTGTATACTTCATCGTAATTTACAATTTAAAATCCTCTGATCCTGCTTCGTGCAACAGCGAAAATAATTTCTTTGTTTTTATGAACAGATTGTTTATTAACATTGGAGCTCATCCGGAGTCGGGGCTACAATTGAACAAAACCACAACGGAGACTTATCTGAACATCTTTCGCTGATACAACGGGGTTTGGAAAATTCTGAATCAAAAGTTGAGATTAAAAGAACTCAATTAAAAGGCAAATCCAAAATTTGGAACAGCTTCCCCTCGTATACGGGAAAAAGGGGTTCCACACAAATACTGCACACAGATTCAGTTAAGGTCAAATAATTTTCTTAAGATTTTTCATGCACTGAAGGTCCTACAATACTGTGGGGCCTCGAGCAACGCAGCTAATCTGTTCCAGGGATTGGTTTGTTGCCCAAAGCGTTCTTAGTGCAAGGCACACATTTTCATAGTATCCTTTGAAAATTAATTTAATTAGTCCCAGATTAAAAAATTATTCAAGGGAAACTGAAGAGGAGCATTAAAATTTCAAAAACAGAACAGGAATACAAAGAAAACCCTAATTACTACAGTAATAAGCTTTAACTGTACAAGAAATTATTAAAAACATGCGAAATCAGAAGAAACAAGGAAATTCAAATTCCCTCAGGTTTTAAATTTCCCTTTGAATTCAATTCTCTTTCGGATTTTCTTTTATATTTTCGAAATATATCGTCATAAAATTGTAAAATTTTATCGATTTTCAGAATTTTAGAGAAATCATTTGTATAGGAATTCTTCTCGTTTCTCTACTTGACTTGAGGTTTGTTCCTCAAGCCAAGTTCGTTGCTGAAGGCAAAACGGCGTCCAAACCCGGGTTCGTTACGGAGACGTTCTTGCTTAAGGCGTTCGTTGATCAAAAACCCACTGAGCTTACATAACAACACCGTACAATACTGTACGGTGCATCAGGTACAGCAAAATACCATTTCAGGTCAGGTAAAGTAAATTTCAGATGACTGTCCGCTTTCAACCGATTAAAATTTATTTCTGTTCTATCCTCATCCAAGTTCATAGCGGACAAAATAATTAGGTCCCCAGTTTCACCATAGACGCAAAAATCCCTGAACATGCTACTGCTCCATTCGATAAACAAAAAACGCGGTGATAATTTTCTGGATTCCAACATTTGAGAGAAATTTGGGCGTAGAAAATTTGTTCAAAGCCGTATCAAAAAAAAAAAAAAAGTTTCTTCGAATTACGGGATATTGAAACAAGTCTAACAATTCTTACCTGGACTCGTCCGCGCCGCGGAAATACGCGTGGACCATTTCCTGGAAGGCGACGGCTATGGGTATCGTGTCGAACATGCCGATCGTCAGCGGCGAGGGCCCACGAGACGATGACGTCAACAGTGTCGGCGTCGGACCACCCGAGCTCGTTCCCACATACTTGAAATCAGCCGCTGCGAACGACGCAAGACTACCCAGACTATCAGCTCTCGACAGAGAACTCGAGCTGTTCGTTATTCGACTTCTCAGCATCGTTGCCTAGGAAAAATGAAATCAATACCCTTTCAAAGTTTCTCATCATCAGCTTATGATAATTTCGTACGAAACTTCAAAAATCGAATTCATTGTACTGTACTGTAAAATCTCGTTACAACGAAGCGTATGGAATCTTCAAAAAATACTTCCTTATAAATGAAAATTCGTTGAAACGATATTAAAATGGCATTGTGGCTATTGGTCAAGAAAAAAAACGTTAGGCATTGATTCATTATGATGAGATTCGTTGCAACGAGATTCTACTGGAACTCCGATTTTCGAGGATGCCAATCAGCCCAACTCGGGCTAATCGACACTTGAATTGCACAACTCGGATAATCAAATATCAGTGATGATCGGGCGTTGAGAATCAGAATTGATTATAAGAAACTTCAATAATTTAAATACGATAAAAAATTCTTGAGACTTGACGGGTCATGATTTTACAGAAAGGTTAATGAAGTAAAAGAAAAATTTGGTGATTAAAAAGTGTCCAGAAGATGAAGGCTACTTCGTTTCCTCTCAACGAGTCTCAACACAAAAGGGGATGCCATAATTATTCAAACTCCTTATTTAATGCTCAAAAACAAAAGAAAGATGAAAAAAACTCACGGTAAGGTCCGTTTTGCGAGGGGGTCGGGGTATCGCAATTGATGACTGACCATCACTATTGGCAGCACCTTGTTTCGGGGGTATCAACGGCGGAGCATCACCCCATTGCTTGAATAAATCTACGAAGCCTGATGGAAAAATCGAGTCAATGATGCACGTTCAGAAAAGTTTCGAAACAGGAGTTATCGACACAAAGTCATTCAACGACACTGATAAAAATGACGCCTCATAAATTCAGTATCGTACAAATGAGAGGAGATGACGTCACGCACAAATTTTAGGCATGACGACAGATTGCTATAAAATCGCAAGCGCTGCGACATCAGTCACGTGACCTTCCTATCGAAAGCCTTCGTGAAGATGCTATTTAGTTCGTATTCGAACAAACCTGAGGACGAAGAAGTAATCGAAGTTGGCGACGTCGGCGCGATCTGCGACTTTCTCGTGGTCAAGTCTGTCGGTGTTCCCGAAGACTCCTTCGCTTCACTCGACGATCCCGTTTCATTATTTGTCTTATTCGACCTGATCGATGATACGGATGAATCATTGAAATCAATACTTGAATCGTCGACCATTTTTGGCAATCGATCTTACTCAGGATTTAATGAGATGGTCAAGGGGGAATTTGGAAGGCGGCGAGGGTTGAGGTCCATCCGAACCGTCGACGATCCTCCAATGCTTTGCACAGGCTGGACACAAATGTAAAAAAGGAGCGAAAATTAAATTTTTGTCTTCAGCCTTGGGAAAATACCATGAAACGGAATAAAATCGTTGCATCAAGGTCGTCAGTTGCAATTTTCCAGTATCGAAAGACCCGCACAACGAAAAATTCGCCTAACACATTTTTAATGGAGGGAAAAGCGACTTGCGTTACGTAACGGAATGTTTTGACCCAAAAATGCTCGAATTTCAACAAGGTTTTGGCTAAAACCGGAAGTTTTTCAAAATTTGAAAAAAGAAGGGCACACTTTCATCTCTTCTTGCCATAAAAATTTGTGAAATTCAGGAAGGTCAGAGCACTCATTTATCAGGATTACTTGAAATCCATATAAATTTTGATTTCACAATTTCATCCAAAAATAACCAAGAAAAATTTAGTTCCCTTGGTTTCCTGTGGCTTTTCGGGGAGTGTCTGGAACGAATAGAATCATTTACGATGCAAACTCAGGGGAAATTGCGCTTCGCATTACGGAAATTCCGCTCAACGAAACATACCTAGGAACGGATCAGTTTCATTATACAGGGACCCACTGTCGTGCCACAGAAGATGAACCCTCGAATAATAAATTAATTCAATACGTAGCAACTAATTAAAATAAACATATGGTCTCTAGATGAATACCATTTCAAGGATTGGGATTATCAAGGCGCTGGCAATTTCGTCAGCAGAACGTCGTTCGAAAAAAAGAGTCGAATCAAAAAATTAAAATAACTTTGCTTTAAAATAAAGATTTGAATGTTCTTTGGAAAACTAACCGAAGCTCGGGCAACTCCACCACCCAAAGTGATTCCTTCCATCACTGCCCTCAGCTCGTCAACAGACGCTGAGGAATAAGGAACACCGGGTCCCAACGGCTTAATTTCCACCATGGGTACGACTCTTCTGTCATCATCTGAAAATTCATTTGAAAAATCAAATAAAACCTAAACATTCGTTTAAACCATCAGATGAAGCCTTTTTTTTTAGCAGCAGCATCGAAAACTGAATTGTAATTGATAAAAAAAATTTCAAGAGAAATCCTGCATTTTCTAAGGACATCTCAAAACTCTTTTCATTGAAAAATCTAATTTAAAATAAGTATCTCAACATTTACGTGAATCGGCACGGATCTGCAGATCGACTCAAACACAAACCTGAATCAGAGCCTGAGCCAGAACCTGACGAGGAAGAGAAACTAGATCGTCGATGGTCCAACGCAGACATTCTGAAATCCGCCGGAGGCACGGAATAGCCCTCGTTGTCCACTTCCGGATTCTCCGGAATCGTGGGGGTAATCCTTTCTGGATTGCTCTGCACATTCTCAACAATTCTTGACCTCGATTTATCCTCACTGAAAAATAAAACCGCGGATATTCGATAGACGCAATGACAACCCCAAGGCATCGGATCACCTCGAACAAATTTCAGCCACAAAGCAAAAAGTTTTCGTTCAATACAGATGGTCGATGTTAAAAGAAAGACTCGAACAAAGAAAATTTCGCATTCTGAAATTTTCAAGATGAAAAGTGGCTCACTTAACGGAACTGTTTCACTTAACAAAATTTTACGTCAAAAACCACTAAAATTGCATCGTATTTTGAATGTCAAGTAATGTCCGAAAATTTTTGAAAATTGGAAGGAAATGGGAAAATAATCAGTTATTTTTGCTTCTGCTTGTTCTAAAAATTTATGAAATTCAGGAGCTCGAACTAGCCAAAAATCCTTCAATTTCATACATATCAATTTTAATTCACTACCTATACTGAGAAGCACATTAATTGTACGGTTTTATTATTTATTAAATCTTTATGAGATTCTGGAACGAATTGTATAATTTACGATTCAATTTAAAAGGAGAATTCGTCTCGTATTATGAAAATTCTGCATAACGAAATGAATCCAGAAAACGAATAACTGCAGTTGCGTTATGCGGACACTCACTAATTTGAAATTTCAGTTTAGAAGGGGCAGTTGAAATTGAATTCAAGAACCTGTACGATTATTTTCGAGGGGAAAATGTCTTGCAGCAAAATACTATAAAATACACCAACAGCTCCTTTTTCCTTCACATTTTTTACACACGAAACAGTCATTTGAAATACTGCAATTTGATTATTCGCAACATTGTCCTCACCTCGGCAATTTTTCTTCTTTCGGAATTTCGAGTTCCACTTCTTTTTTCTTCTCCTTTTCCTTCTTTTTCCGCCGACTTTTGAGGAACCCTACAAACAGCAACACAAAGACACATCAGAAAAAGATCTCAAAAAAGGCAGCAAAGCAGAATCGCGGAGACGAAGGTACTTGTGCATCAGGAGAAAGGAAACATTCAAATCAAACCACACCCCAAGTTTCGCAGAACGTCAGCATAAGCCGGAGTCAAGGTAAAGCAATCTCGAAGAAACCTGCTATAATTTGAGTACCCAATAAGTACTAAAAAAAAAAGAAGACACGATTCAATCCTCTACTACTTATGACAGATGATCATTAAGTTATTGCCCCCAATTTCCTCCATCTCCCACACTTTTGAACAACCACAGCCCATGTCATGAACATTCTACGCGACGCTCGTATTAAAAGACGATCAGTCAGAAAGTCGAGCCACAGACGTTCAGAAACCTCAACCATATGCATTCAACATGAGAAAAGGAGTTCCGGGTACGTTCATTCTCCATGCATTCAAAACACACACTGAATCCCACTCGGATCACAGAAATTGTCAATGCACTTGTTTGCCGAGGACACAAATTTAATTCAATTCGAGAACAGATGACGTTATTTTTGGCAGTTTTCAGCTCGTGGTAGAGAGACATAAAAAAATGCACCTGTGACAATTATACGCCGATTCCATTCAGATAAATCATTTTTTCTATATTCAAATTTTCAAGTCGTTGAAATTAGAAAAATACAAATAGTCTCTCGAAAACGATTTCTCCGCATAACGGATTTTTTTGGTTCCATAAGCGGCATAAAGGGTCTCTATCCATATTATGGAGTTTCTATTCAAAGAAATTCTCCCATCAACCACTTTTTCTCTGGTTCCCTGAATTTTGTTGCATAGAGTCCACCAGTACATCTTTCCATGGCGCATTTAAAGCTCTCCCAATAATCTTTCAAAAATGCTCCGAACCACCACCGTTTTCACTGGAATTTTATTAGAAGGTTAAAATTTGATCATAAAACAATCACACGTCAAACCAACTGATGAACTACCCTCTGAAATGAAAACTATATTTACATAAGCACCACGTGCCCCTTTTTTTTTCGAAATTGCATTTGCACCGTTTTTTTTTTAGATAAAAAAAAGGTGGGTGCACATCAGCACGGATAAAACTTTCAAAAAAATCATAAGTCAAGATGCGGTTCACACTCGACTCACGGAAAATTTACGACAGGAACTTCTTTTAAAAGTAATTCAATTTTAATTGAATTTATGTTGAATTCACGCTCAAATTTGAATTCTGATACCTCTCATTTTTTGAAATATTGTTGTTCAGTCACAAAAATGGAGCGCTTGGTAAACGCATGCCCGACGGAGAAACCCGGAAGCCACATTTTAATGTACATTACCAAAAACAGTTTTTGAAATGCAAAAAATCTTTTCAGCCACATTCGCTTTCGAAGAAGTGAAAATAAACATACGTATAACGGTAGATTTCTAATGTTTCGATGCTGAAGTCAAGCGTGCCAGACTCAAAACAAACCACGATAACGAAAAATTCCGAAAAAATCCCTAACAAGAAACATCAAGTCACGTAACATCTCTCTCTCTAAAAAAAAAATTCACGCTAAGTCTCTTGTGCAGACACAGAAACGAAACGTGCTGGAAATAATATGCCCAATATTCTCGCGATGAAAAAAATTAATAATGTAACCGAATCAGAAACAATGTCAGGGGGATGAAAGAACAACAGAAATATGATCGAGGAACCTGGAATAGCCGGCGGACGAAGCTTTTTCTTCTTCCATCGCGATTTACCTTCGTGAGCACGAGACCACGTTTGTTATCAGCATGCAAACCAGTGCCCAACACCACGACGAACACGAGAAGAGAAAAATACGGGAAAGACACAACCATTTTAACGATATCACCCAACCGGAAGTTAGAATCATTCACAGCGATAGCGCACAAAAAACTCGGTGCGAAACAAGCGATCAACTCCATAGCTGAACACAAAATATACTTGCAAATAATTTCGTATTGCTTCAAGGATTTTGACGCCAAAAAAATCAACTGGACTTCAAAAATAAAAAGGTTGTAGTGAAAACTCTGTTCTTTAAAAAAATATACATAAATACCACCACTAGACGCGAAAAACCCGTTTTACAAACCAAGATAAATTTTCATCGTTTCACGTTTCATGGATTGAGAATCCTCCAACGGCAAAAAGATCACGAATACATCAGCTAGGGATACTTCGAAACTACAGGGTTTGTAAAAAAAAAATATCCAGCATCAGCATCACAAGATGATTGGGCAAGTATTTTATAGCAATGAATTTTATTTACGTCTTGATCTTCACAATTCCAGGTAAAATAAAAACCATTCTTACTCATTCACCTCGTCACACCATCTTTTCAAAATCATGTTTTCCCCTGTGTAACAAAAGAAATTTTGGAATAGCTTCTAGACCAGATAGGAAATACCGTCTTAAATGTGTAACAGGATATTTATGTGAAATATACACGCCTCGTTCGCATCGAAAGCACGTCAAATTGGTAGATCAAAAAGCAACAACGTAAAAAACGTATAAACACAAAATGATCGAAAAGAATTTCGAGATGAACGCTGGTATCCGGAAAAAAGTCTTTGAATAGAATTCGACACAAAATTTCAGAAACGTTAATAGACCGATTTTTCAAAAAGAGTTTGAAGAAACCGAGCCAGAAAATTCAATTGCCGAGTCCAACGACATTCAAAATAAGTTTCATACCCTGTGATTATCTGATACCAAGTATGAGGTTATGTCTAAATTAAACATTTATTCAAAAACGAATCTTCGGACAAATTACAATGACGCAGCGGCGACTCGATTACTAAAACATGCAGTATAAAAATATTCATAGCTACGATTTTCGCCAACAATCAGATGAAGCATCTAAATTAAATTTGTTTTCGAATCAAGAAGAGTGATTAACAGACATACAAAAAGTTTGATACACAATCACAAAATGTGCGCGACTCTCAGTAGTACCATTTCGCGAACTACACTTCCTAGAATTTCTTGATTCTACCCATTTCAATGCAACATTCTTTCGATACATTACGAGCAAAAATTTTCAATTTGTAACAAATTCTCAGATAAGCTTCCCCGATTCCTCTGAACTTCGCGAAAAGCAATTCAAGCGAATCAATTACGAAAAACTTTCACAAAGCATGACCAAAATTTAAAAAATGCTATCGACTCTTTTGCAAGAATGAAGCACCATTTGCACAAGCAAAAAAAGCAGTCTGTAAAACACGAAAAGCAGAACATGCTATCCGAATGAGGTAATAAAAAAATTCCAAATTTCAAATTAAGGCTTTCTGAATTAGTTCTTTTTAGGAACCATCCAACAAAACTACAACATCCAAACATGCGAACAACGTAAAGGAGAAAAAAGTCAGGGGCAATCCGAGACGACGGTCATTTCCTTCGGTCGGATAAAAACCACCGGGGAGAGAAAAAAAAAAGAAGTGAATGTCCAGCCGAACATTGGGAAAAGATCGAACCAACGAAGTATACGAGCGAAGACGGGGAAGAAAGACCAAACGAAAAAATTTGAAAAAAAAAAAATAACTGACGGACGATACAAGTAAGTGAAGTGAAAACACGAAACGAAAATTGTCATTTACATTTGGATCCTCGAAAGGTGCCTCGTAACATGGACTCATCGTGAGTGTTCGCAGACGACGCTTCCCGCGAATTCACCCTGGCATGGTCAACTGATAACTTAGAGCCCCCTTGAACCGGGAAAAACACACAACAGCAACAAACAACAACGACTGTATAAAAATGCGCAAATGAACTTCTCTTACTTCCGACAGACCAGACAAAGAAGAACCAGAAAAGAAAAAAAGAAATACATTGCAGAACATGGTACAGTGAAAAAGCAATGACAAGTTATGCAACAAATGAGGTTAGGTTAAAAACGCTGAGCACAACTCGAAGCTCCCGGATCATTGGACAATACAATACAGGCCATTCTTCTAGAATAAAAAATTTATACGCCTCATAATCACGCGAATATAAGACGCCATCAATTCTAACATGAATCTCCATTTTTTCTGCCACTCCAAAAGGAAAGACAGGTGGACTCCCTCTATCACGATTTTTGTTGGTCCATAGAGTTCTCTACTCATGTTACAAAAGCTTTCTACAACTAATTTCGTTGTCGAGAGTCTACCTGTACATTCCATAAGACAGAACAAAAAAGCATCAACTTTACAACAATAAAATCTTCAAAAATAATCGCCTTGGAATGAAACGTGGCAAAAAAGGCTGATTTTTTACTTCGTTTCATGGAGAAATTAACTTCACAAACATCAAGACCATCATCTGATTCCGAATAAAATCCACTCAAAGGGTAGTTATCAAAGTTTCTTGAAAATTTCTTCAAACATATCCTCAGACATCCAATAACTTGTAATAGTGTATGCACAACACCAAAAAATAAGATTTTTTTCGAGAATCCAAGAATTCATTGGTTTTATTTTGGCGTTGAAATCGAGAAAATGGGCGTTTCATATTCGCGTAAATCATCAGTATTATCTATCATAGCATACTAAAAAACATTTAGAACCAAACTAACGCAGAAATTGGCCAGTACTGATAACTTGCTTATGTAACACGTATTTGCCAGCAGTGTTTCACAATAAAATGAAATAAAACCACACCTTCCTCCCCTTTCTGGTTTAAAACTCAGCTCAGCAGGAAGCTTTAAAAAAAAAAAAGGCACGTAGAAATTGTACGTTCTCGGGTCCACGTGTAGGCACAAGAAGTTGAATTGATTAGATTTTCTCACCACCACTTTAAACGTACAGTTTCATAAATTTCTGTGATTATCAACAGAGCGAACTCCGTAGAAACGCATTCCGGCTTTTATCAGGACGACGAACCCGGGGAAAAATACGGGATACTGGAAATACCTTCTCCCACTTACTAATGAATAATACACCAGCTCCAAATTATTTGGGACAGAAACCACAGGACATCAATCCAACTACATAGAAATTTCGTGATTTTCCGGGATGCTCGTCAAAAGCGAGACGTAAACAAACTTACACACGTAATCAATTTTTTCTCAGGATCAAAGAAAAAATATCTAAAAGACGCGCTCTTCAAAAAACTTGAACTCCGAATTGAAGAAAAAATTGTTCAAAGATTATTTCAAATTTTCGAGCTTAACTTTCGCGGAGTTGGATGGAATTACAGTAGGTCACTGACTCGCTTCAAAAAGTGAACGAAATATTCAACTATTTTCAATTATGAAGAAATTAAAGTCACACCCGTTAGCGCTTTTCAACTGCTCTACAATACTTCTGCAAAAATCTTCAGCAAAAATTAGACTTCGATGATGAATTCAAAAAAGGATTAGAATAAAAATTGATTTTATTGACCTTGCCTCCAAGTTCAGCATCCTTTCAATTGATTTAGGAAGCAATTCAAGGCCGAGAGTATCAACAATTACGATTTCCTGTAAATATTTCTTCTTCACCAAAAAAATGTTTTATTCTCTACTTCAAAACCTTCCCAAACTCTAATTTTTCTGCTGGTCCCTTGAAGTTCAACGGTTCCTTGAAGTTCAACGGTCCCTTGAAGTTCGACTTGAAGAGGTTCAACTGTATTACAATCATCATAATTGATATTTTCACACGAAGAAACACTTCCAAATTTTCCGTCACAGTTTGACTAGCTAATCTACCGGTGCTAGTAAAAATACCTGCACCTTCATCGAGCAATTTTAATAAACATATCGCAGTTTCCCCTTCTCGCACCTCGCACGCAGAACCTTTTCGACTACGCCAGGAAGGTCACGTATAAAATACATTTAAAAAACAACAATAAATTTAAAACAGGAAGAAGAATAGAGTCGAAGAGGAGAGCGTGAAAAGGATAAATAGCGGGAAGGGGGAGAACAAAACAAAACGAATTCAAAACAAACGTGTCTGAGAGACTGGGCCAGCATACCGGTGCCATGATTGGACTCCGGACTCTGTTGAGGAGAGCTGCTCTGGCCATTGCCGCCGCTCGTGGAAGTGGTGGTGGCGGCAGTGGAAGTCGTCCACGCCGCCGCCGTCGAGGTCTTGTCGCTCGCGTTGACGGCGTTGAAGAGGTTGAGGAAGGACGCCGTCCGACGAGACGTCTTGGCGGCCAACTGTCCGCCTCGGGACGCCGAATCACTGCTCTCCTGGGCGCTCTTCTTCCGGCTATCGGTCAGCTTCCCTGGATTTGTGGGGCAATTGGTTTCGTCTTCAACGTACCTCGCTCGCAACAATTTCATTTCTCGACATAAAAATCCGAATATTGTCTTTAAACACAGCCATGAAAAGGGGTACTTTCGGGTCTCGACTCAATCCTTACACTCTCTAAGAATATGAACTCTCTACGAAGATTTTCTCGACATAACGATTTTTTTTTCGGTAGCATTGCGTACTCCTCACAATTTATATGGGTTCTCAACAACAAATTTGTTTTCTGGTTCCTTTAATTTCATTGTAGAGAGAGAGATAGAGTTCATTCAAAGGGCTTCTTGAAAGTGTTTGGCACTTACTCCAATACTTGGCCATCTTTTTCAAACACTTCGTTTCACAACCATCGTATTTTCGTCAGTAGCTTTAATGTTCTGTGCAACCTTCAAGAGGAAAAAAAATGCAGGGGAGACCGGAAATACGCCTCGTGTCACTTTGAAAACATTCAATTTTCGTCAATTTCACCTTTGCGGCTTGTATTTTTATAAAATCAATGCGACTGAAAGCAGTGAAATAAATTACACTTATCAGAAGTCATTCTTCGTGTACTAAATTGATCACAAATTCCATGATTTTATCCCGGGAAGAGATTCGCGGCAATTTCATCCTTGAAATTGAAAATCAAGTACATTGCTCTTTATGGAAATTTGAAAACGTCAGAGACACATTCAAAAGATTATTGAAACAACAAAATTAGTCAACAGTGAGCTGGATTCAACACTAGGGTTTGTTAATTCACGTTCACTCTGCTGAAAAATTATTTAACACTTTTCCTGCTTTAAAAAAAAACGGGGTCTACTGTATAGTATCCCCGTGAATTATGCCTTACTTACACGACAGCGTGAACTGTAGAGGAGAGGAAAATTCATTCGAAAACATCGGATTTCATTCCAACAGTCAGCATTACAGTAAATGTAATACGAAAAAGTTAGTGAGTCATTGAGAATACGATGACTAAAAAAGACGAAGAAACCAGGATTTCTTTCCTACACAAGATTTCGCGAATGGGCAAATCGTAAGTAACTGAAACGGCACTCCTTATTCACCAGTTCCAAATACAGTACTACTGGAAAATAAAATTACCGTATTATAGCGTGTACAGTAATTCTAAGTTCGGCAGTATAAAAGTAGAAAAATTCGCGTCTGGAAATTTCAACTGACCTACATGAGATCTGCAAATAAGGAGAAAACATTTGCTGATCTGCCATCACCCATCGGTACTTGAAATCACGCCACCAATATTCCGAACAGAATACCTTACATTCACAGGCTCGAAAATTGTGCGTTAGACATGAAGAGAACTACAAAAAATCTCTACAAATTAGAATTTTTCCATGCACGGTATGACAGTATTTCCACAGAGCTCTGAAGTTTCAAATTAGTTTCAATGGTTTTTTTCAACATTGAAGTTCATGATAAGCTACAGAAGTGTGTTCATGCAGCGCACTTTTCGAACTCCAGTTTTCACGCGGCAACCGTCTAGTCATACATTTTTTGTAAAACTGTAAATCCTCCGAAACGTGAGCGAATCAACGCCTCGGAAAAAAATAAACGTACGAGGTTTAGTACTTTCCAACTCCTACGCCTCAGAACACACGACGCATTGCAAGTTACACTTCGGAAGACACTATCCCACCCAAGAAAAAAAAAATCAAAAGCAACACCATGAAAACGTAAAAACAAACGGAATAATACCCCTACCACGCAATAATTTTCGAAAATTAAAATTAATGAATAATCGATAGCTCATTAAAACTTGTGAAAACGATTTCAAAACAATGCCCTTACACCAAAAGTGACTCCGAAACGTTTATCATATCGTTTCAGTGAAGCTGAGAGGAAGTTAACCGAGATTCCTGACACAAGAAGTACTTCATACGTCTCGAAGATACCGTAATTCAAAAGCCTTTGACGAACAGAGAGTACAGTATCGCATATTATGTTTGAGCTTTACATAAATTCGTTCCTTTCTGCCATAACTCACTTTTCTTCGAGTCTGTGTTCATACTAACTATCAAATAGGGGCTACTTGATCAAGTTTCTGTAAGGTTCGATTCTATTAAGGTCGTGCCAGGTGAGGTCAAGTTGCATAAGACTCGCGCGAATTCCTAGCATCGGTTTTATTCAGTCAGCTTCGAGATGACGACGAAACCAGCACGATGCCTCGAAAAAAAAAACAGGACGATATCCCGTTTCATCATCATTTATCGACTTTTTACGAACGTGTTTCGCAAGCTTACATAATCATCCATCGTTCTTAAGGTTAAACAGTCAAGTCTCTCAATTATAAACAAAGCTCTTCCAATATTCACATGAAACAAAACACTCAAGAATTCAATTACAGTCGAAACTCTCCAAGTCGAACTGAGGGACCAGAAAAAACATCGGGTTAAGGAAACAAGAATTTTTGGTCGTGGAAAAAATAAGAATAACAGGAAATTGAAGTTGTTGATATTCTGAGCCTGAAATTTCTTCTTCCATGAGTTGACACGATGCTGGACTTGGAGGCAAGGGCTCAATTTGAAAAATTAGTCTCTCACTTCCTTTCAAAACGCATCAAGTTAAATTCATACTGCTTTTCTTTTTCCTTTGTCAACAAAATAATAGCCAAAAAGGCGTTCAGAAAATTCGACTTACGGAGGTTTTAGGGGGAAGCCTTTCAGTTCGGGAGGTTTCCAATGAATCGGTTCCAAGGGAATTCAAACAGGGACTTGAAAATATTCGACATTTGGAGGTTCGAGTTATCGAGATTCAACTGTTCATTGTTGAAACCAAGTTCCCCGCAACTAGTAACGATGCTTTCTTGAAAACTGAACCAATTTCAGAATAAACGCAATAACTCCGACAGATCTCACTTCACTCGAATCCCAGCACTGTGAACAGTAATCGAAGTTCACGAGGGACTAGAAATGCGACAGAAAAGTCAACTGTTGAAAAGTTAGCGATGACCCAAGACTATTCGCTGGAAAGTCGGCGAACAACTTCTAGATCGACAGGTGGGAGCTTCGTCTTCCATCACACGGTCAGTACAGTGCATGTTTCTCAAAAGACAATTTGAGTGAGAGGAAGGGAAAAAAGTCAAGAACGACGGGATTCACACGGAACAAAAAATTGTAAGACACGATCCCGTTTTCTCTCGTTTCTACGCCCCTACTAAAAGCCTTCGGAGTCCCGCAACTTCAAGCGCAAAGCCAACTACCACGTTGCTTCTAGCAAAACAAATACAGTATATAGTTTTTGCGCCAAGCCAAACACTACAGCTTCGCAAAATTACCGAAACTTCGCGTCATGCGAGGAACTGTATTATTCATCAGCTCACCATCTTTCTTCGAGGGCTTTGGTGGAGTTTGCTCTGCTGAAGACGAATCGACACTGGCCAAGGGGGCCGAGAGACTAGAAAGCAAATCCCCGCTCGGGCCTCCGACACTATTGCTTCCAATAGATGCTGTTTCCGGGGCCCAAGAAACATCTACGAGGGGTTCATTCGATCTCTGGGGATTCACTTCTTCGACTGTCACAGCGGCTGAAAATGAAAAGAGATATTTTAAACACGTATTCGATTCTTGAAAGAAATACTGTAATACACATTTGCGTATCAGAGGTGAACTCTCCCTGCGATGAAATTCAAGGGACCAGAAAATAGATCGTTACAGTTTACAGAGAGAATTCCGCTGTAGAGAACTACCATTATATGCGGAAAGAACCTATTACAGTATATGGTTACAAAAAATTCGTAATACAGAGAAAATGGTTAGAGAACCCACCTTCAAGAGAATGTTTAGAGAAACCTGGTTATTACATTGATTAGATTCGTTCAACTTAAACTGACAATCCGCGGGCTACTCCAGAAATGATGATCAATCTGATCACGGCGATTCTCTCAAATGAGTGAGTAATCGATTAAAAGATCAAGGTTACAACACAGAGAAATAGCATACTGTATTCATAATTTTTAAAATTATGAAGTTCTTACGTGGGATTTCTGGACCAGTTTCCTTCTGCTGTACGAACTGTTCCAGCAATCTTTCCACGGTCAGCTCTTCACACTGCTGTCGAAAATCAGCGTGTACCTAAATAAAACAATGAACAAAAATGTAACTTGTCTGTACACAACATAACTTTTCCTAGACCAAAAAAGACGTACCTGACCAATAAGGCTGTGATTGTTTTCTACAATATCCGAATACGAGGTGATGAATTCTCGCATGAGCTTCAAATGATTCGACTCCAAATCTTGGAATTGCTGTAAACATTTGAGCAACAAATTTTCATTAGAAGACAATAATGAACTTTCATCATTGTCCCGCACGAATTGGCTCTAAAATATCGGGATGCAATTCTACAATAATTCAATCACATCTATTAGATATCACCTTGGATATGCATTTGAAGTAAAGGCCACTTTGCTCCTGCACAAAATAACTATTCGTTCAAGAAAAAAGTGTAAAATTCGATTCAAGGAATCCTGAAGACCGTTCTACGGGAGATGAATCCTTCTATAATTGCTGTTAGATATGTTCGAGGAAATGAAGCTCGTAAATGAAACATGGGTAGATTGAACATATTTTCAAGATGTTTTAAAAATTTGATAATTGCGTTTTAAATGCACACGCAGCACTGTTCTGTTTCAAGACGAAAGCAATGGCAGAAACGCGTGCGACGGCGTTTCACGATACAGTATATCCATGAGAACATGACGTAATGTGTAGATTTCACTCTGAAGACGTGATAGCAACACTCACCAGACACGAATTGGTCATTTTCTTTTCAAAATCTGCTCTGACACCGTTGTATTTTTGCACTAACGCGCGGTAGTCATCCAGCGCTTTTTTTGACTTCGCTTCTGCACGTTCCACCTCTTTCGATGATGCCCCGTTTTCATTTTTCAGCTTTTCAACTTCCGCGAACTTCTGTTGGTAGTTTAGCACAGCTTTTTGAAGATTAGCGTTGGTAACCTGGATAAGCTGAACAACGTCCTGAGTTCCTGACTGCTCATCTTTGACCTGCACGGAGTAAGGCGGAATTGAATGTACGGTATTTTTGAAATGTCTCCCGTTTTCTTCTCGAATTCAAATAGAGTGTCTTCCGATCCAAACAACAGTGAAAAACGCTCTGCTAGGTTCATATTGGTCACCTGTTTGTGCTTCTTGTGAAGTTCTTCGCTGTATTTGGCCACTTCCTTGATGAGTTCATGAAGCTTTTGAACAGCTTGAGAGTGAAGGCTGGCAAATTTTTCGATCGTTAATTTCAATGCTTGCCAAATCGGAGCGAAAGATCCATGGTTACAGCCACTATTAGATTTGTAAACGAGTTTTCCAAGCTGGGATGAACTCGCCTCCTCTATCTTCGATCTACGGGAGAGAAAAAAGTCCGCTTCACATACAAATTCCACCACGGAGGATTCCATAGTACTTCCAATGGTCCAGGTTATATAGTATTAGAGAATAGACAACTTCGAAGAAGAGTCCAGAAAGACAGCCGAGGAAAGCTATTCCGAATTAATAAAAAGGCTGAGCAATCCGTGGAACTTCACGAACCTTAACCCAAGCATCAAGTATGCATCATTACTCCGACACCACAATAAGAAAAACTCGATCGCTCGAAGCACAAAATATCAGTCAATGATTACCTTTCTCTGAAAAATTCGAGGAGCTCTTTCGTCGAAGTCAAGCTGCTCTTCTGATTTTGATAAAGGACATCAAATCCAGCGTTCTTCTCTCCCTGAAAATGCAATAGGAATTAGAAGGAAGAACAGGTGGGAGAAACGCAATAACCGCACCCAGAAGTGATTGCAGAAATCCACCGTCATTTCGAATCGGGAGAAACTTCAAATCTTACACCAAAGATTTGGAAGCCGCGAACATGATTGCAAGTTCACCTTGCGAACAAACGCATTAATATCGCGCAGAAATGTCTCCCGAACATGATTTGCACCTTGAAAGAATCAAAAGCTACCAATTTTACAAGGTGAAAAGTTTAGGCGCAAATATAGACGGAAATGACAACATAGGTACACCATCTTGGAACGAGCACATCCGAAAAAGATGCTTTTTCTCCTCCAACGTATAGTAATAACCGATTGAAACCCTTTTCGAAAATCCCGTGAGATAGCGTCCGCCGCTTTTCTCGAAAGAAACCCACTGTCGCGGAGCCAACAGGTTACGAGTGATCAGGAAAACCTCGGTCAAACAAAACCATAGGGTTCCCTCAGATACTCGTAGATCACAAGAAAACAAACATCGTCATGAATTATCATCAGACTACGGTGGGGACGCATATGACAAAAAATTAGAGAACCTGTTCCACATTTTCAACCGCGCGGTGATGGCGTTTCCAGCAGTCAACACCACCACAAGGTCGTGGCGCATCATAATTCAGCAGGTCATGATTAATGTCAGTGTATCAGACTTCAAAACGCACAGTTCATTTCATCCAAAGGGAGGCATGGGGACACTTGTCGGCTCCATTAGCAATACTGTACTTGAAGTCAAACATCATGAGCCATTCAGTAAAGCACTACAGTACATATTAAAGACAGAACTCGGCACCGCAAAAAGCCGATAAGCCATAGGCAACTCACAGTTCGTTCACAACGGACATTCCGAATCTGACAGAAAATTGAATCATCTCCAATGACAAGGATTTGTTTCATCATTGCCTACCCATAGGTGGGGATCTAGCCGAATGAGTAGCCCACGGCAATTAGGGCACCGAAACACTACACTATAATGTGGATAAATTCAACTTCGACTCCGCGTATTCAATTATTCATGTACGTTCCGAATTTTTAAACGCTGCCAGCATAGCACAATCGAGAATATTACAGTGGTCAAACTGGATAATTATTTTTGCTCACAACAGTCTTGAAACCAACCTTAACCTACCCAGATAATGATTCAGGCATGGAATTGCCAGCACTAATCCCTTCTCCCAGCAGGACCCTGCCCTCATACCCGTTATTTTGAACTTTCATCCATTGTTTTTCGGGGACAATAAAATATTTATTTTCCGATATTTTTTCGATGACATGGCATCTTGGAAAAATTTGCAGAAAAAGTAGAAACATATCAAACCTGTATAAACCTAACCAAAATTAAAAAGAACTAACCTAACCTAAATTAACTTTCTAATAGAATTAGTGAATCTTGTAGACTGCTGTGAATGTGAACAACTACCCTGAATCAACCTAACCTAACCTAACCTAATCTAACATCTAATTGAACATCCAACCAAACACCTAACATAAATTAACAATCTTTTAAAAAAAATCTTTTAAAAAAATCATTGACATATGGTTTCCTCATTTTAACATGCTTGATCCAGACAGTGGATGTCTCCAGAAAGCGAAGAATGAAAGGTCGCCGAGTGCTTTGAGAGCGCATGTGGGTAGAACTGGATTTCACTGGGTACTCGCGCATATTCCCCGAGAGGATTATGTTTAAAAAATGACAGTCTTTTGAAATATTTGGCACTTTCTTGGCTACCTTTCTGATACGACATCAAATGCAACAGAGAGTCCACATCTTAAATAAAATTCTAACTCATCTGCAGCAACCATTATATAAGGCGCAATAATAAATGCTCACACAATAAGTAAGCTAAGTATTTGTGCGCTTGGTAGTACAGCATGGTGGACGGACTTCTCGCCGGACATGCATCGGCATTCAGCAGCAGTGGCCCGTCTTCGGCATCAGACTGGAAATACATGAAGTATAGTCATGTTACAATCTAAGATGGTTCGTGAACTTTAAGAAAATAAAAATGTGTATCCCATCAATAATGCTATCCCACACGGCATGATGCAGTGCTCACATACCGTGGTGAATTCCAGAATATTAAATTCTGGCATTTTGATTTTTTTCGTACTGTATCAACCGTCCTATAAGTCCCTAACCAGCAGAAGCTTGAGCATATAATATTTTGTCTGTATTGAAGCTTATTGATTTTTTATTTTTCCATTTTGTTCCAGGATTACAATTACTACAGTACTGTACATTGTACTGGGAATAAGAATTTCCTTGCATATTTTGAGTAAGATGTATTTAAAACTAAAGATTTAGATGAAAGTGACTCAGTTAATCTGACACAGATTTTGCTGAAAGGCTGTAATTTTATCAGGAAACAGTATTTCGTAGAAATTTTTTTGATTTTGCACAAAATACACATGAGGGACATAATGTGGAACATACAATTCTCTTTGTAAGGTTGAGGATTTCTACAATACTGGGATAGTTGGAAAACCTTGATCCCTTCCAGTAGGTGTACCAATAATTGTTGGTGCTTTAGACAGCAAGTTGTTCAGAGCCCCTCATCAGCTGCTGAGTGTGGATTGCGTTGTCCGTGAGCGAGCGAGCGAAGTTAGGCGGAAAGCAATTCTTCCTTTGGGTCTGCGAAATACTTGGCCTGATGGTTTGTGTATTTTAATGAAGTTTCGCTTTCCGGCCATTGAAAATGAACTTAATGTCTTCAAGTGGACACCTACATTGAGTCAAGCATTGATTGAGTGAATATCATCGAAGTGCACTTGGAATAAATGTCTGATTGCAGAAAGGCTATACGTTCATAACGCTAATTGGATAGTGAACAATTTTTGCTCAGAGCATGTTCGTTGCTTTCCGATTCTTGAACTGTATCTTTGGCAAATAACTCAAAACCTGACCTGATGTATCGTCATTGATCCTAAATTCTTCTCCATTCGTAGGGGACGCGAAGTCCTATCGGGTCTACCCCGATCTTTCGAATATTGTGTTCGGAAGTTCCTCGTGCTTGTTGATCGGTTCGGCATCCGCAACTACATCTCATTGAAGTGGACGTCTGTTCGCTTCTCCAAAAGTCGGAAGCCAATCCTGGTCATGGCTCGCATTGCACAATTGAAACGAAGGAAAGTTGACGCCGAATGTCGCATATTCCAGGAGTGCTGGACAGAACAATACTTCTTCATGCCTATTCAAGGCAAGTTGGTGTGCTTACTTTGCTCGGAATGTGTTTCTGTGCAGAAGAAGTATAATTTGATGCGACATTACAACTCGAAACATGCCGCCGTGTACGACGCCTTCACTGCCGAGGAAAGGAAAGGAAAACTGGCGGAATTGCAGAGGTGAGATTTTTATTCCATGCTCTTTTTCATGTCAAATGAGAAACCCTCAGATTAAATGCGATAGGGACAACAGGGTGCTACTCAAACTCGCGGTTGACCTCGAAAAACTTAATTTAATAAGCTGTCGATCATTCATCTTTCCCTGCTGTACTGTGGGTGGCTAACCTTTTTTTTTTTTTTTTTCATCTCAGGATACCGATTCATGAGTAATCCCTAATCCAGTATCCAACAAGTGTTCCGAATTGAAAGAGTGAAAATAGAGAGAGAGAGCAGCATCAGCAGCAGAAATCTGCGAGGATTTAGATAAGATCTTTTCGGAATTTTTTATTCTCATATCTCGTGGACAAAAATTACTATTCCTTGATGTCAGTGCGCAAGACATTCATTTTTGAATGCTTTGTGTAATCCGAGAAAATCACAAAGACCTGATATGTGTCTGCGATAGGTGACGATAAGTTGAGTAAGAATGGAAGTTGAATGGTTTGGGTCGGAGGAAATCAGTGTTTTTAGAAATCATTCTGGATTATACTTCTCACCCTCAGGCAAATCGGGATGACACAAAGTGTGAAGAAATTCTTTCCGTTGAATGGCAAAGCGTTGCAAGCAAGTTATGCTGTGAGTAAAATTCTGGCCGGACGGATGAAACTAATCGAAGACGGTGCTCTCATCAAGGAATGTCTGACTGCCGCTGTTGGTGCCATGTGTCCGAAGGAGAAGGAATCATTTGAATCAATCGATCTCGATCCTAAAACTATAGTTGAAAGGATTGAGGTTTTAGCCGAAGATATCAAATCTAGTTTGCGAGATAGAATCGTATGCTTTCGAGCGTATTCCTTAGCACTGATCGAAAGTGTTGACGTGAGAGGTGATACTCAAATCGCTGTGTATGTGCGTGGTGTTGACGAGAAGTTCGATGTTACGGAAGAATTGGTGGCTTTGATCAGCTTGGAGAAGACGGTTGAAGGAGAGCATGTTTTCGAGGCTGTTGTAACCGTGATGAATGAATTCGGATTAAACATTCGGAATTTGGTCGGAGTGTTGACCAGTGAATCGCCAGCAATGACTGAGAATCATGTAGGCTGCGTGTCGCTTCTGAAGAAACGAAAGATGGAACTCGGTCACGAGAGCTTGATTTTATTGCCGTTTTTCATCAATCAAGAAGAAATTTGGACGCGGGTCTTGCAAATGTCACAAGTGATTTCAATAACCCTGAACACGCTGAATTTTGTCCAAGAGAAGCAAAGCCAATTCCAGTCATTCATCGAAGCCCTGGATTCCGGGTATGAAGGCTCATCTGCTTTCAGTGATATTCATCAGCTGGAACAAGGAGCCGTGTTGGAAAAATGTTTCGCCTTGCGATTTGAAATTGATGCCTTTATGAAACGGATGGGAAACCCAGTTGCAGAGCTCAGTGACTGTGAATGGGTTTGCGATTTAGCCTTTGCAGTGGATGTGACGAACCATTTACGCGACCTGGACACGAAGCTTCAAGGCGACGATCAACACGTAGGAACTTTTGTTTCCCATGTTCAAGCGTTCCGGACGAAGTTGCAATTATGGACGAAGCAGCTCCATCAACAAAACCTCGCTCATTTCCCTGTTTTGGCATCTGTTCTAGACCCCTGGCTTTCTAAAGCCAAGAAGTATTCCGAGAAAATTAATCGACTTCACGAGAAGTTCGACGAAATTATCTCAAGTTTTCAGCTTCATGTCGTTGAAATTGCTGCATTTGCGTCTCCATTCGAACTGAATGTGGAATTAGCACCTGCGGGGTTGCAGATGGAATTGATTGATCTCCAATGCCAAGTGGACATGAAAGCAAAGTTTCTTGAAACGAGAACCCTGGATTTCTTCGCGGAAAATGTCAAGCAGGAATTGTTTCCCTCTCTGAGAAAACATGCATTGAAGATGGCATCATTATTCGGAAACACGTGTATCTGCAGCCGAACCGTTTCAAAAATGAAATCAAGACAAAATTCGTGCCTTTCTCAAATGACAGGCAAGCAGCTTGAGTCAGTTCTTCGCCTTTCTACGACCAAGTTCACTTCGAACATGGAAAATGTGATGAAAATTCATAAAAAGCTCTGTGCTTCTCAGTAGCTGTGGCTTTTGTATCGGAATATAACGTTTTGAATTTTTTATTGAAGTAAAATCTTGAGTTTATTACATTTTTGGTTGGCTGATGCGGCCCTTCACTCGATTGCGATCCTCGCTGAATATCGGAATGTTTGCTGTCACTAAGTCACACAGATCTCTTCAATTGTTTGCGTTTCCTCAAAAATAAGCCTTGTTAAAATATTTTCTCTGGGGATGCATTGAGGCTGATTTTTAAAAATCCAATGCAGAAAAATTGGCAAACTTTTGGTCCAATATTTAAATGAAAAAATGCAGGTCTGTGACGTAGTGTGCCCTGGTCAGGATAAAATAGATATGTTTTGTGATTGTTCACAGCAATTTGAATTCCTCATAAATGACCTAAATGCACCCACTAAAGAATTTTTGGGAAATTTTGTGAAGTTCGGTGATTTCTGTGCAAAATAAATCTTCCATTTCGTACACAAAAAAAAGCAGACTTCGCCAGCAGTTGTCCAAATTTAATTGGACCTAGACAAGTAAAACGTCTTGTAGTCGAAAGACCTCCATAATTTGCATCACCCTTGAAGTCATGGTCAATATCCTGGATGGAAATTTAACCTCCCGAACATCAATCCTTTTTTTTGTCAAATCTTCCTTAGTCGAACTTCAGAGGCTTTTTCCTTGGTAAATTCGGGCTTTATCTTACAATACCTTTTCCTGTGAAACAAGAAAGACATGCAATTTATTTTCTTCATGCTGTCCGCATGGGATTTGGCTGCTTCCTGCGGGGAAGACATCCATGGATAATGAAGAGTTCTGATATTTTTGCAAGGAAGCTAATTTATTGATTAATTAACCAACCCTAATGAAGTCTAATGCTCTTAAAGAAATTCATGAGTTCACAGCACCGTGCAGTATGTAGAGTCCCTCCATATTTGAATTAGATAGATTCAACTGTGGATTGTATTATTTTTCTGCAGCTGTTCGTTAGCTCGAATAATGAGAGTGGCTCATGCGTAGGTCACATAATGGCGAGCTTCTAGACGCACACAATTTTTCATGCAAAATTTCAATCATTGTTACCCACAAATTTGGTATCACTGGATCTCAAATTTTCTGGAGGCATTTTAGCTATCATTTATTGACTTCGGGAAGAGAAGAGCAATAAGAAAGCACCTTGACGTGTTTTAAAAGGAAATGAAAGAATAATTTTATTCGTGAACCCTTGCCTCCAATATAGCATCCTGTCAACTCACTCACAAAGCCATTCAAGGCCAGTTACACTTTCCTGTAATTATTGTTCTCTTCCCCTACTAATATGCTCATTTCCCTCACTCATAACCTCCCTGAATTCGTTTATTTTTTGCTAGTTGCTTCAAGTTCAACTTGAAGAGGTTCAACTAGACTTGAAAACTATGCGTAACAGCTGATCCTAGGCTGTTCATATGTTCCAAGTTACTCAAGACGGAATCAGAAAATCAAGGATCAAAAATGGATTCCTTAAAATCCATTTATTCTTCAATTTCAACACATGATTATTTCGCCCAGTATACAGACAATTCTCTGAAGCAAGAAATGTTTCATAAAAAAATAGCTCTTCGAAAAGCTTAGTACATTCCTCCATCGCCTGCTTCTTCTATTGTATCACTTGGGCGAAAGGAAACATTAGAACCCCAACTCGAGGGTCGGCCTGTTGTCCGAGATGAAGCACCAGGTCCAGCTTGATGCGACTCCATGTTTGTTTCTGGCCGACTTATGCTTCCTCTTCCTGGCAACTGAGCACCACTATTCCTTCCTAATGCACTGGTTGTAAAATTATCTGAATGCATTAGAAAAATAAAATGTCAATCAATTCCACGAAAGATCCGTAAAGGAATGCGAAGAGATTGGCTCACCACTCGCAGGTCTAGGAGGTCGGGTGATATTGCTAGGCGTCATTTGGGACCCTTTCCTCAAAATTCCATCTTTAGCAAACATGACCGTATTTCTTCGTTTGCCAAATTCGCTCGCCAATTTCTCTGCCTTTGCTTCACTTGCAGTGCCCATGATGGTTTCTGTAACATGCCGATGAAGTCCCAACTACGATAACAGAGTCTCAACAAAGATGGAATCTATGGATTAAGCAAATGTTTGTGTGCTGGGCATTTTTCTATTTCAACCAGGTTGATCTTTTGGCTCATGGTTTATCATTTACTTTGTTTACTTGAGTACTATACACACTTTTTTCTCAAAATTAAGAGGGAAAAATGGGGGTACATGTCATATGTGGGTAAATATTTAAAAAATTATTTCCAAGTTTTGGCGTACAGCATACAGTGAGACCCCCACATCTCAGGTGCAGACACCTTGGCCAGCAGACAATTCAACATAGGGACACTTATTTTCCCATAAAAAGTTGATAAAAAAAGGCCTGACGTGAGGACACTGACTCAACATAGGGACATTTTGTCATAAAATTGCAAATACATTTCACACCAAATTACAAGAAACAGATAAAAAAAAAGTTCTTGGGCATTTCTCTCACCAATTTACCATCCATTCAGCTAATTTTAAAAAATTAACTCCAGCTTAGAGGGATTTCATTCTCTCTTTTTCACTTGAATGTTATTTTTACAGAGAATGTCAACATTCCTATGTACTGTACAGAGGTATCAGTATTAAATTCTGCAAATTTCCATATTGTTTTGAAATACTGTATATTGATTGAATCAGTTAGAATTGGGAGACAATTTTTATCTTCATGGAATTATGGTGAGTATTATGTACATAAAACACCAATTGAAAAGTATATACTGTAATGTAAGTCTAAGAGAAAGTGAGACTTGACTTAGGGACACTCTTGATATACCAATTATGTCTGCATCTTGGGGTCTTGCTGTACTTGATTTTAATGGAAAAGTTGTACAAATTTTATCAGAAAAACATATTTTCATGGGATTTTTTAAATTACAGCGCTGTAGCTGGACTTTGGTTCAATTCAAGCCTAAATTCAAATTTGATTTTTTTTAGATACAGGTGGAACCTTGTAATTTGACCTCCTGCCCCACATTTGATTGTCCCACAATTTGACCTCTGCCCCAGAATTTGACCTGATTTGGCCACTTCTTTATTGCTGATATTTCTCAATTATAAAAAAATTGCCTTACAATTTGACTGCTTTGCAATTTGATCAGGGTTAAATTGCAAGGTACCACCTGTGTTGCAGTTTTAGTCATGTTTCATTGAATGGAGAAGGAGAAGTCTGCAAGAATTTCTTTTGGGAGATTTCAGAGACTTCTTAGAATTCTCAAGATTATGTGCAGTACAGAGAATTTAAGACAATTTCAAGAGAAAAAAGAAAGAATACGGTTCCAGGACAGTTTATGTCTGAACAATTTTCTTCCAGTCCGCAAATTTTTTTTCCCTAAATCACCGGTCAACAGACCAAAAAGGTTGGGGAACAGTGCTGTACAGCACAATTTAAGTTCATCAGTCCCCCCAGGAGTGACATTCGCCTGTTTCAGCCAAAAGTTGAACCGAATCATCCGAGAAATCAAAGTTTCATGAGAAAAATAGATTTAAATAATAATAATAAAACTTACGCAATTGTTTAATAGTTTGTCTCCTACGCTTGGAAAAGTCCTCAGGTGCGTCATCTCCACCAGGCAAGGCCATTGACATGAATCTGTTCCTGAACTGCTTATCCAAGTCGATGGGTCCTTGACGTTTTTTGCTCTGTTGGGCTTTGGACAGATTGTGGACCGTGTTTCTACGGTTCAACTTTAAATCTTTCTCAGCTTCGTTGTCTTCTTCTTGGGTTCTTTGAAGGAGCTTGACAATTTTTAGTCCGTGCTTCTTGAAGTCTTCTTCTCCTTCTTGCGTTTCTTTTTCCTGGAAAAAGATACAACTTGAATTATGTATGATTAAATCGAGCCTTTTCTGCTAAGTTTGTACAGAAGTTTAGACGAGATCAATGTTGGCCCACAATTTATATCCATGGTAATAAATAAAAAATAACATGTATGAAATTAGTACAGTTGAACCTCTAAAAGTCGAATTTCTAGGGACCATGAAAAATTTTTGACTTGAGGAGGTTTTGATTTTTGGAGGTTTCCAGTTGAGGAAACAAACACATTTGTTGTGAGGAGAAGTGAAAAAAAGTGTGGGAAATCATAAATGAGGATATTTTGGGCCTAAACTCGCTCCTTAATGAGTTCACACCCTGCTGAACTTTGAGGCAGGGGTTCATTTGCTGTATTTGTCTTTCAATTCCTTTGAAGATGCATCAAATTATTTGTTTTAAACATTTTTTTTTCTCATATTTCAAGGAAATAATATCCAAAAGGCCTCAGAAAATTTGACTTACAGAGGTTTTAGAGAAAAAGACTTCAAGTTAGGGAGGTTATCAATGCATTGATTCTAAAGGAATTCAGACAAGGACTTGAAAAAAATTCTACTTGAGGAGATTTGACTTATCAAGGTCCACACTGTATGTTACCAAATTCAGTTTTGTGACTTTCTATGCACCTCTCAAACTGAGTGCAAAACTAATTTGAAAAAATAATGTGATATTGGAGAAAAGCCACCTACAGCTTAGACAGTTTCGGTTGAAACGATGGATTTCTCAGAAGCCCTTCAAGTCACAAAAATTACCACTGAAGCGGCGTGAAACCCAGTATACATTTTTATCGACTTACGTTGATCTCCGAAAACGTAATTACAGTTTTGATGAAGCTAAGAAGAGCTCAGAAATTATTCTAGGGACCTCTGATGTTCACAGCATCAAGAAAGACAAAAAAAAAAAGAATGAGGAAATTTGGAAGCTTCAAATTTTGAGAACATTTTCCGGATACATATTTCTCAAAAGTGCTTCAGGATTTTTCAGCTGGTTTAATCAAGAGCTGCATTCCCAGTGTGCATATCATCAGAATTTTACGTTTGTAGATACCACATTCAAGAAAATCAGATGGGAATGTTCGCAAAAATCAAAATCGAAAACCTTTTATCACTACCGGTAGTTGTAAGATGTAGGGACTTTTCCTTATTGAGTTATCTATTTCTTTAGGATTATGTAACTGACCCCTGAAAAAGGAAAACCGTAGTTGAGTACAGTATTTTTAATTTCAATCTCAAGAGCTGCACTCCTACTATTCACATCTTCATAATTTTAAATCTTCACACACAACTTAAAAAGAAAATCAGACGCAATATCTTGCAAAAAGAAAAAGGAAAAAAACCTTTTTCACTATTTATAGTTGTAAGATGTTGACTTTTCCGCGTGTTATCCATTTCTTTTTGAATTAGGTAACTGACCCTAAAAAGGAAAAATAGCTGAGCTTTTAAATTTCAATCTGAAGAGCTGCATTCGAAGTGCTCACATCATCAGAATTTTCAATCTAGATACCAATCTTCAAGAAAATCAAGACTCAAGATTCGCAGAAAAAAAATCAAGGCCACTTTACACCATCTGTATAAGATGTCGACTACTTTTCCTTGGGTTCTCCAAATATATATTTTTTTCGAATTAGGTAACTGACCCCTAAAAATGGATTCTGTAGCTGGGCTTTTCTAATTTCAATCCTGAGCGTACGTAACTTGCAAAATTCCCGAGTAATCCCTGGAACTCATGCTCATGCGAACAAAAGAAAAATTACTTGGGATTCCTTGCCACACTTGAACAACAGGCCCAAGTCGCAGGTTGAAATCAGATGCATCAACGTCGTCAGCCGATGAAACAACATGGCAATAAACTGAGTCACCAGCACGAGGAAGAAGAAGAACACAAACACCAAACCCACGGGTTCCAGTTCCAAATACTCTTGATCGATGAGGACCTGTTGACGAGAACCTTCGTCACATTTCGATAACAACAAAAAATATACACATTTTCTTGGTTGAATAACCTCGTTCTCCTTGTAGAAGTAAGAGATGTTGGTTTTCACATTCAGCGGCCAGTCAATGTGCAATGCTCCCTTGTTCATCTGCAGCAGCATGACGACCAAGACGAATATTGCGTTGAACATGAAGAATGTCGCCACGACTTTGTCACGGAGGTCCAGCAAGTCTTCTTGAATTTTTTCCTGTAATCCCAGAAAATTTAAATTAATAACTAAATAAACGCGGAAAAATCTATCAGACATCTCAAGAAGATACAAGAATCCAAAAAATGTTCTTGGAATATAAATTTAAACGGCATAGGACGTGAGCTGGAAAAAATCCTTTGTCACAAGAAAAGAAAATCAGCCCTTTTGACATATTTTTCAGAAATGTATTGCAAAAGTCACCCCGGCAGCTTTTTGCTCTTCACTCAAAAGACGCGGCACCAATCTTGCAGATTTTTTTTTTGTGTACCCCATCTTTAACTTCAGAATTCTTGAAATTGATATGGCAGTAATCCCAAGGATTGCTGCCATTAATTGATTATTAATTCCGCCATTTTCATCAACAGCCACCACTTGGGATGAGAATGTGGTGGCTGTCAATGAAAACAGCGGAACTACCTTGGAAGACCTGCTTGGAAGCAACCCTTATAATCAAATCTCAAGAATTCTTTAGAAGAAGCTGGGCTACAACAAAAAATCTTAAAAATGAGTGTCTCATCTTTTGAATGAAAAGCAGAAACCTGCAAGGGTGGCTTTTGCAAATAAAAAATAAAAAAGTACTGTATGTCAAACAGGGCTGCATTTTTTAATTGTGCCAAAGAGTGTTTCATTCTGGAGAAAATTTGTTTTTCAGCTCAATCATATACCATTTCAATTTGTATTCCAAAAACTTTTGTTAGACCCCTCGTATAAGCATTTTAATAAATTCGATCAAAGATTGTTCAAAGAATATTTTGCAGATGGAGAATACAAATATCATCAAACTCAAGAAAATCGGAGAAATCACTCTCAACTTAAAATACGCGAAATATTCCATTATTTCCTGCCTGATTACTTTGGGAATGTTAGACAGATCCGAATTCCTTGCCAGATCAGTTTACACAAATTGAATAAACGAACATTAATCCTTACAGACAACGAAAAATTAACTACTGCATACTTGAACTAACTTCACGTTAAACTAATAGTTAATCTAATGAACACAAATTTGTCAGCGAGTCGCGAACATTTGAAAAATCAAGATTTTTCAGCTTTTATGTTAATAATAAAGACGAGACGTTTGAAAAGCATGCATACTTTGGCTTTCTTGTCATCATCCAAAGGTTCCAAATACTTCTTGATCAACTGTTGCCAGAAAGTAATTTCCTCTCCCGGCAAAAAGCTTTTTTGGAAAACTTTCACGTCCTTATCATCCATCCAATGCGGGTTCAACAAGTCATTTCTCGGCGGCTCTGCACATGGAAAAAAGCTCCTTTTATTTTCCGAGGTGCATCATTTGAAAAAAAACACACACACACGAGATAAGATTATATAGAAACTGACCCGGAACATCATCTTCCTCCTCGCTATCACTGTACAGCTCGTCGTCCTCTTCTTCACTCTTCAGCAAGGGCTGATTCTCATCCTGAGTTTCCTCATCAGCTTCCGAGTTTTCAGAAATCACGCTCATCTTGAATGATGACTTCCGGCGGAAAGAACTACCTCGTCTGGGCGTTTTGACACTTCCTCCTGATGGCTCTATATTCCTGGAAGAAAAAAAAACAGAAACAAATCACACACAAGACCGTTAATTTGTTTCACGTGTTCCGGCGAACCTATTCACGACATTCTTTTTGACACTTGGAGCTATTCGGGAGAAATCATTGAAAATGAAAACGTAATTTTGTTACATCGTGAAAAAACGCAGTTTCTTTAGAGGACCTCTTTCTCCTTTTATTGTTACATCGAACGTAAGGAATTTCGAGTTACAATATTCAAGAATCATGCGAGTTTGGAAAAGTGTTTCAATTATGCGAGCTTGCTTTGAAGGCTTCGCAATTTTTTATTTGCGATATTTTTTTGCAAATGGCCCCCATTTTTTGTCTGAGAGGTGAAATTGAATACGTGATCTTAGATCAGCAGAGGCAGTGCAAAATTCACTGCGACGGATTTTCGAAGATATTCCTAAATACTCTGTGACTGAAATTTCGCACAGAATTTGAGAAAAAACAAGAGAGGTTATCATTGATGGTCGATGCTAAAATTCAGCTACATTTCTCATCCACGAATGTCGAGTATCTAAATTACTTTGGAGATCAAATCCCATCACCTTTATATTGCTTCGAAGAAGTTCTCGGGTTCAAAACCTGAACGTTTCCCGTATGCCTCACCCCATTAATACCCAAAAACCTTCCGCATTATTTTCGAATAGTACTATTTTTCCAAGTACAGTACTAAACTGATAAGGAGATCAAATCTCACGTATATATTGCTTCGAAAAAAAAAAAAAATTCTGGGATTCACAACCTGAGCATGTCCCGTTCGTCTCACTCGATAATCAACCCAAAAAAAAACCTTTTTCTGCGCTATTTTTTGAATCATTCATTGAAAAACGTAATGCGCTGGAGTCCTATTTCAGCTCACTTTTCGATGCCTTCAAGGCGTTTCGTCATGTCGACCAGGCTCTTGCTGATTCCCACGAGTGTAGCTTCCTGGTCTCTCGGCTTCGCGCCAGCGCAACACATGCAAGAAATAAAACCGTCGTAAGTGCTTCCAGACGCCGTGCTGAACATGCCCGACAAATCCGCTCCGGTGAACTGCTCAATGAACTTGAGAACTCCTTTGCTTTGCGCCTTTTTTGCCGCTTCTTCGGCCGCCTCTTTCTGCAATTTCAGCTCCTCCTGCGAACCACACGAAAACTCGCGATCAAGTCAATTCCAACCAAATCGAAATATTGACAAGAATCCAACCAGAAAGAAGATGCTCTCGTGAAAAAAAATGAAGAAACGGGAAAACCCACGACGTTATGAGCATTCAATGACACGTACTTCTGCTTTGATTAAAAAAATTGAAGAGTTTCTTCAGGCTTGACCAAAAACAGTTACAGTCAACCCTTGATTCAGTGTCAAAATTTGCCCTGGCATATTTTGTGGCACTAAATAAATCGCGAAGGTTCAGGTGAGGCCTTGAGGGTTCCCTGCGGGCAAATTAAGTTCGTTTAAAGAATTTTTCGGCCACAAACTGTGTGTTTTTTTTTAAAGAGAGAAAGCCATAAAAATACAGTAATTCGAAATTAGTCAAATCATAAAAATACTTCCTACAGTAGCATCTTGTTACAACAAACTTTTGGGGACTTGAGACGAAGTTTTTCATACCAAAAAATGTGTTCTTCAAATTATATTTTCAATTATATATTTTCATTATATTTTCAAAATGAATGACGAAATTTGTTCCCCTCAGACCAGCACATAATCAAATAGATCTTGCTTTTCTTGAATGCTCAGATTTATTTTTATTTTTATTTTTTTTTAATTGATTGATTTTCTGGGGGGGGGGGGGATTTGCATCAATCATGCATTCCATTAGCAGCACCAATCTCTCCACTCTGGGAGGATGATGTGCGGAACCACTTGGAAGCATGTTTGACATTGATTATTGCTTCCATCCATGCTAAAAAAAAAAAAAACCCAGTCACTCACATTTGGGATTGGAAATTTCAGACTGTGCCTACCTCAATCAGGAAATTTATATTTTGACCCATTGATGAGGTAATTTTTGTGACACTAAGGAAGTTTGCTCTAAATTTGGGTTTTCCTAAAGAACATAATGTAGGGAGATTTGTACCAGGGGAATTTGTGGCACTAAATTGAGGATTGACTGTATTCAATTCCTCCTCTCAGTAAAAAGTGTCAACCATTTGCGCTGACAACATCAAATATAAAAATTAAGAATCCTTTAAACCAACCTTGCATAATTGAAACGTTTCAACAAGTAACAGCTAACAAAATTCTAAAATAGTTAGAAATGAAAAACTTAAAGGTCGATCTAACAACAAAATAAATCAAGTCGTCTTAAGATCTGGGCTATTTCGCAATGTGACGAAGTTTCCTCACCAATCGGCCAATCCGTAAGATAATGAGCTCAAAAAACAAACGTAATCTTCAAGCTGCTCTTAAGTAAAAACGTTAACTGCATTTTACATGGAAGTATAAAAATAATAATAAACTGGTTCCCGTTTCTTATACGATTTAAAGGAGAACCCCTCGATTACTGTACCTCTTTGCTCAGAACTTTGGCGACTTCTCGAGTACCCCAGGAAACGTTATTCAAATTGAACACGGAATAGATGATCAGAAGCAGGTACATGCTGGGCACGGTCAGGTAATACACGATTCCAGAAGGCAAGCAGTACAATTCCTGCGGGTGCAGCAACCCAGTCACCACGAAAGACGCCGCCATTGAGATGAAGAAAATGCCCGAGGGCGAATCCACTCCTTCTTGCTGAAGCTGTAAAGCTGTTCCCACCACCACTGCCATCATGACCATTGCATACACGGCTGTCAGGAGCTGCGCAAACATCAACTGAAAAAAAAGATAGAAAATAAATCCGCACAATTTAGGGATCATCCGCGGCAAACAATCCACAAATTCAGAGAAAAAGGCTTCAGTCAATACAGCATTGGCCATCATCCGAAGTCCTGATAATTCCATTTCAAAGTCAGCACTTGGAAATAAAGCTACGGTACATAAATAAATTCAAAAAACATTTCCTGGGAAAAGCATTTCCGCACCATACGCTCAGATTTTCAATAACACTTGAAACAGTAATGTTACACACTTTTACATACGAGGGTAGTCTTACTTGGGCTCGACCTTGATTATTTTCTTTTCATTTGTCGGTCCTGCTGAATGTTGAAATGTTTCTGTTGTTTTAAACATTATCTAAAATGTAGAAAAGATAATGCTTAAAACAAAACAAAAATTCATTTATTTTAGCTGACCTGCAACTTTTTTTAGCACTCTGTGACATGCGTGGAGAACTTTGGCTATAACTGGAGTTTCCACTCGTCATCATGCAGTAAATTGATTTTTTTTTCAATCCGACAGAAATCCCAGATCCTGAACATTATGGGCTATATATCATAATTTTTTTCACAGTCATACCTACTTTGGAAATAACCAATGTCTCGCCATAAGTGGGTCAACCCTCGCACTGGAACAAAGGTTGATTTAGAACTAGTGCAATAAATGGAATTTAAAGAGGCAGAAAACGAACTCATCAAAAACTAGCCGTCTTCTCCATTGTTTACATTTTTTTAGCACTTTCCAATTCAATTTCGAGAAGCGGTGAAGAAAATTTACGGGCCAAAGAAAACGCTTCGATAAAAGATTCGAACCAGCCTTTTTTCCTCGATGAATCGATGCGTTAATGCTACAGTATAATACCACTCATGGTCTCAATTTCCGACGCTGAATTCAGCTGATGACAATACACCTCCAAAATGCTTACCTGATATTGTGAATCGAAGAAGTAGCAGGTCAACATGAAGGCCAACAAAGGTACTCCATTCAGCAAAAATGCGTCCATTATCTCAATTTTGAATGCTGCGTTGAAAGCACCAGTCATCATCATAAAAATCGTTCCAGGACCCAGGATTGTTCCGATCATCAACAGCATCTGAAAAATGGTACGTTCAATGAATGCCTTCACTTATCTTTACTTCGTCANTACCCCAGGAAACGTTATTCAAATTGAACACGGAATAGATGATCAGAAGCAGGTACATGCTGGGCACGGTCAGGTAATACACGATTCCAGAAGGCAAGCAGTACAATTCCTGCGGGTGCAGCAACCCGGTCACCACGAAAGACGCCGCCATTGAGATGAAGAAAATGCCCGAGGGCGAATCCACTCCTTCTTGCTGAAGCTGCAGAGCTGTTCCCACCACCACTGCCATCATGACCATTGCATACACGGCTGTCAGGAGCTGCGCAAACATCAACTGAAAAAAAAGATGGAAAATAAATCCGCACAATTTAGGGATCATCCGCTGCAAACAATCCACAAATTCAAAGAAAAAGGCTTCAGTCAATACAGCATTGGCCATCATCCGAACTCCTGATCATTCCATTTCAAAGTCAGCACTTGGAAATAAAGCTACGGTACATAAATAAATTCAAAAAATATTTCCTGGGAAAAGCATTTCCGCACCATACGCTCAGATTTTTAATAATACTTGAAACAACTGTTGAATACTTTTACATACGAGGGTAGTCTTACTTGGGCTCGACCTTGATTATTTTCTTTTCATTTGTCGGTCCTGCTGAATGTTGAAATTTTTCTGTTGTTTTAAACATTATCTAAAATGTAGAAAAGATAATGCTTAAAACAAAACAAAAACTCATTTATTTTAGCTGACCTGCAACTTTTTTAGCACTCTGACATGCGTGGAGAACTTTGGCTATAACTGGAGTTTCCACTCGTAATCATGCAGTAAATTGATTTTTTTTTTTTAAATCCGACAGAAATCCCAGATCCTGAACATTATGGGCTATATATCATAATTTTTTTCACAGTCATACCTACTTTGGAAATAACCAATGTCTCGCCATAAGTGGGTCAACCCTCGCACTGGAACAAAGGTTGATTTAGAACTAGTGCAATAAATGGAATTTAAAGAGGCAGAAAACGAACTCATCAAAAACTAGCCGTCTTCTCCATTGTTTACATTTTTTTAGCACTTTCCAATTCAATTTCGAGAAGCGGTGAAGAAAATTTACGGGCCAAAGAAAACGCTTCGATAAAAGATTCGAACCAGCCTTTTTTCCTCGATGAATCGATGCGTTAATGCTACAGTATAATACCACTCATGGTCTCAATTTCCGACGCTGAATTCAGCTGATGACAATACACCTCCAAAATGCTTACCTGATATTGTGAATCGAAGAAGTAGCAGGTCAACATGAAGGCCAACAAAGGTACTCCATTCAGCAAAAATGCGTCCATTATCTCAATTTTGAATGCTGCGTTGAAAGCACCAGTCATCATCATAAAAATCGTTCCAGGACCCAGGATTGTTCCGATCATCAACAGCATCTGAAAAATGGTACGTTCAATGAATGCCTTCACTTATCTTTACTTCGTCAGAGCGTAATTCAAAAACAGCAGAATTTACTCAAGTATCTTGAGTAAGACACGCACCCGAATTTTTCATCCCAAAATTTTTAAATCCTATCCCCGAGTAAGACAGGCACCTTATTTTTAGCGACTGCAAAACTAAAACGTTTTAAAAATAAGGGATACCAGCATTCAAATTTCAACATGAATTCAACCCGAATCCGATCAATTGTTTTGATTTCTATTGCTTTGATTTTAAAAATTCTTTTTTTTTTTTTCAAAATTTTCCAAGTTTCACGCGCACCTAAATTTAAACAATTCTATAAAATTTTATCCCCACCTTTGGGTCGCACCCATTCTTTTCCTCTCAATCTTATATTTAAGAAAACGTACCTGGTACAAGATGTAGGGCATGGAAATGTTGTCATTATTCTTGACAGTTTGCTTGTAGTCCGCTAGCAAGTCCAAAATGTTAGCCATGGTTGATGGAACCCATCGTCTTCTCTGATTGTAGAATTCATTGAATCCTTCGGGGCAATGGGTATAAGAATCGCTTGCAGCAGAATACTCGACTTTCCAGCCTTGTTGAAGCATCAACGTGCACAGCCATCTGTCTTCGCCTATTATTCAAATTATCATCACTCGTCGAAAATCTCGATGCAAAGCAATTGTCAAAATGAGTTTTTAAAAGTCCCGCGAGAAACTTTGCTTACAAAAAAGTCCCATCAATTTTTTTTTCAAGCCAGTGCGTCACAATATGAAAGCCCCTGCATTTTCCATGATAAGATAAAAGTCATAATGCTGAAAATCGTTCCAACAAAATTTCGAAGCAAGAAAGAAATTATTTACGAGAGCAGAGTGAAATTAGAACAGCGCAAGACACATAATCTGCAGTAATCGAAAAATCGAAAAAAAAACATCCCCAGAAATGAAACAGTAACTCACCTTGATCATACTGAACGAAGTGACGGGCAACTTCAGACTTCGTGGTGTAGGTTTTCATCACGTTATTACTAAGCAATGCGGCGCCGCGAAACATTGAGAAACAACCAGGACTGCAAAGCACGCATCCAATGACATGCTCAGTAGCCTTCTGAAACCAATGACCGACTGCATACTCGAATTGCTGGTACCACACCAACAAGCCTAAAAATAAGTCAATACAAAATCGTTGCATATTCGGAACTGTATCTCAAGATTCGACTCTAATGACCTCCAGCTCCATCAGTGCCGATGGGATGAATCCTGCCACACGCTGCTCCCAAATTCTTGTTCTTCTTCATCAAATCCACCAGAAGTAACACAGCTCTAGGCTGGAACTCGATGTCTCCGTCCAGAGCCAGTAAGTAAGTATTGTTCACCATGTTCTCCTTGGTTTCCAAACTCAAATCGCTCCTCTGGAACACTTGGTAACCGAGCAAGTAGTACATGTACATGCACTGCGACCGGTGAAACATAAGAAGGTCATCGGCAGGAAAATAATTGATCAGGTATCCGACCAACCTGACTCCATCGCTTCTTGTGCCTGATCTTGTCCTTGTTTTTCACATGGCAAATGACCTTCGTTTTCCCAGGCAACGTCCACACCAGTCTGCCACCATAGGGAGTCGGATAAACGATCGGTGGACTCAAGACATTCTGGTTGTCGGTGCCGTGAATCAATCCAGCAGCCACCGGCATCACATCGATCAAGTCCTTGACGAATGAATTCACCACAGATTTCGTTCTCGTCGCGTCCAATGTGTAAGCATCGTCAATGAATATGTGAGCTATAAAAAAATAAAGATAAAATGGTTACATAATCAAGCTCTCAGATCACCGCGAATCGATGCTCTCCAAACATGCGAATTCATCGCGTCACCGAACAAAAATTAACGCTCGCTCAGCGGCCATTTTCTCTGCTCCGGCATTTTGTGTTTCCGTTCTCCCGACCCCGCATTGAGAAAATAAGAAACCAGACTCAATTGGAAAACGCGACTCACTCTCGAAATCGTAGTAGTCATCATTGACTCCAAAGTACTCCAACGTGAGCCTTCGGGCGTGCTGGTCACTGTCTATCCTGAAGATGGACTTGAGACACGAGATCATCTCGTCCTTGGTCTCGTGCCACATAGTAGCACAAGCTACAATCCTCGGATACGTTCCTGGTGGTTTCTGGGACACTGTAGACACTCCGAAATCACTAATGAACGTCGTTTCAGCTTGTGGGCTCGTCTCTTCCGCTTTCTGATCTTCACCCTCCTCCGCATCTTTCTTCTGTCCAAGAAAAAATAAATCAAATCACCAACGAAACGCGTTCGAGATTAATAAAAAAATTGAAAAAATTTACGTTCACATAGGTATAAATAAAAGCCTCGAGCTTCCTTAGCTAAACGGTGAAATCAAATGAAATGGAATCATGAAATCTTCCTAGGCTTTTCCAAATATTTAAAAGATATTTTTTTCTTAACACGAATGGATTTTCAATCATTTAGTGATTTTGAAAGAAATACAGTACAATTCATTCCAGCTGTAAAATACATAATTCAATCGGCTTTTCAGTCTGAAAATTTTCCGGAATTAACCAAGTCGACGCTTTCGTCCTGGGTCTCGTGAGAATGATCCGACTGAAACCAATTACCAACCACACGATTTCTTGGAGTACCACACGAGACCGAATCAATATATGTACTGTAATTTACTTGATCGGTATAATATTTCAAACTAAATGTTTACTGTCAAAGGAATAACAGACTGCCTGAAATTTTATCGTACAAATCCACTAAGGGAGTCTTTCAAAAATTGTACTTTTGGATCATTGAAAATGAATAAAAATTTTGGAAACACGCATTTCTGAACCTTGATACAGAGTTTTAAAATTGTTGAAGTCCAAGAATACCCAAGTGAATCATTAAGCATGACCACGACGTTCAGAAGGAATCACAACCTCGTTGGTTGATCAAGCGAAGAATCTTCGTTGAAACCACTTGCGTAAATTTGTCCGAATTTTCCATAACGTATTTTTTGCTCGAAAATAAAAGACTGCACTGAATTTCATTTTAAACCAACCTTATCCTTTTTGCTCTTGATTTTGATTGGTTCTCCGTCGTCTCGTCTCCGATTTAGCATCATGGATTGCGGTAGAAGCAAAGATTCGTACATGGGCAAGCAGAAAATCTGTTCAGTCGGCATCAACCTCTTGTTCATTGGTGACCACGTATGAACAGTGATCCACATTTGCGACAACAGCCACACCAACCAAATCCAGCCATGCTTTACAAATGAGACAATGTAGGACAGTGTTACGAAATTTACAAACGCTTAAATGAAAGTGGGACTCCGAAATATGCACGATTCGACGAAGGGAAATTCAACTCGAAACAATCAGCTTCAGCATCTGGAAAATGTCTCAAGAACAGACACTGCCAAAATTTCTAGAAAAATAAAAAAGTGTTCAAAAGTATACTATTTCTTCGAACAAATTCAGATATTTATATTTAAGGAATACAAAATTAATATTACCAATACAGTACAGTATTATAAATGTACTCATAATCCAAAACAGGCTATTTTTAGGTTTCTTTTTTCAGGGTTTTTTCCGTCTGTGCACAGCAAGACATGTGCTTGTTCTTCGCTTTTTGGGCTGCTTTTCATGCCAAAAGATCACATTATGCGTGGCATTCTTCTGTGCAATAATTTTCTTTATCTTTAAATAAGTTGAGAAAAACTAATTCACACAATTTTTGGTGGACTTTCCCCAAAATGTTGAAGAACATCGGAACTGATTGAATATGTTCCCACTGAAGTATATGGAAAGAACTTGTTCTGAAATGTGAGAACCAATTACGTTCGTATCTCGGAGCCCCACGGTAAGTTATGAAAGTAAGGCGATGTCTGCGAAAACCGTGAATGAAAATTGAATAAATAATCACACAAACGCCATTCAACTCGTTCAGAGTTTTCTGGTGAAAAACTCGAGTAATTCATCGGAAAATCATTCAGAACGTTGAGTCACCTCTCTCAAAATGAAATCCTCCACAAAATCGCCACTCGGACACGCAAAAAACAAATAGTCCGGCACGGATCCTCTGAAGTAACAAGCATTGTCGCTTCTCAACGCACAGAATATGATCATTGTGCAGATCACAACTGGCATCGCCATGTTCAGCGGAAAAGCGAACGAGAACTCCGTGATTGTCACCTTGCACGCGAATTTAGCTGCAAATAAAAGAAGTGAAACATGAAAAATATTTACCCATACCATAAATCGAATGATGAGGTGCCAAAAACTGCACTCTGTAAAGCTGGTGTCACCCAACGAGAAAGCCCATGAAAAAACCTATTCTATAGGAAATTTGCATCTTAAATTTCCTGTTTCGATTTCATGAAACAAATTTTAAGTTTCCAAACCATCAACATCACATTCCAAGGCAGTATTGCTGCAAATAAAGAAAAGTTTTGCGCTAATCGATCTCCTCAATGACGGGAGTTTCTTCGGCAATAATATACAGTGTTTCATGCTCTTCTCTTCATAAAAGATAGCACAAGTGCAGTTGAACCTCTTCAAGTCGAAGTTAACGCTGTTTTTAAATGAAACTAAATAAAAAGAATTATAGGGCGCTGATAGGCGTGATTTTTTCAGCCTTAATCCGCAGTATAAATTAGTTGACGGGATGGTGAACTTCGAGGCAAGGGTTTACCAACACAATTATTCAGTCTTTTAATTCCTTCAAAAACAATCACGTTACATTTTCATTGCTTTTTTGTTTCCTGTGTAAATAAGATACAGTAATAGCCAAAAGGCATCCAGAAAATTCGAGTTATTGAGGCTTGAGGGGAGAAGCCTTTGAGTTAGGAAGATTTTAAATTTATTTTCTCAATTGAACTTTCTAAATTTAATTTAGTTTGCATTGCTTCAAAGGGAATTCCGACAGGGAATTGAAAAAAAAAATCGACATCAACTTCGGCAGGTACGAGCTATCGAGGTTCGACTTCACATAGAATATGAAGAACTTACAAAAGATGTAACAAGTCCAGCCAGCGGCCACGTGGATCAAGAACACCTGAAGTGCAGCTTCAGCATCCGCTGTCCGCATCATTGGTTGCAAGGCTTGTCCAATACTGTCAATCGACGACGTGCCAAAAGAGCCTATCTCAAAATTGCTAACCTACGGACGAAAATCGTTTTCGGAATTGAATTCTCGGAATCAACTTTGAAGATCATTGAACATCTTTCACAAAACCTGTATTAGGTTGATGTTCCTTCGTCAAAAATTCCACTCAAACCTTCGCGTCTCAGCGTAAAACCTTCGCATCCTCAAGCCTTCACAACAACTTTCGCGGAACGCTCAAAAATTAGCGAATGCTTCCAAGACATAACGCATCTACAATTGTGAAAGCAATAAAAAAAAAGCATTTTTGTTGAGCATACGATTCACAATTTCATAACCGAAACCGATGCGTTCGAGAAAGTCTTCTCTCATCACATGGACTTATTACGAGAGAAGAACACTGACAAGATGATATGATCCATAGTTCTTACATTTGGATATGGATAATTTGATCATACACCACTTTTCCGAAAGAAAAAAAAGCATTGAAAATTTAGTGTATGCTACTTCGGCTGTCATTCATTCGTACCTCAGTAATGTTGATGGGATAGGCACCAAAGCTTTCTGCAAAAAGGTTTGAATCAAACAACAAGGTGGCATCTTCTCCATTGATGAAGTGGATGTACAAGACCATGGCTGCCAAGAACAACGCGATCTTCCAGATTGAAATGATACCGTAAGTTGGGTACCGGGCTCCGATCAAATCATTTTTCGCTTTCCCCAAAATCTTCATGAAGGCTGAAAGCAAAAAAAGGAACGAGGATTGAATGATCTCAAAAATATTGTTTCTACAAAGAAATGTTATTCGCAAACAAGCCACTGAAGCTGAGTACAACGAAATCTGGTCCGAATTTGTGAATCTTGACCCTGATTGAGGCAAGGGTTTATTTGCCCAATTAGTTTTTCACTTCCTCTCAAAACAATTCGTCATTATTTTTAAAGCTTTTCTATAAAATAAAAAGCCTCCATGAATCTTGAGTTATGGAGATTTGAGGAGGAAAGCCTTCGAGTTACGCGTGGGTTTTTACTTGGATCGTTTCTAACGGAATTCAGACAGGGACTTGAAAACAATTTGACTCGGTGAGGTTCCAGTTATCGAGGTTCAACTGCACTGTCATTTAGATGCGTCGCGCTATTTTTGAAAATCTCGAGAAAACTCCGCAACTCGATTACGTGGAAAAGCAAACTCCGAGTTCAAGAAAAGCCAAAAAAATACACAGTACCGTACTTCGAAATTATTTTCGTAAGGAATAACAAGACTCGGACAACTAACTGATGTCATATATACTCACGAATGTGTGAATTGTAATCCGAGTAATTCTCCCACCAGCCACAGGAAGTGAGCAGCACCGAGACGGGAATCAGCCAAATTTTCCAATTCCCCAAATTCGGCTCCAACACAAAAGGCCACGCAAAAATGACTGTCAACTGCCCACCGATGGCAGCCACGTCCAACAACATTTTCGTCGTGAAAGACATGCAACCGATAATGCCCAGGGGCTGATCACTTTTCCCGGCAACTGGCTTTCCATCTTCGCCAATTTTGCCAGTGCCTTTGGCATCTGTCAAGTTTCTCGAAAGAAGGCCTGTTGAAAGGAAGCATATTCTGGTTTTTGCACGGATCATCTGACAAATTCCCTTTCCAGGCTCAAAACCGTACATGAAATGGTGCAGAGGCAGGTGAAAGAATAACAAATTCAACAGGTACACAAGAGCATCAGAAAATATAAACTATCGTAAATTTCAGGCATAAAATACAAGGGTTGTCCCAAGGCTGCGTGAGGTTTCATACAGATATTTCAAGAACATGTTTTGCAAAAATCGTCGATGAGATAAACCCAAACCTTAAAATTTAAAAAGCACAAGAAACTCGTGTAAAAATTGTTGTTAAATACCGCAAAAGTGGTCTCGCACATGTGCTATACTTTCTTTGACCGTTGTTTTCAACACCACCTGTTCAAAATTTTTTCAAGCGCTCGCTCAAATGATCGGTAGCAGCCCGAAAAAAAAAAAAAAAATCCGTTGCGACTGAAACGAAACTCACTGAACAATCCTGGAAGAAAGCAAACGCTACTCGTCAACATCGCAGCTTTGATCGAGTCCAATTCCGGCAGAACAACAAATGCCAACATTGCGAGTCCAAGCACATGCAGCGTTTCGAAGACAAATGCAGCAGCGAATGTCGGCAATAACTTCGGCATGCTCACTTTCTGAAACCAAACGATAAAAAATAAAATGACGACTTATTTCAACTACCAAAGAAGGTTGTTTAAATGTCGGAACGCTAAATTTTGACGCCCAATAATCCGATACGTTCACGGCATGTAAAAATTAATCCGAACATACCTTGAACAGATACATTCGTAGCGATCGCCCGAACACAAATAGTTGGGTAGTCGCAAATGCAAAAAAGATCATCCAAGTCCATGAAATTCTCGCCATTTCTGTAGCCTTCACCTCCAAGTTTTTGTCTCTTCCTAAGAAAATTGAAGAGTAAAGTCGACGGCAGAAATCTACTTCAAAAATCTACTTTCAAAACTAGCGACGGAAGACACGTTCAAAAATTCAATTTTTTCCAAAAGAGAAGATTCTGATTTGAGTATCTCCCAATGCTTTGAGTGATGAAAGCAAAACCATTAAAGCAATTCTTTTTTCCACGAACTGGGCTTTTAGTTCATCACAAGAATACATTGAAACAAATTTCCAAATCAAGATTAATAACTGTTCAGTAAAATCTTCATTTTATGCAAATTTGCTAACACGAGGCAAATATCAATGAGAATAAGCAATTTAAAACCACAAAAAAAACTCGAACTGCTGAGTAGTGCTGACATCTAAAAAATTTCAAAAAAAGTACTTCGAAGAACTTGTTTCATTCCAAAGAAAATTTCCTCCTCATTCTCAGAAAGACGCAATAAAATACTGTATTACGCTGATCCAAATTTTCATTTCAGGCTCTAAAAACGGATCCGCCTCCAAGAATTTCCTCGCAATCTCTGAAAATAATGTACAGGTGGACTCTTTCTACGACGATCTCGTTTATATCGATTTTCTCTATACAACGATTTTTTTTGTGGCCTCACAGGGTTGAATTCTTATGTTCTTACAAAAATAATGCTTTCTAGTCCCTTGAGCTTCGTTGTCGAGAGAGCCCACCCGTAAGTCTAAAAAAAAATAATAAAAAACCCAAGTGGATAAAACGGAAAACGAGTTTCCGGCAAAATTTTGAATGGAAGCCACACCTCTCTACATCCATTCTCGAAATTAAATTTGAAAACATGGTTCAGCTCACCGTAGTTCTTGTTGCAATAGCTAACTGTTCGATCAATCTTCAATTGAGCAGTCATGAAGACGAAGGTTCCCATGCCAATACTGGCAGAAGCAAGCACAACCAGAAATGTTATGATGTAAGCACCGATTTTCATCATTTTGATCCCATTCTCGACCCATTTCGGCATCTCCGATTCCTCCGCGGACTTTGGTGGTACCTTCTGAGCTGCATCCCACAGGTAAATGTTTGATCCCTCATCACTTTGAAGAAAAAAACATAATTAAAGCGAACGTGTCTCAGAAGAAAGAAAGTGTCAATTGTTGTTGAATGTACGCCCTCAATCCCCGTTTCCCCTAAAACAAAGACAGGTTTCCCATCGACTACGCGTCCAGAAAGCGCTCATATCAACCGTAGAGTACATTACAGGTTCTAAGATCACGTTATTAGCGACTTATTTTGACGTTTTAAAAATCTTCCAATGCATTATTTCTTCCCCCATTTACGATAAAAACAAGGAAGCAAAATGAAATTCTAGGCGAAGATTTCAAAAAAGCTCAGAAAAGAATCATTGCAAATCGAAGAGAACATTCAAATTCAACACCTGGAACGTTTTTCACGTCGACTCTAAACTTTTTACTACTCTGCGAAGCTGGGTAGAAAGATTAATGTTGAAAAAATTTGAGTTAATATCAAAATAAGAAAAATAAATTTCCTTTCCCAACTGCCTTTGACAAATTTTCAGCACATTGCAAATTGAGAGAAAAATTGGGTTCCATGGAAAATTTTTCCCTTCTCACTCCGTAGTGGCCTCCAAAATGTTTCTTAAAAATCAGACAAATAAGTATATAGAATCATTAAAAGTTACACAGCAAATAAAAAAATTTCCTCGATATTTTTGATGACTTCAGAAATATTTTCCTGATGTTTTATATATTTCATTAGGGCAATCAATCCACATTTTTATCACAGAAGTCCACAATATCTATCGTAAGGAAAACATTTATCGCAATCTTCTTGAATTACAGTAAATAAATTTCAATTGGCTGACAAGATTTCGAAATTAAATTCCACTCTGATTCGAAATTTACTCCCACAAAATCTTACTTACACAAAACTTAGGTAAATGTAGGAGGCATTATCAATCAATCATTAAGTATTGATACAAATTTGCTACTTGAACTCCAAGCAACAGACAGAGGGTAGACAAATCACTAGGGAAGAAGAAGTGAAGTACAGTAGATCCTTACAGAAATTTGGAAAAACCAATATTGGCAAAAATGTTTCAAGCAATATCATTTAAACAATATGCCCTTGGGCTGACGCGACGCTTGTTGCATACGAAGAAGTTTCTTGGTAAACTCCCGGTTTCATGAAAAATTCTTTCCAATTCTCAAAAAAAAAAAAAAAAAAAAAAATCGCAGCTGTGATAACAACATGAAGTAAAGTTTTTCCAATTAACACAATATGATTAGAAGAAAAACTCACGCTTCTTGCTGTACTTCATCGTCGTCATCGTCTTGATCCAAAGCCTCGACATTCGCTTTATCGATGAACTCCGTGTTTTCGGAAAATCCGACAATGCGTGTCTTGAGAGGAATTTCCTCCGCCATCCTCAAGTGACACTTTCCTTCACAGATGCTCAAACTACGCTGCTCATAATCACTTCAACATTCAACTGCAATCACCTGAACAAAATCTCTTAAAACTGACTCTCGATAAATTTCCATCACAAACGAAAAAACGTCAACCACCTACGAAACGGATCACTCAAGCCCAAAGAATTCGCGTCATTGAACCATGATGGAGACACGGGTGTTCGGGAGATAAAAAGTTGGAAAACAGTCAAAAGCGAAAGGTCGGAGAGATGCTGAAGAGTTTCCGAAGTTTTAACAGAAATTAAAAAGATAACATGCGTATCTGGAATCTATCCGAAGACGGCCAGGAATGTAGAATGCCAACAGCGATAAGTAAAACGCGTCATCAAAATTCCGAGATATCAAATCCCGGCTTCGCGATAAAACACGTACTTGTCGACTTCCCTGACATTTCCAAACCACAGCAGGACGTATGAAACGGAACATGCATTTTCCTTGTTCCGCCTGAATTACATCTTGAGTCAGCCTTATCTCAGGAATGAGGAAAACGAGATCACCATTATGAATTTTTTTTTTGTGTGAATAACTTGCAACATCAGCGAATTGTTGTGACATTGTGGAAACAAAAAAGCTTTCTTTATTATCACCCGTGGATTGAACAATTCCTCACATTTGAGGAAGCGGACGCTTCGGGGACACGAAGAAGCGATTCGTCTCTCTCGGTATAAATTTTAAATACTAATCATTTTCTTTTCCAAAATTCGACAAACAAAAACTCATTGCGGAGAAAAGAGCTTCGACCTCCGTTAGCCGCCCAGGGAAAATGCCCAATCGTGCCTGAACTTATTCCCTTCTCGCATCTAATCGTTTGTCGGAAGAAGTACAGTAGAGTTGAACCTCGATAACTCGAACCTCCCGATAAGGTATTTTTCTGAAGTCCCTGTCCCAATTTCTTTAGAAACAATTCATTAAAAGCCTCCACTCCTCAAGCCGCCATGACTTGAATTTTTTGTGGGCCTTCAGGCTATTATTTCATCAACACAGGAAAGAGAAGAGCGAAAAAATTCAACTTATGATGCGCTTCGAAAGGAAGTGAAAGACTATTTGATCGAAGAACCCCTTGCTTTCAACTTCAGCATCCTGTCAAATCATTCAAGAAACAATTTAAGGCTCAGAATATCACCAATTGCAATGCCCTATAATTTTAATTTTCCCAAACAAATACTGCATATGTGTTTCCCTTACTCTATTTCTATTCTATGCTGGTCCCTTCAAGTTCGAACTAAAGAGGTTCAAATGTAGAGTATTTGGGCTTCAACTTATTGACAAGGATAATGTCAACTTCGTTTCTGACTCATCGTATTCCGAAGAATGAATGGCAAGTCCTGACACAAATTGGAACCCCTTCTAAAAAAAAGCCATTCACCTCCTTCAAGCGGACCCTCTCCACGCAACGCAATTTTTTTCCTGGCCCTGAGAAAATCTGAAATTCATGTGATCGAAAATCGGCGGCATTTAGCAGAGAAACAAAAAATAGAATCCGCAGTTGCTTTAAATCTTGGGACAACTGCGCACCACGAAGCACGAAAATCTGGCATTGCTGCTTCAGGATGAATAGCTTCACGCGGAAAAATTTTAAAAATTAGGTCCACCACGTTCAAACAGAATTTTTTGAACCCAGAAACAGATGGAGCTTGGAGTGACTCAATGTGAAATTTGACACCCAACTTGCACAGAACAACTTCGTCGTCGGGAAGATTAATATGGAAAACTGAACATAGCTTGAAATTTCACTGCACAGTTGATTTTTCGGGCACTTCTTCGAAAGCGTGTCAACTTCCTGGCAACCAGCGTGACTGTGTGTATGCACCTCGTACACAACGACATTCCCTATAGAAATATTTTTCTTTCTGAGGCCCAAGCATTGCCATTGAGAGGCCACCTGCAGTTTCAACTGCAATTGACGGAATATTGGTCCACGAAGGGCAACTCCCACCCAACGCTGAAGAACTTCCCGCGCTTCAAAACGATCAACCACGCAAAAATTGTCGGAAAAACCGGCCAACTGTAACGAATTCTTCAGATCAACGCAGCTCGATAACGAATCGGGAAATTTCAGCAAAAAATAAAAGATATGGAAGCTTTAAGCGCATCAAAGGGTACGGAAAAAGACTTTTTCGGAAGATCGTTCATCAAAATCAACGAGAAAGACGCTCATCACTTCATCGGTCCAAAAAAGCTTTCGTTCGCAAAGAAAAAAAAATCATTTCCGACGTTTCCCGATGAACCTCACGAAATTCCAACGGTAAAGCGATACCAATCCCGTTCGTTTTTCAACAAAAATGCCTTACACAGTAAGCGCACAATCAACTCATGGACACACCATGGTTTATCTCAACTTTACAACACGTGGTAAATCAAACCATATCACGACCTTGCGATTGCATGACGATGACAGCCTTGTTTCATGCCCAGGCTCCAGAAGATGTTCTTCTCTCATCGCGAATCCGGGTGAAGTAGGGATGCTCTAATGCACTGGCAGCACATATACGCTTCAACGGGTCGTACACCATCATAGCCTAAGCAAGAAACACGTCCGTTAGAAACGCATCGAACTTTGCACACAGTTTATTGGATAGAACTTCCAAAACAAGTTTGAAAACGTTCATTTCCTTGAATGCAGATTATTAGCCATCACCAGAAGCAGAAAACTTTCGGAAGATTGACCTAACGCATCATATCGCGAAAATGTAATAAAAGGTCCGTCTGACTTTCAATTTCATGCGTTGATGAATTACAACTGAGATACTTATTCTTCGGAAGAAATAACATCATTTCGGAAATTAGGAAGTAATCAACATTTAGCGCAATAAACAAGCCTAGAAAACGAACAAAATTCTCGAAAGCAGATTATGAGACTAAACCAAAATTTGCAAGTCCATTTTGCACCGTAAGCGATGGAAGAAAGCCGTTTCTATCCACAACTTCTGAAGAAATCCATGACTTATAACCAAGGATCTCAAGAGTAGAGTAATGGTTCCGAGGGATTATTTTTGCACAGCAAGAAGAAGCGCATATGAAGCGTGATAACACCAAGAAACTGTCAAAATTTTTAGAACCGTTCAAGTCGTGCATAATGTTTTGAATAAAGACTTAATCTAAAAAAGTGAATCATAAAGCTCTGCTCATTTTAATCACGTGAACTCTCTCTAAAAAAAAAAATCAGTGGACCAGGAAAAAATTCGTTTTAGGGAACCTCTACAAAATGGGTAGAGTCCCGGGACCAAAAGAAATACAGTATCAATTATACAGAGAAAAATCGTTGTAGAGCGAGTTTCCTGTACTAAATAGGAAACAATGAAGGCCGATGAACTGAATTCAATATGGAACCTTGAACTGGTGAAGCCTCGAATTTCATCGTCACTAATAACTGAAATCTTCCCCTCGCAAAATCAAAACAGGATTTCAAACATAAATGGCCCATTACCTACGAAGCTACGATACAGTTTACCGAAAAGCATCGACATTACATTAAGCTAGTCCGAGGGCATTACAAGTTTTATATTGAAAGAAATACATTCGAAATTACGCAACAGATTACTTCATATTGTAGATCGAAGTTTCAGGGAAAACACGTCAGAATGCACTCATTTCGTTCCGCTCGCCTGATTAGACTCCTGAGATTTCTTAAATTTAAACACTGCTCTATCAATGTCTCCCAAATTACGACGGAAAGATGCTGCAAAACCTCAACAAAGATGTTTTCGAGAAAAACAATACTACTTTTGAAACACTTCATACACTATTTAAACTGATGAAATGTACAGAATAAGACCCTTCTCCAAATCTCATCGACAATCAAGCGATTCTCTGGATGCCTTTCGTACATCGTAAGACGTAAGTCGAGTTGCAGTTTTTCACTAGAATAAGCCAACACAATTTTAGGAAGCAGAACAGAAAATAATTTCTGTTCTGGCTAAATCGAAAGTACTGTACACTACTGCAGTAAATTTTTTTTCTCAGGTTTACAATACCTTGAACAAATGTCTTCCAGCGTCGCACAGGCGAGGTACAAGGTTGCCGACATCCTCAGGAGTGTCCCAAAACGGAAGCTTGGCAATTGACACGTGATGCGATTTCAACGCAGGCCACACTTTAGCAGTAGGTGTTCCGAAAGCTTTGAACATACGGCATTGCTGATCGATTTCCGCATCACCGTTCAACAATCACCGTTCAACAATGGTTTGTTGTTTGACTGAAATACATCGAACGCGTTTTCAAAACGAACTTGCCGAACAAATTTAATACGCGGAACAGTACCACTTCGGCAAAGATACATCCTGTGGACCAAATGTCCAAGGCTGACGTGTAGTACTTGAAATTCAGTAGAATTTCGGGAGCGCGATACCACAAGGTCACGACTTCATGAGTGTATGGTTTGTTTGGAATGCCCATCTGCGATAAAAAAAAAAAAAAATTAATAGATTTATACTACCCAAAGATTGAATCTTTCACTGAGATTACTGAGAACGATCGAAAACAAGGTGGGAATAAATTTTTCAATGCACCTAATCATTCTCATCATTCGTTCGTTTGTTAGGGGAAAGCATTCAAAAAGAAGGCAACACGACCATAAGCATCCGTGTCTAATTATTTAGCGCATCAAATGTTTCTCATTATCAGCTCATAAGTTCTTTTTAAGCTACAGCACGCACGGTTTTAAATCTAGATTGAAACAAACCTTCCTCAGATCAGAAATGCCTTAAGATGAACATGAGATCTTTAAAATTTGTGATCGGTGAAATATGGAATGTGCTTTTTGCCATTCGTAAAATACAGTACCTTCCACGCGCGACGGATTGCTCATGGGCACACGGGTTTGCCGCAATTGAACATCGCTTCTCTTTAAAAGCCATTAAATACACAAACGAACAAAATATAGAATTGCCAAGAAATTTAACCAACACACCAATAGGTCAGGGTGATTTCTCAAGAGTTACCTTTTGTCTACGTGTTTTGAGCCTCTTAAACACAATAAATAATATGAACACTCAATCTCAAGCAAGCGTACGTTTTTTTTAACGATTTTATAAAAGGGATTTCGGCAAGTCCTTTAGAGTGTCGCGAAGTAATATTCGGAATACGTTTCAACCAAACTTGACTGACGATTCTTAGCAATCCGAGTACTGTACAATAATTTCTTGAAGCCAACGCGGCGGTAATAAGTCAATCCAGCTCACCGTTCGCGCAAGACCGAAATCTGCTATCTTTAGACAACCCTCATTCGAGACCAAGATGTTCTGAGGCTTGAGATCACGGTGCACAATGCGTCGAAGATGGCAATAATTCAACCCTTTCAAGAGCTGTTCCATGAGGTTCTGCAGAATGGAAAGAAGTTCAACATCCACCGCAATCGAATTTGTCGAACAAGAATTTACCCTGATCACGTCTGACGAAAGTCCCTGTGGGTGATTGTGCAAATACTTTCTCAAGTCCATATCCATGTATTCAAAAACCAGGTAAAAATCGTGTCCCGCCGGAACGATTTCGTGCAAACGCACGACGTTCGGATGATCCAATTCAACGAGTAAAGCCATTTCGCGCAGCGCTGTACTTGGAATTCCCTCGCCATCACTACAGGAAGGTCGCGAACAAAATGAATAAGATATACAGATGCAAATTACAGATAACTCACGCCTCCATTTGAATCTTCTTCAGAGCCACGATTCGATTACGGTTGCTCGTATCTTGTCCTTTGTACACGACGCCGTAAGTGCCTTCGCCGATTTTACTTAGTTTCACATATTTTTGCATTTTAGATGAACGGTCGTACCTGCTTCTGATCGCACGGTTCGAAGTCAGCAATTGGATCCAAAGAAATACAGCTATGGAAAGGATACCTTCACGATGATGTCGATGCACACTTAAACAAGGATCAACCAACCAAATCTACAATAACGTAGTTTCGCCAGGTAAAAAGGCATAATTACTTGAAACGAACACGGCAGAATCACTCGTTTCCCTTCAGCGATCAGATTCTGTGCTGCCCGAAGGGGCACCCAACGTTCACCGAGTGACACCTAGTAGTGTTATTCTCAAACATAATCCAACTTAGGAAGTAGGGCGCAGACCAGGAATGGTATGGCAATGGTCAGTCCATAACATAATACAGAGAGACCCTGAAATGCTACACCCCAACTAACAACAATCCGACTTGAAGTTTTAAAACATCTGACCCAACATCCGGACAATAACTAGACTTGGGGAGATTTTTCCAGCGTTTCTGGAAACATTTTTATATTTTATTTTGTATTTACTTCATATTTGTTGAAGAAATTGAGTTGTTTACAACTATAAATACTAAAGATAAAGGTTAACTAAAAATTACCCCAATTCATAATAAAAAAGGCTAATCTTTTACATTTTTTCAATTCATTTGATCATGATGGGTGCTCAGTACAGTATTGCAAACCTGTTCTTGTTCTTTGCTTCATGATCTTATTCTGATGTCAAAACATCAGATTCTGGGTGGTTTTTTTCTGTATCTTTAAGCTGATAAAAATTATTTTGCTCCATTTTTCGGGAGATTTTTTTCTTGATCATCAATCAACAGAAGAACCAATTAAAAATATTCACATTGAAGTCTATGGGAAAACAAGGTCCAACATGCAAATGTTCCAACATACGGAATTGGTTAATGCATCAATTACATCCGCATTTCAATGTCTCAATGTACATTACATACGGTAATACAGATATAATCCATAATTGTAAATAAAACAATATTTTTAAAGGAATGATGCCACTACAATCAGGGTTATATATGCATGTGGTAATATTTATAAGGGGAAAGGTTAGACCTGCATACAATATTTCTTTTGGACTGTAACAATATTTTAAAGAAGAATTTAATGCATCTATAAATGACAGGGATTTGCAAACTTTTGGTATGATATACTGGAGAGTTCCTTGTCCGTGATTTCCGGCACTGTGTGAGAGATTTCCAGAAACACTACAGGAAAATGTGCCAACTAAACGACTGTATACACTATAGTGCACATAATGTTGCAAGTGACATTTAAAAGCCAAGCAGATATTCATTTTCATCATTGACAAAAATGAAACCTGAAATTGGAGGATCGTCAAAAAGACCTGCAGCTTTAATAACTTTTATTGTTCAAGATATTCTGATGATATTGTCTGAATGATGAGCCAAAATCGGTATAGCTCACAAGGATATTCTGGTAGTTTCTTTGACTCTATCTTGTCTTTACACTGAACACAAATGTGATGCATTTGTAGCAAATTAAAATTTCACTCTAAAAAAGTGACTGGTTATTTGTGCATACCTATGTTACAATGATTTTTTATTACAGTACGTTTTGTTGAACTTTTAAAAATTCCTCTCACAGTATATAAGTGCGGGTACTGTAGTCTGAAAAGTACTGTATATTAAACTTCTGAAGAAGCAGAATGTTGAATATCATTCTTCTGGCACTGCTTTGTTCATTATAGAATGCAACACAAATTTTTCTTCATTGGTAAATGTACAATTCCATAAAAACGCATCAAATTCTTTTTAAAGCATCATAAGCTCTGTTTTTAAGCATCAAAAATGTTTCATTGCAGGAATTTATACCTTTTTAAATTTCCATACATTTTGGGTAGTATATAGAGAAAAAAATGCCCCAATAAGAAACAAATAAATTACGTAAAAAACTAGGTTTGTCCAACTTTTTGCCCTAGGCAACAAATTTGACTTGAGGAATGAACTTTCTCCACAAAAAATCAAAAATCCCAAAAATTTTGCTAATGAACAATTCCAATAACAAAGTAACTTTTTATTTTTCACAACATTTTTTCTCAAATGGTAATTGCTTCCAAATAAGAATTTCTTTTACTTGAAATTTGGACTAAAAGTCAGATTTTGAGAACATATGTTGAAAATTTGCATTGTCTTTTGCATGGCTTCAATCATGCTGCTGGCAGGTATTTTTAATATGGAATCTTTATTAAATAGTTTTCTTTGTTTTATAGTCTCTCTCTAAAATGTTTCCATTTATTTTCTTCCTTTTAGATTGCATTATTTTGTACAGCTTATGTTATCAATTGAATGATTTCCCTTATCTGCTACAGCACTATGAATTTCTTGAACCAAGTATATACACCTATATAGATGGAAGCTGGAATAATAGATGGGGTTTGTTGCTCAAGGTCAGCAGTAGATTTTTCTGAAATTCCTGATAAGTGCAATGCTGATCACTATTTTACAAAATTTCAGGATTTCTGATTTTTTCAGAATATATAGGTAAACTCCTACAACAAAATCCAAGGGACAAGAAAAAAATTCCTTGTTAGAGAGCCCCATCTATAACATGGGAAGAGACCCCACAAAAAACTTCTTTATATGAACAGAGAAATTGATGCAGACAAGATTGTTGTAGAGAGAGTCCACCTGTATGCATTAAAGTTTCAAATACACGTGAATCTTGGTAAGTCAAACCTCCCTCAGTTGAATTCCTCCCTAATTCAAAAATTTTCAAAGTCCCTGTCTGAATTCCCTTAGAATCAATGCATTAAAAACCTCCGTAACTTAAAGTCTTTTTCTCTGAAACCTCTGTAAGTCAAATTTTCTGGTGCCTTCTGGTTATTATTTCCTAGAAATATGGAAGAGGATATGATTAAAATAAATAATTTGATGCATCTTGAAAGGAAGTGAAAGACTAATACATTAAATGAACCCAAGCCTCCAAGTTCAGCTGCAAGGTGTAAACTCATTAAACAGCAAGTTTAGGCCCATAATATCCTCAATCATTTACAATTTCCCAAACTTTTTTCACTTCCTCTCACAATTCTCCTTAACTGCATGGAAACCTCCAAAAATCAAAACCTCCCCAAGTCTAATTTTTTCCTGGTCCCTATAGAAATTCGACTTACAGATAGGTTCAACTGTACAATACACTACTTGAAAAAATAAATGAAAAAAGGTTGGGTTTTTGACAAAAGAGCCAATCATTCTCTCCTCATTCTTTTTTTTTCTCTTTTATTATTTTCCTGTCGGCGTTTGGATGATGAAAGGTGAAACGCGACGCCAATCAGGCTGCTCGCATCATGAACAGGGACACCACTATTTCAGGGCTCCCGACTCTCTCTATAGCGCGGGCATAGAACAGACAGACAGACAGACAGACACATTTTCTCGCCATCAGGATTAATAGCGCGCGGGAGGGGGGCGGAGAACAACTTTGCATTACAATCACCATTGTTGACACAAATCATCATCATCATCACCATCACCATTAGCAACATGCAAGCAGCATGCACAGGGGGATTCGATGCGCGCGACGTTGGCATCACTGCTGCTGCGCCGGGTGAGAGCAGTAGTGGTGCTGGTCCTCAACGTGGTCAGCTTCTGATGTCGGTGGAGGAGGAGGACTGTACGTGATGGTGCAGATGGGTACCGTGACTGACAGACAGGTGTTGCTAACAATACCAGTGCTGCTGTTCCCTCCTGCTCCTGATGCTGCTGCTGATGATGAAATGAAAATGTATAGGTGGAAGTTTTTTGTTGCAACAAATGTCCATCATCAGCTGGTGATTTGCAAACATGTGTGCATTGATGACATTTATAAACAAAATCCAGACAGTTTCCTATACAGTATCACCAGCTGAAATGAATTATTTAAATTGCTTCATTCTGAGAAAACCTTTTTTCAAGCCCACCTTTCTAATTTTTGAAGACATTCCACTACATACATTGCTGTTTTTCATTGGTTTGGTTCATAATTTTTTTTCTTCAAAAAAACTTGTACACTTTTTTAAATGCCTGCGATAAAGTCTTTCATGTTTCAAGCAAAACTGTTGTCTTTCAAAAATTGTATGAAACTTTGCCAGTCTGCAGAAAATTCTCTGGAAATTTGCTGGTCTGCAGGCTCAAAAAAAGGGTTGGGGAACATTGGTACTGTATATATGGTATGAAGCCCAAACCAGTATATGAGCATGTATTAACAAAAGTAGCAATGCAGTCTGTTATTTTTTTTCTGAAATGTCTGATAGACAATGGCAGTGGAAATTATCTCATTAAATAGTTGAATTTCCTCCCAGTAACACTTGAGACAAATTTTCACCAGCTGAAATGAATTATTTAAATTGCTTCATTCTGAGAAACCTTTTTTCCAGCCCACCTTTCTAATTTTTGGAGACATTCCATGCCACATTACTGTTTTTCATTGGTTCATAATTTTTTTTATCAAAAAAGCATAAACCTTTTTTAATGCCTGCCTCCCAAGTCTTCCAAGTTTCAAGCAAAACTGTTGTCTTTCAAACATTTTATGAAACTTTGCCAGTCTGCAGAAAATTCTCTGGAAGTTTGCTGGTCTGCAGGCTAAAAAAAAAAGGGGTTGGGGAGCATTGGTACAGTACTGTATATATGGCATGAAGCCCATACCAGTATATGAGCATGTGTCAACAAAAGTAGCAATGCAGTCTGCTATTTTTTTTTCTGAAATGTGGAAATTATCTAATTAAAAAGGTTGACTTTCCTCCCAATAGCACTTGGGACAAATTTTCACCAGCTGAAATGAATTATTCAAATTGCTTCACTCTGAGAAACCTTTTTTCCAGCCCACCTTTCTAATTTTTGAAGACATTCCACTACTTACATTGCTGTTTTTCATTGGTTACTTGGTTCATAATTTTTTTTCATAAAACTCATACACTTTTTTAAATGCCTGCCATGAAGTCTACCAAGTTTCAAGCAAAACTGTTGTCTTCAAAAATTTTATAAAGCTTTGCCAGGTCACAGAAAATTCCCTGGTCTGCAGGCTTATAAAGGGTTGGGGAGCATTGGTACAGTACTGTATACACTGCCCCCCCCCCGCCTAACAGACCTCCCGTGTAAGGGATTTTTGCTGAACAGACCAGCTCTGCAAGCAGTTTTTCCACCCGCCNTGTAAGGGATTTTTGCTGAACAGACCAGCTCTGCAAGCAGTTTTTCCACCCGCCCAACAGACAAAATCCGCCAAACAGACTTCTTTTGATTTAAAATTTGTGTTGAAAATTGAAATTTTTAATTTTTATGTAATTGAATTTGTGTAAAGGACTTTTTGTATAACAGACTTGTCCCTAGCACAAATCAAGTCTGTTAGACGGGGGTTGACTGTATATGGTATGAAGCCCATACCAGGATGAGTGCTGCCTGGTCCACAATAGTCCTCTGCCTCTGTCATGATGCTCCAGGTGGAGTCAATGTCCAGTGGTCCACCCCGGATCCCATCCGACTGGTTCCAGCTCAGCAACAGACTCTCTGGCACACTATTGTCTTCCAAGTCACTAGCACCGCCATCATCGTAATCCTCGTCTTCATGGTCATCATCATTTTCATCATCCTCTTCACCACCACCACCACCACCACCACACAATTCGTCGTCGTCATCGTCGCAAAAGTCGCAGCAGCATTTATTTTTGTCGTCACCGCCACCGCCGCCACCTTCAGCAGCTTTCCCGTCGCCCAGCACGCTCTCATCGCCGCCGCCGCCGTCGTCGTCCTTTTGCAGCGGCGCCTCATCACCGTCACCATCAGCAGTGGGTTCTGATGGTCGACCGTTGACTTTCTTATTCTTGCATGGACCGTCGTCAACGGCAGCAGCAGTGTGTGCTTTATTCCGGCGTCCCTCGCGCAAGAGGCGGCGTCGACGATGCCACATAGTCTCCCGGGACGACGCCGCCGTCAGCAGCATTCGTTGTTGTGGAGGCGGCAACGTGTGCTGCTGTTGGTGGTGGCGGCGGTGGTTGGCCAATGGAGTGACGCCCAGGAGCATCATGAGGGACGACGACGACGAGGAGGAAGAGGGACGCCGTAATTCCTCGGGCGAGGTGAGGGAGCAGCAGCCGCCGCCACCGCCGGACGTCGTCGTATAAATGCCGTTGTTGTTGTTGTTGTTGTGGCGGCTGTTGTCGTTGTTGTTATTGGTAGTCGTTGTTGCACCTGGGACCCAGCTCCGACTGCGCTCTCTTATTCTGCAGGCGCCGGAAGGCCCAGCAGAGGCGGCAGTGGCGCCCATCATTTCACCGGCATCAATGGCAACAGCAGGATTATTATGAGGGTTATGACTGCGACGGCTGCCAAGTTTTTGATGATGATGACGATGTGGAGAGACAGACAGGGAAGAAGGCGTTGTCGGTGTGTGCTTGCGAGTCTTGCACGGACGCCCATTGCCGCCGCCGCCGCCGGCGCCGTTTGCTGCCACAGCCGCCGCCGCCAGCTGTTGTGGTTGTTGCTTCGAGTTTTCGCAGCCCCTGTGTGAGAATATCAGCATCGTCAGTGTCACGTCCTGGAGTGGCTTAGCTGCATAAAATTTGTTTTGTCTTGAGGCCAGTATATGAGCCTTGCCAAAATCCTGTTTTGGTGAGACTCACTGAGCCTCACCCAAGGCCAAGAATTGGCCCTCACTACAATGATTTTCCCTGAATTGGCCAATCCTGAGACAAGTAGAAATCACCTGATTTCTTCCTGACGCCAGTCCAAGCACCTGAGTATATAAAAGCCTTCATACCTTATTTTTGAGAGGAGAAGTGAGAATCTAGTGTTAACCCTTGGACAGTGAAGGGTTCTTTCTCAGTGCACAGCAGAGTTGGGATTTTTCTGGGGGGCGGCACATTTCAGTTTGACCCAAGGTTACTGAAATGCACCCAGGTTGAGGAGGCCTATGTTGGGAAAAATCTGGGAGGCAAATTTTCTTTTGTTTGCAAAATTTTCCCATGCAAATTCTATGCCAGGAATGCAGGAAAAAACATCACCCAGCAAGGGATTTTTAAAATTTTCATTGAAAATTTTCTGCAGGATTAGAAAAAATCTTGGACTTCTCCCCAACTTATAGACCTTGGTAAGAAAGTAGGTTTTTTTTTATTCCCAGTGCCCAGTGGCACAAAATTTTACAAGAATTGCTGCACAAGGGTTAAATAAGGGCCTTTAACCTTGAATTACCTTATTCATTCTTCTGAGATAACCAGCAATCAGCCAATCTAACTATTGACTTTTCCATTCCAAACAAACGCTTCACCAACAGCCAAATGATGATTTGGGCAATGAGAATGAACTCCTCTGAAAAGAGTTGGAGTTCTTATTCAAAACTTGCATTTTGATGGCTGCACAATTCAATTCCATGGTTTGGGATCCATTGGACCCATGAATAGCTACAAACCCACAGTCTGTAATTGTCCATCCACCTGCAATGCATGCTCTCATTTCAATCTCCTAAATTCTCCTTTCAATAATGAGGAAAAAGATACACAGCATGGTACTCAAGTACATAAGGTACAGTTGTGTACTGTACAGGTGGTACCTTGTAATTCAACACTAATCCATTGCTGAACTTGAGTTATTGAATAGCAAATTGGTCAAATTGCAAGACACACCCTGAAATTCAAAAATTCAAGTACAAAAATGCAAAAAATGGCCAAAGCTGGTTGAATTGTGGGGCAAGGGTCAAATTGCAAAGTCAACCTCCCTGCAAATTCAACTGTTGAATTGCAGGACAGTCAAATTGCCAGGACAGCTATACCTGCTGTATTTTCAAAGTTGATTCAACTAAGGTGTGCTTCATTCTCACCCCTGTTTCAGACAAAGCGAGCCATCATCAGTAGTCATCCCTTTTGTGGGAAGAACAGCACTGACAGACACAGGACTCAATGACAGTAGTCCTGCTGTTGAATCAGCAACAACATTATTTTCAGCAGCAGCAGCAGCAGGATGAACCACAGCAGACAAAGAAGAATAACCCTGCATCTTTGCAGCATGATCATCATCTTCATCATCATCATCATCATCAGGCATCTCAACCAGATAAATGTCCTCCGGGAAGATGCGAGAATCACCACCATCATCATTATTCTGAGCAGCAGGTCGATCCAATTGCAGCAAGTTGCGTCTTCGGTAATTGCACGGCGACGGCATGGCGTCCATCGTCATCATCACGTGCCTCATTCCCGACGACTCATCCTTGTCGTCATCAGGCTTCTTCTTATTGGCCGCCTCAGCTCCTGCATCCCCGTTGCGTGGCGGCCGTGGCGGCGGCGGCGGTGGTGCTGCAACAGGGCGTCGCAGCCCTGGCCTTGATCCCGCATCCTCTTCATCCTGCACACTTATGCCCTGATCATCATGCTGCTGATGATGGTCTTCACACACTACCATGCTTGCTGCCATTGCCTCTAGGAGCTCTGACAAAATTAAAAAAGGAATATAATAAAGAGATAATGTATAATTGGGTTGGGTGGGAATAAGGGGGTTTGGTTGTGGAAATCTTGAGTGAACCTTGTGAACACTGAAAAGCGGCAAATAAAGTGTTCTGTTCATCCATTCAAACTTCTGTGTAAAACAATCAGCTGTTATCATTTTTAACACGTTTTTATTAACTCGCTTTAGTTTAAGGTTATTTTTTGCTTTTTGAAAACGTGGTTTTTTAGATTAATTTTTGAACTACTAAATTGAAGATTGCTCATCCTTTATAAGCATTTCTCAATCATTTGAGAAACCCTTGGAGTTCCTTTATAAGCATTTCTCCTACATATGCTACAATTAATAAGTAAAAATGTCTATGGCCCATGCTGCTAACATACATAACCAAGGCAAAAATTGGTCATCCAGAACTGAGATTATATAGAGGGAAATTAATTTTATGCAACATAATTTTTTTGTAACATTGTCCTCATATAAATAAGTCCTGATGGCGGACCAACAAAAAATGAATCATCAAAAGTTTTCAGAGATGATATATTTGCAGTGATTAGAATTTCATACTGTATTGAGTTTATTGACTCACTCGCTGGCAGCAGGTGGATTCCAGGCGAATTGAGCAGCTTCTCGTGGGCCTCGGCCTTGATGACGCGCCTAGGCCGCACCAGAGACGCGGACGCGCGTTCATGCTGCCAGCTGAGACCCACGGCATTGAGGCCAGTGGGCAGACTCGTAGTGACGCTGGTCGCCTGCATCATCAGGAGGGACGCCGTCCCACCTCCGTAGGCCGCACCGCCGCCATTGACGTGGCCGCCTTTCCCGGATGATCCTGCTGGCCCTTCTCCGCCTCGGGATCGTTTGGTTCTTCGCCTGCTCGAACGAGTTGTTCCACCGCCGCCACCGCCGCCGCCGGTGGCGTCCATCATGGGGTCAGAGAGGATGAAACGGCGATTCGCTTCGACCAACTCAGCGCACATGGACTTGCGTCGCTCCTGTTGGATTTAATTGAGTGATATGGATGAAATACGATCAAAGTAATGCAAGCTAGAGGCTCAAAGCTGATATATACGCGCCTACATTTTGTCTGATACAGTATCATCTTCTTCTGTCCCATTTCGATACCCTACATCCAGACAATTTTTGAACATATGATAACAGTGAAGGTAGGAAAAGTTACTCTGCATCCTGTAGTGGAACTTGTTTTACCTTGATTTGTTTGCTGCCTAACTCATTTCAGAAACAACTGATTGGCATTGCAGAAACCTAAGGCACTGCAGACAACTATACCATAAAAATGCATACCATTTGAAAGGAAATTGAACAAGCTTTCATTTGGTGCTTTTTTCATTGCCACATCTGTTGCGGACCAAAGCAACGCAGCTCCAGCATCCAGTAGAAACCAGACCCCAAAACTTGTAAGATTTCCAAGGCCTGTGAGCCTCGCAAAAATCCCGTTTTTGCAAGACTCACTGAGCCTCATGCACAATTCAATTCCTTTGTCTGGGATCCAATGGACCCATGACAACATCTAAATTTGCTGCTGAGTTATTTCAAGTCAAAAATTGATTCACTTTTGTGGACCTCCCTCTACAATCTGTCTTAACATAACCTAAGTCCTCGACATTTGTATCATTGTTGAGGTTACACTTGAAGCAAATTATTTCATAAACATCACTGTATTGCAGTTAATGTTTGGTTAAATTTATGTTTGGTAACAACTTAATGGCTTTATAATGCAACTCTAAGGGGAATAGGGTTCTGTTTTATGATGGGTTCTGTTTGTGACAGTCCTCCTGGAACAGAATATTGTAATTAAGTGAGGGCCCAAGTAAATACAATAATTTTTATCATTGATTCCACGTTATGTCTCAACAAACAGTCACATTTTGAATGGGAAATTTGAGACTGTGCCTGCCTTCATTGTGGATTTTCCATTAAGAAATCAGAACATTTTCCCAAAAAAAAAGTTTGATGTACTGGAATTGGTGAGTTTGTTGTAACAAGATTTTTATAACATGTATACCTTATAAGATTTCTGCTGGGACTTGGAAAAAGTTTTATATACTGTACTGAAAAATTTGTTGTAATGTAATTTGTTGCAACGAGATTTTACTGTATCCATCCATCTCAGTCTCACCTCAATCTCCGCCTCTTCCCGGTCCAGCTCATCCTGTATTTGGTTGTCCAGCTCCTCCTCCTCCATCTGCAATTCACATTCCATTCGAGAATCATTCCCTCGATTCAATTATCTCCGCAAGAGTTCAGCTATTTAAAAATGTCTTCCATGACCGCGACCGAGTGCAAAGCGCCGCTTAAATTGGTGAGTCTCAATTATTCAAACGATGCCACATGCCAAAAAAAAGGATTAGCGTCCATGACAATGTATATAAGTGGAAAAAATAAAATATATACACTGCATATGTTATGCATATTTAGATGAATATTCGTCGTCGTCGTTGTTGCTGTTGTTGTTGGCGGCGATGAGGTAAGTGTGTTACTGCCGATGATACAGGCAGAGAAAATGCGAAGAAAGGAAACACGGCTAAAATATAGGCACCCAACAGCCGGCGCTCTACGAAGTCCCGAATTTTAGGAAGCACAATTGTTGAAAAAAAAAAATTGAGTGAATAGAAAGTACTGCACGTATAAACTGTATCACGTTGTTCAAGATGGCCACTCAAGAACTGATGATACTGTATTTAAAAGCGTACATACCGTAATATATGTTCATCATGGCCTCCGGTTTCCATGTTGCGAAAAAATGTTGCAGTGATGGTCTCTATATACATACAGTGAAATCTCGTCACCTGACGAAGATCTTATTGGAAAAAACATAAAATCTTCGTTTAAAAAACCAGGCATATATAGAGAGCCTCAAGTAAGATTCTTGTTCTACTGGAGATACTCAGTGAGACCCAGACATGCAGAAACTTCGACTTACAGACACTTGAAAATAAAAAAATAAAAAATCTGGCCTTAAAATCCAGGAAATGGCTTGAGATCACTTTGCCGTAAATTCCAGAAAAATCGAAAAACTTTTATTGTGTAATTTTCTTATCTCTCATATTATTGAACCAATTGAGCTACTATATTCACTAAATTAAAGAAAAACTGTCATTATGCTGAACTTTTATTCTAATTCATTTATTCTAATTTGTCATGAATCCATAAACTGCTGCTGTGTTTTGCGCTTCTTTCTCAAGAATTTTTCTATTATCTGTGCTCATTATTATATAGTAAGGCACATTCTTGTTCTTTACCTTTTGATGCCAAAAGATCAGATTGGATCTTGGACAAATTGAGACAGACAACTTGAGACAGGGCCAATCTGAGACAGGGCCTAATTGAGAAAGATGCTTTTAGAGACAGGGAAAATTTGAGACAGAAACTTTTGGAGACAGAGACAATTTGAGACTGAAACTTTTGGAGAGATTAAGAAATTGAGACAGATAAATTTTGAAAATTTGAGACATTTTGAGACAGATGTATTTGAAGACAAAATGACTTGACTGCATTTCTCCCTATTATGTTATGTTTAAGGTGTGAAAATGGACAAACTTGAACTGTTCAGTGAAAATTCCATGATCTCAGGGTGTTTCTCCTTTTTGTCCATCATCACTGTCAAGTGAGTTTTCCTCATGAAGGAAAAACTCAAATCTTTGAACCAACCTAAGTAGATTCCTCTCCTCATTAAAATAGTTGTTGACTCAATTTGTACCTGTCTCAAATTGTCCCTGCCTTGAATTGTCCATGTCTCAAATTTTGTGTCTCCATTTGTCCAGTCTCAAATTGTCTGTCTCAATTTGTCCATATCCTGATCAGATTGTATGTGGGTATCCTTGTGACAGTTGTTTTCCACACCTTCAAGGTGAGGGAATCAATTTTTATTTATTATTCTGGAGACTTATTCCTAATTGTTCATCAACTGCTTGGAGAACTAAAATAAAAAATTGTCATTATTGAAGTCTGTATAGGAAAATGAGATCCAACATGCATACATTTTAACTTAGAGACAATTAAAGGTCTGAGCACCAATTTTGTCCACATTTCGGGGTCCAACCGTATCTCAAAAACAATTTGGCTATATACAGTGCTGTAACGAGATTTTACTGTATACAAGCTGAGCAAGCAAGCAATCTAGTGAAGCGGTGTTAAATAAGCCATAAACTGCAGCAGTGTGTCTGAATAAAGAGCAAAAGAATTCGAAAATTGCCTAAGAGCGGTTTATAGGTGAATATCTAACAGAGGAAAGTTAGAATACAGTGGTGCCTTTGTTGACAGACTTGATGATGACGAGTTCAAAGTTCAAAGTTTGGTTGTGGAAATCTTGATTGAACCTTGTTAATGCTGAAATAAGCGGCAAATAAAGTGTTCTGCTCATTCATTCATTCAGGTTGGAAGTGCGTGGAAAACTGGTGTTTGCTGAAGGATTTTTTAAAATGCAATATTGAAAAAAGTATTCCAAAGCCACATATCAAACAGCTTTTTGCATGGAGGCAATGTATACTTTTGGCCATTCAATGTTATGTGGTTTTATGGGAGGATGTTTCATTGTTATATCTATTGTACAATTGAAACTTTGCTTCAGGTAAAATTGTAAAAAGTTTGAGCAAGAAATTGAGAAAAGATGGCACATTTTTTTGTTTGGACAATTTTGTTTTTTTTTGGAACAACTTTGTCATAACTCATATGCAATCTACATTTTCCTCTACCAAATAAAATTTTTGCATATGAATTTCTTGTTTTTTTTTTGTTCTTTTGTCATGCAGGGAAAAACTGTATGATCAGGTGTAGGCTGTTATTCATTGAAAAATTATGGCTACTGTGGGAGTTTTTTTTTCTTTCGCAGGATAATATCTGTTTTGCAAAGCGTCTGTTAACCGGGGCACCACTGTATCGAGACTCTCTTATAAACAGCTGATGCCTAACCTCGTTCCTCAGCAGGCACAAGAAATAAAAAATAATAATCCACCTAAGAAGCTCAGTGCTGCTTTTCAAAAATATCAGGCAGACGGGAGCATGTCAGAAATACTTTTTTTTTTCTTCGTCAAGCCTTCGCCCCAGCTGTTTTTTTTTTCTGCCACTCTCAATCAATCAATCAATCACAATCAACGATATTTTCTCTTTTTTCTCTCTCTCTCTGTCTAAGTGTCGAGCAAGAGATGAGATGGATGCAGTCGAAATACGCAGTCGACGACGGACCAACACTCACACACTCGGCTCGGGCATCGACTCCTCGTCTTCTTGATCCGCTCGCAACATCATCAGCCTCTTGTTGCTCTCGAACAAAGGCTTCGAATGCTGCTTCGTCTTCGTCTTCTTCTTTTCGGATGGTCTACACTTGTGCGTATTTTACCAGCAGTACGTAAAATTCGCGACGACGTCCGAATATCGCAGAGAAGTATACATGAATAGAATGAAATAGACACGGATTTGATTTTTTTTGGTTGCGCGCGACGATGACGAGACAAAGTACGGTATATGTAGGTACGGCAGAAAGGTGGGTGATGATGGACACATGGGTACGAAAACAGGTACATTACTGTATATATGGGATGCCGAGAAAGCCCATGGACTTGTTGTTTTTTTTCTTGGCTGTTCTGTATAATTTTGGCATTTGCGGGAATATTCTTTCAGAAAAAATATCCACATTTTTTTTACTTTACTTCGAGTGTGCTCCAGACTCAAACTCTTTTCAAAAAACTTTGGCCACAGAGAAAAAATTAAACAGAGAGAGAACCCCAAGAAACATCATTCTTTCTCCAGCAGAAATTGCCTTTTCTCGAATTTTCAAACAATATTATGAAAGAAATTGGGATATTTGAATTGTAGAAAACCATTTCATAAAGAAATAAAAGGTATCATAACTTCAGCATAGCATCCCACTTGGAGTTTCTGATGTAGAACAAGGACAGGGTTTTTCAACAGGCTTGGAAGTCAAATTACAGTTGAATATCACCAAGTGAAATTTTAGGGGACTCCGATAAAATCAACTTCCAGAGTTTTTTACTTGAGGAATTTGGCATGGTAAATCAATAAAAAAAAATTGTTGGTCAAATGATTTGAACTTTTTATAAATTTTAGATGTCCTGCCTGCAAGAATGAGTGAGACCCCACTACATGTGGACACCTCAACATGCGGACAATTTGACATAGGACTGAATTTGACTGAAAAATTTTGAGGCCCAGAATATTACCACTTGAAATTTCCAGAAATTCTTCTATATTTCCATCAACCAAAATACTATACCTGTTTCCATAAGTCAAAATGAACCTAACTTGATTTTTTTGCTGGTACCTTGAAATTTGATTTACAGAGGTTTGATGGTACCTTGCAATTTTACCTCCTGCAATTCGACAAACTCAAAATTTGATGGTCAAATTTGCAGGTAGATTGACTTGCAATTCATCCTTTGCCCCACAATTCTACCTGCTTTTTCCATTATTTATTGCATTTTTGTTCATAAATTTTGAATTTGATGGAATTTGCAATTCAACCCTATAGTTCAGCAATGGATTAGTGTCAAATTGCAAGGTACCACCTGTAAAATACAGTACTTCTGAAAGGATTTGCTCTTTTGGAACAAAAACATATATCCCTTTCAGCAGGAGTGAGAATTTTTGTAAAAATTCACATCAGAAAGTCATCCACCATTGTCTTAAAAATCTTGACTCCCATCATGCACTTTTTCTTTCCACCCAACAGTTGACAGAGGGAATATTGAACTGTTTCTTGATAAGCGTAGAAAAAATGTACAGGTGAAACCCAGATAACTCAAACCTCCCTAAGTTGAATGCCCCTCTAAAAGTCCATTTTTTTTCAGGTCCCCATTTGAATCCTGCTGTATCACCAATAGATTAAAAATCTCCCTCAGTCAAAAGCTTTTCCCCTCAAACCTCCATAAGTTGCATTTTCTGTGGCCTAGATGTTGGCCATTATTTTCTTGAAAAAAAAAAAGTAAGAAAAGAAAGCAATAAAAACAGGAATGTATGTGGTTTAAAGGAAGTGGAAGACTTGATTGGGCAAATGAACCCCTGCCTCCAAGATCAGCAGCCTTTCAATTCATTTAACCCTTGGACGGCGACAGCCTCCTTTCCATCCCAGGGCAAAGTCAGACTTTTTCCTGATGGGTGTGCATTATATTTTTGCACAAGGTTATGCAACCCCTGCCAGGTGGGGGAGGGCAAAGTCGGATTCTTTCAAGGGATAATGAAATGCTAGGAAAGTCCTGAGTCAGACTTTTTCTGCATTGACCTCCAACCTGGGCTCCTGGCTTTCAAGCTTAAATGTAATCTTTGAATGGGGAAACAACACAAGACCAGGGGAAAAAAAGGGAGCCTTGAAGTTTTCATTTTTTCATTTTCACGTGAAATTTTTCTGTGGAAAATTTAAAAAATGCCAGGATTTTTCCAGACTTTGCCCTGCACACACTTTTGGGTTTTTTTCAATTCCACCCTGGAGTGCCACCAAAATCTGCGAAAAAAGTCCGACTTTGCTGCAGAAGGGTTAAGAAGCCTCTGAATATCACCATTTACATTCTTTCCAAGCTTCCCAGAAAAAAGGGCGTTTCTATTGCAGTTCCAACCTATAATATTATTCACAATAACCTCCCTCAGTCAAATTGTTTAACAAGTCCCTTGAAATTTGACTGTATGACGATGTCCCTTTTTCACTCCTACTAAGGAAATAAAAAAGAATAACGGACCTGTTTGTGCGACTCTTCCAGGTGCTTCATGAGAACAGCCACCACAACATTGACCAGCACAAACTGGGCCATGAGCACAAAGACGACGAAAAACAGCGGCGCTATAATCGGCGAGATGCAGCAGTTGGTCAGACACTCTGGGTCAGGGTCACAGTACGCCTCGTCCAACTGGCGCCGGGACGCCATCAGCAACGTGGTCGTCGTCACCGTCGATGTGGACGCCAAAGAATTGCTGGTGCTGGCACTGTTACTAGCACTACTCGTCGTCGTCGTCGTTGTCGTCGACGACGACGACGACATCATCATCATCATCTTGGTCATCATCATGGTCGGAGTGCCGCCACGCATCATTGACGCGTGGTGGTGGTGGTTGTTGTGGTGTGCTTGGAATCCTCCTCCGGCGCCGCCGCTGGTGGTGATGATAACCGGCGGCACGCGGCGTCGGTAAGCAGGCGCCACGTAGCCCGGCGGCGGCGGCGAGCGGAGAGTGTCCTTGAGAATGCCGTTCCAGTTGTCGCCGGTGGCGATGCGGAAGAGCGTGAGGAATGCCATGCCAAAGTCCCGGAAGTGGGCGTGTTCCCCGAGGCCCTGGCACGGGTGCAGGTCGTCGCACTCCAGCCGCCCAAACAGCTCCACCCCGAGGGCGGCGAAGATGAAGAAGAGGAGGTAGAAGAGCAGGCCCAGGTTGCCGACTTGCGGCAGGGCCTGCATGACTGTGTCCAGCAGGGCCCGGATGCCCTTGGCCATCTTGAGCAGCTTCAGCACTATTATCAACATATACAGAAGGGTTCAGTCATAACTTTTGCAAATTTTTGATATACAGTCAACCCTTGCTTAATGTTTTAAGTTGGTGCAGCAGGAAAAAACTTTAGCTGAGAAAAAAACGTTCAGCAAGGTAGTCTCTCCCTCAAGATGTAAGGGAGAAACGCTTAATTGGTGTCAGGCAAAATTTTCTAAAGGTAAAATTCAGAAAAAAATTAATCAAAGAGTGTATTCCAACAACTGAGCTTTATGCACTGCCATTACATTCAAAAAGTAACCAAAGTTCTTCACTCAATTAAAATCAGTGATTCATTTTAAACAAGGAAAGGTCTAAGTGTTACCCAAAATTCAGTGTGTGACACTGCAATTGTTCATAAAATAATTGTAACACCACACCACCACACAGGAAACACATTTAAAGCTGTGGAAAAAGTCACATTCAAGAAAATGTACAGGAGGGAGGGAGGGAGGCATACACATTGATCACCTGGTGCTGCACAACTGCGGAACATTAAGCAGATTTTGGAAAGTTAAGGGAGGGGATTTGTACAGTGAGACCCCCACATGTGGACACCTTGACATGGGGACAATTCCATCTTTAGGGACATTTATTTTTCATTTGAAAAATCATAAAAAAGGACAAACATATAGGAACACTGAATCAACATGAGGACATTGCGTGATAAAATTTCCAAGATTTGTTTAGGAAAATTGACTTTTATTAGGCTTAATTGCAAGAAACAATATTTCCAACCCTAAGATCTATGTAAGAAAAATTCTTGGGTACTTTACCCATAAATTTCCCATCCATTCAGCTAATTAAAAAAATTACCTGTAGCACAGAGGAACTTCCTTCCCTTTTTGTGACTTGAACATTATTTTTACAGATGCCAACATTCAATGAACTGTACAGTGGTATACCATTCAATGCTCCAAACATTCTTATATTGGGTTTGAAATATATTGACTGAATCAAATCCAAGTGGCAAGCAGCATTTTTTTTTTCATGGAATTCTGAAGAATATTTCTTCCATAAAACACCAATTGAAAATTATATTATGTAAGTCTGTGAGAAAACACGACTCAACTTTGGGACAATTCAACTTAGGGACACCCTTGATGCACCACTTATGTCCACATCTGGGGGTCTCACTGTAGATCCTACAGCGTTCCCACAATTTCCAACAAAATTATTTGTTATGCAAGCATTTTGGAATTGTTTTGATTGTTAAATTTATTGCATTGAAATTGGCGGAGGAAATAGAACTGCTATGTGAGATTTTTTGAAATTCATCAGATTGATCCATTTGAAAAAATGGTACTTTTCTGTTATCTGAGTACCTCATTCCTCAACCACACTACCATCCAGACAAATCTTTAGGACAAGTTCTTAATCATGAAAACCTACCAGAAACTGAATTTTATTTTCCCGCATTCTACTGAAACTGATTTTGGGAGGCAGTTAGGTAAAGTTAGGTTAGGTCAGGTTATGTTAGTTAAAAGATATTTGTGACTAACATAACCTGACCTAACCTGACCTAACCTAACTTTACCTAATTGCCTCCCAAAATCAGTTTCAGCAGAAACCCAAAGAAAGCAGAAACTGATTTTGGGAGGCAGTTAGGTGATGATAGGTTAGGTCAGGTTAAATTGGTCAGAGGGAAGGAACAGAGATAACAGGAAAGTAGGTATTGAGATAACAGGAAAGTACTGCTAAAATCTCAAAAGTTATGAACCAACCTTTGTACAGTATAATCTGATAACTGCAACATTTTGAGTACATCATAAAAAGCTTGTCAAATGGAAGAACTTTTCTTACAATATGGGCTTGGTGTGGAAAGCAGATAACAAAGCAGTATCATTTACCTCTTGCAATCCTCATGACCCGCATCACCCGTATGATGGTTGGGTTGATGGGGATCACATTTGTCTCCATCTCCTCCAGGATGATACCAACCACAGACAAGACAACTATCCCAATGTCCAGCATGTTCCATCTAGATAGAAATATCGATAAAGGGAGACTATGTATTTTTCAGAGAATAATCCCTCAGGCAGATGAACAACCACTTCAACCAGTCAAGAGGAAACACCAAATTGGTTGTGAGTGCTGTGGCATGGGTTGTGATGGAATCAAGATCCATACTGTGCACCCATGCACAACACACATGTTAACGGTAGAGTGGGAGACTACTGATAAGAAAAACACTTGCCTATCTTTCAAATAACGCCTCACACCCAGAGCACACAGCTTCATGCCTGCCTCCAGAATGAAGACTGCTGTGAAGAAGTAGTTGAATATTTTCAAGGCATAGATGAGTTCCTGAAAAATGAAAACACACACACTTTCAGAACATGACAGAACCAGTTCCAGAGCATCCTCTGCTGCACCAAAGCAACCACAGTTGAACCTGGATAATTCAAACCTCTCTAAGTTGAATACCTACACAAGCTGACTTTTTTTCAAGTACGGTACCCATCTGAATTCCCTTTAGAAACAATACATTAAAAATGTTACTGAATTGAAGGCTTTTCCTCTCAAACCTCTATAATTTGAATTTTTTTGGGGGCCTTTTGGTTATTATTTTCTTGACACAGGAAAGAGAAAAGTGATAAAAAAGGAAATTGTTGTGTTTTGATGGGAAGTGAAAGACTATTTTGGCAGTTGGACCCTTGTCTCCAAGTTAAGCACTCTATAAACTCTATTAAAAAGCTATTCAAGGCCAGAAGATCATCATTTACAATTTCCTGCCATTTTTCTATATTTCCCACAACAAAAATGCTTGTTTCCCTATAACTCAAAACCTCCCCAAGACAAAACCTCTCTACGTCAACATTTTTTGCTGGTCCCTTAAAATTTGACTTAGAGAGGTTGGACTCCACAGCATTTTCTTTTCATTTTTTCTCTAGGACCAGTTAATCAAGCAGCAAATCCTGCAAAACCAGATTTTAGCATTGTGAAACTTCATTGCACCCAGCCATGTTCATCTGGTTGTACACCAGTAAAAATGAAATTGAAATTGGTGCCCAAAGTAAAATGCTGTATTATTTTACCATGAAGCCTGCAAGAAGCTTCCTGTTGGTCTCTGTGTATTTCACCATGAAAAAAATAAGCCTGGAGATGAATAGGGAGAGCATAAACATTCAACTCCTGTTGCTGACCCCAAGATTTGAGGTGTCTTGCAAACAAGAATCCCTCAAAATGCACAAACGGGCTGAGCATTAACCTTTTGACAGCAGCAGCCTCCTTTCCATCCCAGGGCAAAGTTGGACTTTATCCCCATGGGCCTGCATAACATTTCTGTACAAGGTTATGCAACCCCTACCAGGTGGGGAAGGGCAAAGTTGGATTTTATCCAGGGATAAAGATATGCTGGTAAAGTCCTAAGTTGGACTTTTTCCATATCAACCTCTAACCTGGGATCATGGCTTTCAAGCTTAAATTTAATCTTTGAATGAGGGAACAATAACACAAGGCCAAAGGAAAAAAGGGAGCCTTAAAATTTTTTTTTCATTTCCACATGACATTTTTTTTGTGGAAAATTTAAAAAATGCCAGGATTTTTCCCACTTTGCCCTGCAGAAACTGTCATGGTTTTTGTAAAATGCCATTCCTGCGTGCACGCAAAATCTGCCAAAAAGTCCAACTTTGCCGCAGAAGGCTTAACAATGAATCTTAATCAGAAGTAAAGCCAACAAGTCCTGCTTCAACATTCCTATACCTTTCATTATGTGCATCAATTGTGACACTTTTGATTATCCTTTGGGAAATTCAGGAAGAGTGACACACGAAAAAAAAAAAAGAAAAAAAGAATGAGCTGCACATACTCTTGGCATCTTGTAGAACTCCATGGCCATGGTGACGACGTTGAGTCCAATGACTGCGGCAATGGCCAAGTCAAAGTACTTGGAGGTGACCAGGTTGTGCGTGAACATGCGAGGGCGCGAGTAGTGCAAGTAATATGGCGGCTCTCTCATCCCTATAATACCAAAAAATAATACGGTAAAATCTATTTGTTGGAAAGAACCTGATGGAGGAACATGAGAAAAATTAAATTTAAACTCTGCTGTGTCTCTCATTTTTGAAATATTGCCTTTTTCCAGTCACTAAAAATGGAGAATGAGCTGTGTGTCTTGATTGAGGCGGTGCATGTTACTCAATGAAATACAGTAATTTGGCATTTGAAAATTTTGAGACCAATTTCATCTTCCCAGTTTTAATCGTTTTCAAGATGTGGTTCACAGTTTTCGATACTCAAAATCCCCTAAATTTACCAACGGTCTCCAGAGGAAAATTTGTTATATTCAATAATTCACAAGATTTCGCCAAAAGAAATTACATGAAAAAATTAATACAAATTGAAGAACCCTACAGAAAAAAAATATTTGCGCACTTGAAAAACCAGCAATTACAATGAGTTTTCAAAAACAAAAAAGTTGACTTGTGCAATGTTAGCAGGATATTGAAAAAAAAACAAGAGATCATCCCTGTTGATTCACTCACGCCGTCTTTTCTTGTCCAGCTTCTTGGCCCGCTTGGCCGCGCGCCTGGCCTTCTCCTCCTGCTCCTGGGCCGCCCTACACCGATGGAAGTTCTCCACCACCACCCCGACGAACATGTTGAGCACGAAGAAGCCGACCAGTAGGAGGAACGAGATAAAATAGAGCAGTCTCCACTCGGAGTAGTTCTCGATTGGCTAGAAAAACAATAGAAAAAAGTATCAGCCCTTATTATTTCAGTCACTTGTCGCCCATTGCAATTTTTTGGCACAAAAAGAAATGTAGCAATAAATCATTGGAATTGTGCATAAGGTGTGTCCAGATAATGAAGGCATATTTGGTTAGATTAAATTTGCTGCATAAAGCGAGGGTGGCACTAAATCAAGGATTGACTGCACAGCTTCATGTATCAGGACCAGAAACCTTAGAATAAATGATGGAAAAAATACAGTCAACCCCTGCACAAGGGACTTGATGCCTGCAAAAGGTTAGTACACGTGTGAAAAGTCTGTTATGCAAATTTTGAAAATTCTATTAAAAGTTTTAATTTAAACCATCACGTTTAAACCAACAGAAGTCTGTCATGCAGATTTAGTCCATTGCAAAGGAGGAAAAACTGCCTCCAGAGGTGATCTGTTGTGCAAAAATCCATTGTGCAAGGGTCAACTGTACTTCAAAGGTTCATACACACAAATTAAAATGCTAGAGATGTTCACTAAAATTTCATTTAATCAGCAGTTTCCTCATTTTATCATCCATCACATTATGATTGAACAGTTGGAACTATTTAACTCAACCCCCCCCCCCCCCTAAGTCAAAAACCTCCCAAGCTCAAATTTGTTTTTTCCTGTGTCTATAAGTTCCTCTCAAAGAATATCAGCTGAAAGCTCCTCAATTTTAAATTTTTAGGCAAAGAAAGACTGGAAATTCATATTTAATGCTTTTGGAGAGGAAAATGAACCACTTTAATCAAGCCCAAAAATCCTTGCTTGAGGTTCTGAATCCTGTAGACTCATTTATAATGCAGTTTCATGTGGTTAGCCTTTTTTTAGATCATTGTTGGATTGAAATTTACATAAATTGCGCAAATGTACATTTTGGGATGTATTTTCTTTCCTTTTAATATCCATGCCCAGCTTATTTCTCTATTTTCCATTCTGTTGTGATGGAATGTGTTTGGGTGAATGTGGGTGGGAAAGGGATGGTGTTTGGATGTGGGCTCATTGCTTGAACCTTGTGAAAGCTGAAAAGCAGAAAATAAAGCCTGCTGATCTATCAATCAATTAATGAAAGAAACGTTTTTGTTGGACACATTAAACAAAGTCTCTCAGCATCATTTACAGCCCCCAAAATACTTATACTAAAATCTACAGCGAGCTGATTTTTTAGACGTATTAGTTTCCCCAACTTCCTCAAATTGAAACTTTTCCAANCCTACACCGATGGAAGTTCTCCACCACCACCCCGACGAACATGTTGAGCACGAAGAAGCCGACCAGTAGGAGGAACGAGATAAAATAGAGCAGTCTCCACTCGGAGTAGTTCTCGATTGGCTAGAAAGACAATAGAATCAACCCTCAATGTTTGAGTCACGTGTTGCCAATTGCAAATTTTTGGCACAAAAGAAATGTAGCAATAAATCATTGGTATTGTGCATAAGGTGTCCAGATAATGAAGGCATATTTGGTCAGATGAAATTTGCTGCATAAAGTGAGGGTGGCACTAAATCAAGGATTGACTGCACTGCTTAATGTATGAGGACCAGAAACCTTAGAATAAATGATGGAAAAAATACAGTCAACCCCTGCACAAGGGACTTAATGCCTGCAAAAGATTAGTCTTGCGTGTGAAAAGTCTATTATGCAAATTTAAAAAATTCGATTAAAATTTTTAATTTAAACCATCACATTTAAACCAACAGAAGTCTGTCATGCAGATTTAGTCCATTGCAAAGGAGGAAAAACTGTCTCCAGAGGTGGTCTGTTGTGCAAAAATCCATTGTGCAAGGGTCAACTGTACTTCAAAGGTTCATACACAAAAATTAAAATGCTAGAGATGTTCACTAAAATTTCATTTAATCAGCAGTTTCCTCATTTTATCATCCATCACATCATGATTGAACAGTTGGAACTATTTAACTCAAACCCCCCCCCCCTAAGTCAAAAACCTCCCAAGCTCAAATTTGTTTTTTCCTGTGTCTATAAGTTCCTCTCAAAGAATATCAGCTGAAAGCTCCTTAATTTTAAATTTTTAGGCAAAGAAAGACAGGATATTCATATTTAATGCTTTTGGAGAGGAAAATGAACCACTTCAATCAAGCCCAAAAATCCTTGCTTGAGGTTCTGAATCCTGTAGACTCATTTATAATGCAGTTCCCTGTGGTTAGCCTTTTTTTTTTTTTAGATCATTGTGGGATTGAAATTTACATAAATTGCGCTAATGTACATTTTGGGATGTATTTTCTTTCCTTTTAATATCCATGCCCAGCTTATTTCTCTATTTTCCATTCTGTTGTGATGGAATGTGTTTGGGTGAATGTGGGTGGGAAAGGGATGGTGTTTGGATGTGGGCTCATTGCTTGAACCTTGTGAAAGCTGAAAAGCAGAAAATAAAGCCTGCTGATCTATCAATCAATTAATGAAAGAAACGTTTTTGTTGGACACATTAAACAAAGTCTCAGCATCATTTACAGCCCCCAAAATACTTATACTAAAATCTACAGCGAGCTGATTTTTTAGACGTATTAGTTTCCCCAACTTCCTCAAATTGAAACTTTTCCAAGTCAAGCTTATTGTTGGCCCCTTTTGAATTTGATTTATAGAGATGTCTTCCAGCAGCCAACAATGTTTTCAGTTCAGTGATGATTCACATTGGGTTATCATTCTGCTGACCCAGCAGAATAATTGCCAAAAAAAAAAGAGCAGGAGAAATTTCTGTCCGAAACATTTGTGGGGGAAAGTTTTACAATACAGTACATTGTTCTTGATGCAAGCCAGACAGTGATTATTTGATTCATCAAGAGGTTCTTGCTACTGATATTTTGTTTTCAATGTCAGGGAAAGAAGGGCTGTTTGCATACATATCAGTTGCATTTTGTGGAACGTATTTTCTTTTATTTTATTTTCATCCACAAGCATCAAATTCTCTGTTTCCCATTCTGAAGTGAATGAATGGATTTGGGTTGGGTGGGGAGGGGGTTTGGATATGGGAATGTTGATTGAACCTTGTGCTGAAAAGCGGAAAATAAAGCTTTCTGTTCATTCATTCATTCAAGAGGTTGCAACGGTATGTCAAGCATACCTGTTGGTCAATGCCCACCCCATCCAACCCCTGGTACATGATGTTGACCCATCCGTCCTTGGACGACAGCACAAAGAGCGACATGAGCGCCTGCCCCAAGTCATCAAAGTTGTACTTGTGGTTCACCCATTGGTTGTCCGGGTGCACGGCCAAACACGTCGTCCTATTCGTCACGCCCACCAGCCTCGGCCCCACGCAATGATAAAACGTGCCCTTGAACAACTGCACGCCCAGGATGCCGAATATGATGAAGAAGGTGCAGCAGATGAGCACGATGTTGCCGATGGGCTTGAGCGACGTGATGAGCGTCTGCACCACGAGCTTCAGACCCGGCGCCCTGTTGATGACGCGCAGTGGGCGGAGCGATCTGAGAAGGCGGAACACGCGCACGAGGTGCAGGATGCGCGGGCTGGCGTGAGACGATGCCAATTGGATGGCCACGTCCACTAGGGACGCCCCCACCAGGAGCCCGTCCATCACGTTCCAGCCGGACCTGAGGTACTCGCGCATGCCGCTCGCCACGACCTTGACGAGCATTTCCAGGCCGAAGGCCAGGGTGAAGCCGTAATTGGCGGCGGTCAACAGGCGCCGTTCCAGGGACTCTGCGGGGATGGTCGGCCGCTCCATGGCCAGCGTGATGCAGTTGAGGGCGATGAGGCCGAGGACAGTGTGGTCGAACACCTTTTGCTGGGATATCCACCAACACACCCGTCTGAACCTGAATGACGTAGAACACAAAAAATAAATACTGTACACAGGTGGGCTTTTTATACAGTATAACAAAGTTTTATGGACCAGTAGGAAAAAAAATTGTTGAGAGAATTTAGTTGTATACACAGAACCCTTATAATATGGGGAAATAACCCTATAAGATCATTGGATACAAAATGTTCATCATGAAGAGAACAATGTTGTGGACAAGATTTTTGCAGAGAGAGTCCACCGGTATTAACAAAAACAGTTGGACTCTCTCTATCTCTCTCTCAACAACAATCTCAAAACTATCTTTTCTACAACAATATTCTCTGTACAGTACAGTATAACACATTTTGTTCATTAAGTCCCATAAGGTTCTCTCCCAATATTATAGGGATTTTCTACACTGAAATTCGCTTTCCAACAATTTTTGTCCCACAGCAGCTGTATACTGAACTCTGAACTGCATGGTATTATGCAGTATGATAAAAACTGACACTCTCTCCAAAGGTAAACTTGCTTTTCTTGCAGGTAAATATCCATTTCATTAAGCCTGTGCAGTGGATGGAAGTATAACAATGGTAAATTGGTAATACAGTACTATACTGGATTCTTTAAACAAGATTCTTTGAAGAATGATAGAACATGTTTTATATTTTAAACTTAGTCTCTAGAAAGCTTGTTCTTATTGATGCAAACTTTCTATAATGAATGAGCATTGTTTTCCAAACCAAACCAATGCTTCATCCAGTTCTTGAGCATGTGTTTCTTTCAATGCTTTCTCTATGTAGAGCTGGAAAGAAATTCTAGCAAATCATTCTAGTTTGGAAGATTTTGAGTTGAGAGAAGAAGCACTTTTGTTGGCGTGGGGGAGGAGAAGAATCACAGCTAAATTGTCATTGGTAATATGCTGGGCCTTGAATTGCTTCTTGAATGAGTTGATGGGATGCCAAACTTATTATTGGGAAAGGGTTCATTTGTCAAATTAGTCTTTCACTCTCTTGAAAAATGCATCAAGTTAAAATTTACTTGTATTGATTATGTATTTCCTGTATCAATGAAGAAATAGCCAAAAGGCCTCCAGAAATTTGGCTCATAGAGATATGGGAGGGAAGGCTTTTGAGTTTGGGAGGTTTGTTGTTTGGTCATTTTTCATAACATACAATGTAAACATTTTTAGAAATGTTAACAATTTCAGGATTTTGATGGCTACCTACCATATTCACTGTACAGTATTTACTCAAGTACCATGCCCTGAGAGGAAAAAAGGTCTTTGTGTTGTCTCAAGTTGGTATGAGTAGAATTTTTTTTAGAAGTTTAGGATTACATTATGCTCCATTATAATGGGAAATTTAGACCAACTTTGTCAAAAAAGCTCAATTTTCAGGAAAGAATTTAAAAATTAGTTGTCTTGGAAATTCATGTCTACATTCAGATTTAGGTGTTATTATTCTAAAAAAAAATTGGAGTTTTAGCGGGTTGATCAAAATTTTTGACTTGAGTACCTGTGTGTGAGTCTCACTCAAGGGTGAATGGTACTCAAGTAAATATGGGCATTCAATGAAACAAACGATCTGGGAAAATGTTTGTGGTATCCTCAAGAATTCTTTTTCGTTTTCAAATTTTCTTTTTTTTAAAGAAGTCTAAAAGCTGTCTGGTTGGGAATCATTTTCCTCATCAAGCTCTCGCCTGTTGTTGGGCGCAAAAAGGTACAAGGAATGGTCCTGTCGGCCAGCTATCCACTGGTCCCACCAGTGCCCGCAGCACCACAGGTGACCAGCCTTGGGCTTGGTCTGCTGGTCGTCCTTGCCCAGAGACTGGAGTTGGTCGTCGAGAACCATCAGTGGTTCCGTGGACTTGAGCGGGATGCCATCGGTGCTGAGCAGGCGGGCAGCAAAGACTGGTACACCACTGTTGGCGTCATCGTCGTCAGTGGACACTCGCAATACGTCCTGTCTTCTGCTGGTACCACTGCTGGTATCCTTGTGGTTGCTGCTGTTGTTGTTGTTGTTGCTGTTCCTGCTGCTGATACTTGTCACACTTATGGTCCTCCTCCTGCGACTCAGGACACTCTGAATGCCGGGAATAACGAGTTTGATGGGAACAGAAAACCAAAAAGGAATTCAAAATGGCGCCTCCATTTCATTATCTTAACAGTGTTTAAAATGAATGAAATCAAAGTCTATATCATCCAAAATATTTTTAATACGGCAGTTATAAGAAATTTCTGGCTTGTTTCACACACAGTTTTTTTTGCGTCTTCTTCTTGACTGGTTTAAGCTTTTTTAAAATTAGTTTTCAAATACATTAATTGTCCGGCTCCATTTTTTTCTGACAGTGTAAGAACTTTATTGACTGTTCAAATGGAATTTGAGACTGCGTCTGCCAAAAGGAAAGTTCAGTTATTTATATACAGTATCATCACTCATATTTAAATAATTTAGAGTTCATGCCATAAACCAATTTCCCCTGTAGTCTGAAGGTACAGAATACAGGTGGTACCTTGCAATTCAACCCTAATCCATTGCCAAACTATAGGGACAAATTGCAAATTGGTACAATTGCAATGTACAGTGGTACCTCGTACTACGAACTCCCTGTAGAGCAAACGTTCCGCTTAACAAACGTTTTTTCCCTCCAAAATCAACCTTGTAGAACGAACGAATTTTGTACTACAAACAAGGGTGAATGTACACCCTTATTCCTAGTACGAATTTTGTACTATGAAAAATTTTTTTTTTGTTCGTAGTACAAAAAAATTTCTGTGTTCTGAGACAATTGTCCCAGAACACAGAAATTTTTACATGTGTTGATGGTCATTTGACCATCATTACATGTGGAACGTCACATGTGTGGTTATGTGACAACGGTCATGACCGTCATCACATAAAAACGTTTGTGTTCTGAGACAATCGTCTCAGAACACAGAAATTTTTTCTGTGACGACGGTCAAATGACCGGCGTCACATGTGACAAGAGCCACAAAAATTTCTCTGTGTCCACATGTGACGACGGTCAAATGACCGTCGTCACATGTGGAAATTTCTGTGTTCTGAGACAATTGTCTCAGAACACAGAAATTTTCAGATTTGACAATGGTCAAATGACCATCCTTGCATGTGACAAATGCCAACATACATTTTTTGTGGCATTTGTCACTTGTGACCATGGTCAATTCAAGAAAAAAAAATTTTTTTTTTTGACGTCTGGAACCAATTGAACGATTTCCCATACAAGTGTATGGGAAATCGTGACTCACATTATGAACGTTTTGCACTACAAACGTAGCTCTGGAACGAATTACGTTTGTAGTGCGAGGTACCACTGTACTCCATTAAATTCAAAAACATAAGTACAAAAATGCCGAAAAAGTGGACAAAGCAGGTCAAATTGTGGGATAAGGGTCAAATTGCAAGTCAACATCCAAGCAAATTCAACCGTCAAATTGTAGGATGGTCAAATTGCAAGGTACCACCAGTATATAGGAAGGTTTGTGCAGTGAAAAGACTCTAGAATGAAAAATCATATTGTAAGAGAGTCCTTGCATTTGTTTTTAAAACTCTGATGCACAAATTACCATGGAGAATACTCAAAAATTTCTATAATGGATAGAATTGAATTTTAATTGGTCAAGTTTGAAGCATGAAATGAAAGTAGAACCACTCAGAAAGGAAGTAAAAATATGTTCAAGTACCCTGCATCAAATAAGAACTAAGAATTCAATGAAGAGGCTCTTTCTGAAATCTTAAAGGATAAAGATAAACTGTTGGCTTTATATGATTTCTCATCAAAGATTCTCTCTAATTTGTTCCTTCAACCAAACCTCCACAGAAACAAGCTGAAGACCTTGTGCTTTAAATTAATTTCTACATATATTTTTTTTACCAATGTCAGGGAATGAATGGGTGTATGCATAGTCATACATGTCAGATGTCCAGTTGTATTTCATGGATTGGATTTTCTTTTATTTTTGTAAACAATTTGTGCTCTGTTTCCTGCTCTGAAGTGATTAAATGTCATTGAGTGGATTTGGGTTGGGTGGGAAGAGGGTTTGGTTGTGGAAATCTTGATTAAACCTTGTGAATGCTGAAAAGCGGCAGATAAAGTGTTCTGTTCATTCATTCACTAAGCTTAAATCCACTCAGAACAATTATGCTGACAGCAAGATTATCTCCAACTGTAACATGAAACGTTTTCAGCATGACCAAGTAAGTGCCTTTTTTTTTCTAGTGCAATAAAATTTGTGGTACAGTACATGTATTGTTGAACAGTATATTAAGGTATTGTATACAACTTCATGTTAATTTATTTAATGAAACAATGGTTTGTTGCGATAGGCTACAAATAAAAGAATTAGAGATTAAGGAAAACATGAGATTTTACACATTTATAAATAATGGACACACCTGCTGGTCTGAGAACTTGACAGAACCCGACTGGCTGCGCACCGAGTTGTGGCGACTCAACCCGAGTTCCATGGGGATGTTGGGTGCCAGTGTTGCCATCGCCATCGCCACGGAGTCCATCCTCTGTCCGTCTGCGGGGGACGTCTTCAAGATGGACTTGACACCCTGTGGCTGCTGCTGCACACAGCTGTCCACACTGATGCCACTAGCAGATACCTTTCTTTGCTGTTGGCCGCCATTGCACAATATCCCACCACTGCCACAAGCAGGAGAGCACAAGAGAGAAAGAGAAAGAGAGAGAGAGAGAGAGAGAGAGGGCGGCATAGCTTATATGAATAATGTGCAAATGGATAAATACACAATTGATCAAGTCCTCAATAATGAATTTTCAATCTTTTTTTCTAGACGAGGCAAGGGTTGCATAATTAGCAAATTGCGTCTGAGAAGCATTTATCATTGAATAAAAAAAACCAAAAGAAATGTGTTATCCAATATCCTGGAAAGAGATTTTTCTTCAGAAACATTCTACCATTTAAAGGTAATTCGATATGTTTGGAAGGTCCATAACAAAACACTTATTCACTAGACTGAATCTCTCTCTTCCCTGAGGAAAATATATTGAAGATATTTTTCTCTGGACAATAATTTTCAACAATTATTGTCTCCTCTCGAGAAGCTTACTTGTATAAAGCTTCACTGATCATAATAATGTGCAAAATCCTGTTTTTGCACAAAATATTTGTTCTGGAAGAAGCTCTCCAAATTACATACCAGGATGAGGAATCCTTTCCTAGAGAGAAATGATTCTCCAGCCATTCACCCCTCNCAGCTGTCCACACTGATGCCACTAGCAGATACCTTTCTTTGCTGTTGGCCGCCATTGCACAATATCCCACCACTGCCACAAGCAGGAGAGCACAAGAGAGAAAGAGAAAGAGAGAGAGAGAGAGAGAGGGCGGCATAGATTATATGAATAATGTGCAAATGGATAAATACACAATTGATCAAGTCCTCAATAATGAATTTTCAATTTTTTTTTTCAGACGAGGCGAGGGTCGCATAATTAGCAAATTGCGTCTGAGAAGCATTTATCATTGAATAAAAAAAACCAAAAGAAATGTGTTATCCAATATCCTGGAAAGAGATTTTTCTTCAGAAACATTCTACCATTTAAAGGTAATTCGATATGTTTGGAAGGTCCATAACAAAACACTTATTCACTAGACTGAATCTCCCTCTTCCCTGAGAAAAATATATTGAAGATATTTTTCTCTGGACAATAATTTTCAACAATTATTGTCTCCTCTCGAGAAGCTTACTTGTATAAAGCTTCACTGATCATAATAATGTGCAAAATCCTGTTTTTGCACAAAATATTTGTTCTGGAAGAAGCTCTCCAAATTACATACCAGGATGAGGAATCCTTTCCTAGAGAGAAATGATTCTCCAGCCATTCACCCCTCCTTCGTCCATATTTTATATAAGCAGCAAATCTCATCCAAAAGAATTAGAATCCTCGTGGACTATTGCGGCATGTATTCTCAGGTAAACTTCCTTGCGTATATTTTTTGGAAGTCTCTCTCTCAAGAAGAACTATTTTGTTTACTCATCGCAAATATATTGAATATTGAAATACATATGAGGGTTCTAACAAAAGTTCTCGGAGTAGCAATGAAAATGGCATACAATTGAGCTGAAAAAAATTCATTCTCTAGCCAAAACATATTCTTTGGCACTCAAAAAAAATCAGCCTGATTTGACAATTTTTTTTTTACATTTTTTTGCAAAATTCATCTATATAGAGTATTGCTCTCCACTCAAAAAATGAGGCGCTCTTTTTCTGTTGTAGCCCAGCTTTCCCCTCAGAATTTTCGAAATCAACTTGGCATTCTTTCCAAGGGTTGCCTCCAGGTCATCCGAGGCAATTCCGCCATTTTCATCAACAGCTGTGTATATATACTTTATTTTGATTTTATAATAGAGCCACATATAAATAACCCATGCTGACCTAATGTTTACTAACTTAAGAGAAGAGCTATAAAACAAGGTGTTCACTACTGAATACCCCTTCACGACGAACGAGTGAGTCTTGAGCGGCCTGCTGCCCTCAGCGACGGCTTTCTGCTGCTGCTCTCAGGACGGAGCTCATGCTCCTGCTGCTGCTGCTCTTGCTCCTCCAGCTGCTGCTGATGAGAGCCCATCATCTGCTGCTGCTGCTGCTCATCACCGCCCTCAGCGTAGTGGCGGCACAACAAGGACGAGGCGGCGCGGACGAGGTGGTCCTTCGTCGTCCCGCTTCGAGTGTCGTCTATCCACTTGACCTCGGGCACGGGCTCGTGAAGCGGCGTGGCGGCAGTGCGAGTGATGACGGGCAGGGAGAGGACCGCCATCGTCGCCGCGGCGTCTCGGACGGTTTTCTTCGGCGTCGCCGCCGCTGCTGTTGTTGTTGCCGCTGCTGCTGCTGCTTCGGCGGCAGCCGCCGCCAACTCGCCATCGCGCAGCATGAGAGACAAGCGCCGCTTCTCGCCCTTTTGTTTTTTTGTGTGTGAGGCCAAGCAGGAAAAAAATAAGAGGGATGATTATTCATGCATTCAAGTGAATTTCATTTAATATTAGTGGCACAGCATGAATATAAAAGGTTTAATCCTTGGGCAACAGTGACAGGATTTATATCCATAAAATTTTGTTTCCCTATAGGAGTAGAAAAAAGGAGGGGAACAAAAATGGTCAGAAGAGCCAACGTTGGAAAAATTCCCGAAATTTTTTTTTGCATTTTGCAGAAGAATTTTCAAGAGAAAAAGAAAAAAAGGTACAGTACTGTTAGGTGACATTTTTTCTGCATTCCTGCCATAGGATTATAGCATTGGGGGATTAGCAGGACAATGACTTTTTTTTTCAGAATTTTCCCCAACTTCGGCCACTCAGTCAAATCTGTGTTTTGGTGACCTTTGGTCAAACAAAAATGCAGGAGCCTGCAAAAAAAAAAATCATGGCACCTCTGCGCAATGGAAAAGAACCCACCACCACCCAAGGGTTAATATAATGTACCATGACTATATGGTAGCAACTTCAAAGATATGCAGGCACAGATACAACATGAATAACATGCTTTCAGGGTACAAAAAGGGATTATTTATACCATTCATCAATGTTCCAACATACAGTACAGTACTTTTTATGAACTAAAATTGGTTTTCTTTTAAAAATATTAATCAACTCTTCCCAAGCCATTTTTCATTGCAATTGGAAAATAATGCCACAACTATGACAACGTTTCAGAGGTTCAGAGTTTCATGTTTAGAGNATCTCGGTGTATATTTATTGGGTACGACTGGATTACAAATGATTGAATTCTCTTCTCGATATTTTGTTCCACAAGTGATGACTTATGGGGAAGTGCTGCTTGCTCACTCAGAACTCGCCGGACGACGTCTCAGCGACGGCTTTCTGCTGCTGCTCTCAGGACGGAGCTCATGCTCCTGCAGCTGCTGCTCTTGCTCCTCCAGCTGCTGCTGATGAGAGCCCATCTGCTGCGGCTCATCACCGCCCTCAGCGTAGTGGCGGCACAACAAGGACGAGGCGGCACGGACGAGGTGGTCCTTCGTCGTTCCGCTTCGAGTATCGTCTATCCATTTGACCTCTGGCACGGGCTCGTGAAGCGGCGTGGCGGCAGTGCGGGTGATGACGGGCAGGGAGAGGACCGCCATCGTCGCCGCGGCGTCTCGGACGGTTTTCTTCGGCGTCGCCGCCGCTGCTGTTGTTGTTGCCGCCGCTGCTGCTGCTGCTGCTTCGGCGGCAGCCGCCGCCAACTCGCCATCGCGCAGCATGAGAGACAAGCGCCGCTTCTCGCCCTTTTGTTTGTTTTTGTTTTTTGTTTTGTGTGTGAGGCCAAACCAGAAAAAATAAGAGGGATGATTATTCATGCATTCATAGTGGCACAGCATAAATATAAGAGGTTTGAACCTTGGGCAACAGTGCCAGGATTTATACCCATAAAATTTTGTTTCCCTAGGAGTAGAAAACAGGAAGGGAACAAAAATGGTCAAAAGAGCCAAAGGTGGAAAAAATCCCAATTTTTTTATTTGTAAAGAAGAATTTTCAAGAGGAAAAAAAAGGTACTGTTGGGTGAGATTTTTTCTGCATTCCTGCCATAGGATTAGCATTGGGGGATTAGCAGGACAATGCCTTTTTTTCAGAATTTTTCCCAACTTTGGCCACTCAGCCAAATCTGTGTTTTGTTGACCTTTGGTCAAACAAAAATGCAGGAGCCTGCAAAAAAAAAATCATGGCACCTCTGCGCAATGGAAAAGAACCCACCACCACCCAAGGGTTAATATAATGTACCATGACTATATGGTAGCAACTTCAAAGATATGCAGGCGCAGATACAACATGAATAAAAAAAAAAAAATCATGGCACCTCTGCGCAATGGAAAAGAACCCACCACCACCCAAGGGTTAATATAATGTACCATGACTATATGGTAGCAACTTCAAAGATATGCAGGCACAGATACAACATGAATAACATGCTTTCAGGGTACAAAAAGGGATTATTTATACCATTCATCTTACAAGGTTGTATGTCATGTCATGAAAAATACTTGATTTTAACCAAAAGAAAATTTTTATAATTAGTTGAGAAGGGTTCGGTAAAAAGTAACGTTAACCTTTTATTACGGTGTTGATACTGTTGCATTCAGAGGTTCAGAGTTTCATGTTTAGAGTTTCAGGAGTTTGAGTTTCAGAGTTTCAGGAGTTTCAGTTTCAGAGTTTCAGGAGTTTCAGAGTTTCAGGAGTTTCAGAGTTTCAGGAGTTTCAGAGTTTCAGGAGTTTCAGGAGTTTCAGATTTTGCATTGAAAATGTTGGAAAAATAACCCAGAACCTTTGCATATCATGGGCTATCTCACCTTACAATATAATGTATGTACAGTATTTCTAGAGTACATGAAAAAAACACACCTGTTTGAAAAGTGTCAGAGGCCATGTCCAACTGGGACAACCAATGTAAATACAATTGCAATTTTGATTGCTCAAAACCTCCCCGAGTCAAAATTTTTTAAAATTACTCATCAGAATTCCCTCTGAAACCATGCATTGAAACATTTTATAGCTCAAAGGGTTTTTTCTCTCAAATCTCCATGACACACATTTTCTGGAGGCTCTTTGGTTATTATTTTCTTGACACCGGAAAGAGAAAAGCAATACAAATGTAACTCATCGAGGTGTTTTGAAAGGAAGTAAAAGACTAGCTGGTCAAATAAACCCTTTTCTCCAAGTCCAGCCTCCGGTCAACTCATTACAGAAGAAATTCAATGCCCAGCATTTCGTAATTTACAGTTTCCTGCAATTCTGTCTTTCTCACACCAAAAAGTTGCTGGTTTTCCAAACTCAAAGCCTCCCTAACTCAATTTGTTTTGCTGGTCCATTTGTTGAAGCTTGACTTGAATATGTTCCACTGTACCACTGATTGAAACTTTCAGCTTTACTGTAACTCTTTGATGGTGGAGGGTTCCTTCCCATACCACAGCAGATTTGGGATTTTCCTGTGGGGCAGAGAATTTCAGTTTGACCAACGGTCATTGAAATGCCCCTGGGTGCATAAAAGACCAAAGTCAGGAAAAAATCTGGGTACATAATACCCCAGTGTTTCAAGAAATGACCAATGCTGATACTATGCTATATAAAAACCACCCCATCTTGAGAAATGTTTGATTTATTCCTCAGGCGTAATTCTTGGCAGGATTATGAAAATTATATTGAACTTTTTCCTAACTTAGTTCTTGGTACAGTTGAACCATGCCAAGTTGAGCCTGTGTAAGTCAAATACCTCCCAAAGTCAAATTTTTTCAAGTCCCCCTGAATTCCCTTAGAAACAATGCATTAAAAATGTCCCTAACTTGAAGGCTTTTCCCCTAAAACCTCTTTAAGTTGAATTTTTTTAGGCTTTTTGCCAATTATTTTATTGAAACCAGAAAATAGAAAGCAGTAAAAAATGGATGTGCTTTGAAATAATGTGACAGAATAAATTGCGCAAATGAACCCCTGTCTCCAAGTTAATCATACTGTCAACTCATTTTAGAAGCAATTCAAGGCCCAGAATATCACCATGTAAAATGTAGTGTAATTCTTTAATGTTTTCCAGCAGAATAAAAATCCTTGAACCCATAATTCAAACATTTATGAATGAATGAATGAACAGAATGCTTCATTTTCCGCTTTTCAGCATTCACAAGGTTCAGTCAAGATTTCCACATCCAAACCCCCTCCCCATCACCCAAACCCATTCAAAGACATTTAACCCTTGGACGGTGGAGGGTTCTTTCCCATTGCCGGCCAAAATGGGATTATTTTTGTATGCTGTGGCGTTTTAAGTTTTCTGAAGGTCAGAAAAGACCTTCCAGGTGGGCTGAGGCAAAGTTGGGATTAATCCAAGGAAAAGCCCATTGCTTAGCATGGCATTTTTTTTCATTTTCCCATGAAATTTTTCTGTCCAAAAAGAAAATAATATCGGATTTTTCCCTGACTTTGTCCTCAAATCCTTGTTGTCCTTTTTTATTTTCTGCCCTGAGGTGTAAAAAAATTTTGCAAAAAATAGTCTGACTTTGCCACCCAAGGGTTAATCACTTCAGAGCAGGTAACAGAGAAATTAGTTGCAAATGCATAACAACAATGAAAGAAAATACATTCCACAAAACACAACTGCACATCTAACATGTATGCATACACCCCTTCCTTCCCTGACATTGAAAACAAAATATGAGTCACAATTAATTTAAAGCACATGGTCTTCAGCTTGTGCTTTAACATCTATATAAATCAAAACCTCTGTAGGGTTTTTTTTGTGCTGGTCCCTTGAAATTCAAGTGAAAGAGGTTCAAAAGTGAAAAAAAAAAAAAAAATTCTTCCAAAATTCCAGTGCTCATTCTCTATAGGCACAAAATCATGCAAAAATATCCCAATTTTTATGCCACACAAGGGTTTAAAATGTGTTTGTTTGCAGAAATCAAGCAACTCATCTCTGTTTCCTTCTCTGCTGCGTCTGTCTTTCCTGTTGAATCCCTTCATTATCCCCTGCGCAGGTATATCTATACCCATCAGCAGCAGTCCATCTCATCAAGACCCAGTCTATCTCATCAAAAATAAATAGTACTACTCCACAGAATGGTACTGCATATATATATGTAGGTAGCATTTTGCCACGTGCTTCCCTCCGACGCCCCCGAGCAATGCGACAAGTGCATGGCACTCGTTCAATCGACAAAGCAGGCCCGGGGTTTCTTCAGGGACGGAATTCAATTACTGCATGCTATTACCGGATATATAGAGTGAGAGCAGCAAGAGTAAATGGACAGATACATAAGTTAGATAGATAGATGGATAGATACGTATATATAGACGACGGAGAATAACCGAGTATAAAGGCAGGGTTTTGTGAGCCAAAGAAATGAGGAGACGGAAAATGGCGGAAATTCGAGGAAGCACTTGTGGGCGTGCTGCTGGT